GTTCTTTTCTCTTTTTTATTATGAATTAAAATGTATTGTTTTTGTTGGAATGATGCTAACCCTACCCAAAAAAAATTAACAACAACAAACACCACACATTATAAAAACAAAACAAAACATGCAACAAAATCAATATCAACGTATAAAAAAAAAAAAAAACAAAAACCAAATAGCAACATCCACAAGCTCGTCAATGCTTGAGCCACGATTTGATTCAGTTTCTTCAACGCCAGAACCGACGCCAGAGTCGGCACAGCTTTCAGAGCCACCGCGCAGTCCCGTGCTGCAGCTGGAGAAGGCAGCAGCAGCAGGAGCAGCAGCAGCAGCAGCCACAACTAATGGCATCACAGCAACAAAGCTCGTGGAGCGCGCTGAGCTGAGCAGCCCGAATGCCAATACAACGACAACAGCAGCAGGAGCAGCAGCAGCAGCAGCAACAGGAACAGGAACAAGCACAGCAGCCAAGACAGAGGAGACAACCAGTGAGGTGACAACAGATGGCAAGGAAACAACAACAACGACAACAACAACAATAATAACAAGCACATTGAATGGCAACAACAATGAGCAGCAGCCGGCAACAACAACACACGGCAGCAACAATACGGCTAACAACACGACGACAGGCAGCACAGGCACAGTCACAGCCAAAGAGCCGGGCAAGCAGCCGAAGGAGCTGCCGGATGGCCAGGCGAATGCCAATGGCAATTCGAGTTCGCTTGAGGAGCATAAGCAAAAGAAATTAGGTAAAGAAACAACAACAACAAACACAAATGCAACGCACTCAGTTACAGATACAGAAACAGTTAGCGGTAGCCAAAAACAATTAGTTAATAGCCAAACTGTTAATAAGCATTTTAATAAGAATCCCTTCGACGAAGATGACGAACGCATCTACGAGGTGCCCCAGGGTGAGTAAGCGTCCAATCTACGATCTACTCCAAACAAAACAAAACAAAAAACAATTACAAACTGGGTCTGTCTGTGCATTTCTCTACACTTGTGTGTCTGTCTGTCGTTTTGCCGTCTCTTGTTGGGCACCAACCACCAACCAATCCAACCCATCCACCACTTGAACACAATTCTCTGTAGTATGCTCCATTTATTGGAATGGAGCTATATATCTTTTGGTTGCCCGATAGAGCCTGAGCGTCTGACAGCGGCTTGTCTATTGTATATTGTATCTCTAAAATGCTTCAGTTTCTGTTATGATGTCTGTATCTGTATTCGTATTGTTTAACCGCAAAATTGTATACAACGGGCCAAAGCATGTGCGTTTCGGGCGTATCTTTAATATATTATATTATATATAAGTTGTATTACTTATCTCGATCGATTCTGGGGCAGTCAACGACCTGTCGAGTCATTTATCTCATGCTCAGCATACAAGTATATAAATTTTAGAATCAATTCGAAGCATACAAGTTGCGTTTCAAAGTAAACAGCTGTTCAAATTTGAGATATTTCAGTAAATCCTATGAAAAGCTGGCTTTAAACTAAACGCAAGACTTACAATTTCGACACTCGGCAATAGATGGCGCCAGCAGCTGCTGTTTACTTTGAAATGCACTCTGAGCACATCTTAAACTATTTGTTTCACTCGTCTCATATTATTATAACCCATTTCTTTTATTTTACAATATGCTTGTACATATCGTTATCATTCTCACAAATAGTTGGGTATAGAAATTTATAGTAAATACGCGCACACACACACACACATTTATTACAATGCTGCGCTAGTAATAAGTGGCAATTGTTGGTAAGAGAAAAAAGATAATAAATAAAACAAAATATAAAACTGGTTGCAGGTGGCTACAGCAAGTATGTTTTTAGCCGTAAGTCGTACTCATTCATTTTGATCACCATTTAAACACCGCTTGCACGTTCGCTGCTTAAGTCTTTTGTATTATGGATGGAGCTGTTGACGACGTAATACTAGCAAAGCTACCTCTATTAAAACCCGACTAACCCATACAGGCTGCGAGTTTTTATATACCACATTAACAGCAAGTTCTGTTCTTGCTTTTGTGCACTAAACAAAATTGAGTTATGCATACCTTCGATGTACAACTAATAAGCTATATTTGATAATGAAACAATGTTGTAATTTGTACCGGATTTTTATTCACAGATGCCAATACCGCTGATTTGCCACCTGGTGTGCTATATCGCGTGAAGGCGACCTATGGCTACGTTAAGGAAGATGTCGACGAGCTGAGCTTTGAAATTGGCGATACCATACGCGTCATCGAGTATGATGATCCCGAGGATCAGGTAAAACTAGTTTAGGTCTACACACAGAACTATTTGAATGCCACTTCAGTCCCAATTATTGTGCATGCCGCTAGTCAACCCTCCCGAGTTTGATGTGCATAGAATTTCACTACTTGTCTTTATTGAATGTAGTTTTTTATTAACAATTTACAGGAGGAAGGCTGGCTAATGGGTCAAAAGGAGGGCACAAACGAGAAGGGCCTCTTTCCGGCCAACTTTACGCGTCCCATTTGAAAAGCTGACGCGGCGACGATGACGGGATAAATGCAACAACTAATACAAAAAAACATGCAACAACAACAAGAACAACAACAAGAACAACAACAACAAAAACACCAACTTCAACCCACTATTTTTGTTATACAATTATATACAAAAAAAAAAAAAACAAAAATACATTTTACACACATTTTACAAATTTTGATGAACAAACTTAACTTTCGGCCAAATTTGTACACAGCGCTGCGACGCCTCTTTTTTTTCATGTCCATAAGAACCTGTGGTTTTTTCTTTTTGTCAAATTTATTGTTTGGATTAATTTAAATTCGTGTTTGAATTCGTATGCAATAAACAAGAGTCTTGTATTTGTTACAGCAGTGCTTCCAAACATTATTATAATTATAACTATTATTATTATTATTATTATTATTATTGTTGAGAAATGATTGCACACAAAATATATTTTGAAATTTGAAAGTTTCAGAAATATTATTTTCCTAGTTGTAAGCCTAAACAAAACATAAACAAATCTAAAATCATAAACACCATACACATACGTATATATATATATATATATATATATATATATATATATATATATATATATTATTTGTTAAATCTATTATTGTGCTCATAATTAATACGAACAAAATGTATCTAATTTGTAATTTGTTAAAATCAAAAGGTAAAGACGAACAATTTAACGCATATCACTCGATAAGAATCATGTTTCAAGCCGAGAGAAAGATATCCTTTTGTATATTATGTATTTTTCAAAACATGTAGTACGAGTTTTTTATAGTCAATCGAGTGTTTTGGAATGCAAGAAGAAAAGGAAAATGGGACACCAAAAGTTACCTATTTTTTTTTTTTTTTTTTTGGCATTTCATTGGTAAATCGGAATACGACATTAAATTGTTTTTATTCATTTAAATTAAAAACTAATTTGTAGCTGTTATTTAGTTAAAACAACCGAGTAAAACTCTCGAAATACACAACTAGCGCCAGCTTTATAACATTGAGAACAAGCCAATAGTCACTAACAGATCCATTCTCCTTTATTATTTTTGTTTATACAAATCGAATAGATTGATATCCAGTTTGAAGCTTGTTTGCCAACCGAAATGCAAAACTTTGTTTTCTTTGAAATCTGTACTGTAAAGTTATTAATTTAATATTATTTAATTAATTTAAACATTTATTTATCGCATGAACACATTGAACAAATGATAATAATTTACAGAAATCAAATAAAACATAGATTAAACAAACAAAACAAGAATTTGTTTTAAAAATTATCTAAGCTCAAATCATCAATAATTAACAAAAGCAGATGGGGTTTACTTTACCCTTTGCATGTGATCTGCTTTGTTCTATATGTATTTTACATACATATAAATAAGATTATATGTGAGACAAATTCAAAACGTTGCAATTTATATTAAAGTTTGAAAAAGTCACACAATATCTCCGTTAAAGTTTTTTTTTTTGACTTCATCCGATGGTCACCCTATTTAAAATGCAAAATAGTTGAAAGGCTGGTCACATTGTTTAATACTCGATTAGTGTTCGTATTCGATAGATTGAATTAATTGTGCTGATATCAAATTGTTTGCCGCTTCCCTTCTAATAATTCTTTGAGCAGCCCTGGTAAATGTGAGCGTATGACGTCAAAAATTCTGCGCAGTTCAATTTGCGCACATATAGGCGCTACCTTGTAAAATTCATGCAATCATGCTCCTATGTCGGTGACTCTTTCGTGTGTGTTGGTGTTGCGTTAATAAAAAAGTGTAAATACTTAAGAAAATTTAAGAGTTGACAAAGCAAAAAAGTCACTACGGGCCGTGCATTAACGTTAACCGAACAATGCAAAATCAAATATGTTGTGAGTTTAAATCGAATATCAAAGCACCGACAAAAACCAGCAGCAGCAGCTAGTTGAGAAATACCAGAACCAACTTGCTAGGAATAGTTATCAAATTTTGGGTGTGTTTGTGTGGCGAGTAGATAAACAATGAAGTTATGGGCATAGGTGAAAAGAATGGCACATAATTGTTAAACAATTCGGCATACCAGAATCGACAATTTTCTGGCCAAAAATTTTTTCATGTTCGTTTTTGCCTCGCCCTCGCTCTGTGTGTATAGCAGTGCGCGTGTGTGTATAGAGGTGCGAGCGAAACAGCTATACAGCTACAGGGCACTATCTATCTATCCTATCAGTGATATCTGTATGCTTATTTGCATTTTGCACTTATGCTTATGCTGATGTGACCACATTTCAATTGTTAAATACTTGCATATCGTGTTTTATTTGTTCGCATTTGCATTCGCTGGCATATGACCATGCAATTGGCAACATTTGCCCAGCCAAATTTAGCGGTGACAACACTGTAGCGCACTGCTTGCCCAAGCAAACAGCATGTTTTGGCATTATTTAGCACATTTTGCAAACGAGCAGTAAATTCTATATTATTTTTTTTATTTTGTATAAAATGCAAAAGTAGCTCCCTTTTGTGGCATAAGAAGTTAGTGTTATTGTACCCGCATATCGCTTACGATATTAAAAAGCCACAAAGCCCGCGTCAGTGTACATTGAAATTTCACGGGGCATACGTTTTTTCTACATTAAAGTACATAATAGTTGCAGGCGAACTCTGGAGCAGGAGAACACTGACTGGTGGTTGGGTGGGGTGCGTGGGTGGACTTCACTGCGATTGCGACTGCGACGGCGACTGCGACTGCGAGTGCTGCTGCTGTTGCTCCATAGTATAAACGAAGTGTTTCCCAAGCTTACAATGAAAATGTTCTCTTTTTTCTTGCAGTTCCACTGCATACCGGAAAATAAACAAATACAAGAAGCATAAAGTATGCAGAAAATTAAATACAAAAGAAGCATTTAAGTGTTGCGTGTGAGAGAAAGAAACAAGAATACAGAAATTAAGCAAAGCTAGAAAAATTACCGTTCTGCTCGTCGTCATAAAAAGTTTTTGTTTAAATAACCAAATCTAACAAATCTTCGTTGCATTTAAATACAAGAAACTGGTCTATAAAATCAAACTAATCAAAAGCCGCAGACAGTGAAACAAAACGACAAGAATTGCAAAATAACAAAACTTGACCAGCAAATGCAACATTTAATAATCAATTAAAATACTTATATATATATATATATATATACAAACATGCAGATATAACCAACTACACACGTTCCTTAAAACTAATGTTTTCCAAACGCAACTAAATCAAACGATAACGATTCAAGAAGAAGAAAACCGACACGTCGTGAAGTAACGGAAACATCACCTCATAAGGCATAACCACATAGGAATATTACATACACACATACTACTTCACGCATAAGTTATATACATATACATACATATATATATATACACATATATATATATATTCAAAAACGACACCGATTTAAATAAGCTGCAGGGAAACAATACGAAAAACAAAACCAGAAAAGCAAAAATCGTTTTGTTTTTTTTTTTTTTTTAATTATTATTTAGTGCTAGTACATAAAACGACCACAGATTTATTTAATTAACAAGAAGAAGATCAAGAAAAGCAGAACGTTTGGATTTATCTCGTCATAAAGTGCATCGTCGTCGCAATTAGGTTTTTATTCATAAATGTCTCTCAGCAAAACACACAGCCGATAGCTTAATGCGTAAGTATTTGTTTATACTTGTATATATACATATGTGTGTGTGTGTGTGTGTGTGTGTGTGTATGTATGTATGTATATACACGCTCAAGTGTTTTGTTTTCACCCATTTCCCACAATTCACCCGTACTACCCTGAAGCTTACTTTCCACCCAGCGCAGTGGATGTTGCACCAACTCAAACTACTTGGATACTGGAGTACTTGCAAAATTATTTCAAATCGATTCAACACTTTATTTTTTGGCAGTGTATTTGCAGTCCGTTTGATTTCCGATGGAAAGCATCTTACAAAATTTCTCATATGATTCAGGAATCACATTCCGTCAGACAGCTGTGTGTGTATATATATATGTATATAGATAAATGATATAAATATAATTAATCTATGCCTTTGCCACTTGTTGCTCGGATTTTGAATATTATGCTACACTTAAATACGAATGATAAGAGCTATGAATAATAATGCGGATCTAGGTTCTCTATAACGCCAGTGACTAATGCCGACAATTAACCGAATGCAGTCAGCTATTATGATGCCCTCCTGGCCCCAAATGGGTGTGGGTGCCGGGCTGGGACTGGGGCTGGGTTTAGTTTTTGTTTGAGCAGGGAACTTGCGACAAACCTGTTGAAAATTTTATTTATTTGCTTGTGCGCGCTCTTGTGCTCTCCAGGTGAGAATGAGCTGGTGATCAACTGTGTGCATATATATACATGTATATGAACCTTTTTAACGACCTGCAGAAGCTACTAAAGTCTTATCAAGCTGGTACCAATTCTGGAGTTTATCTCAGATTCTTTATCGGACTAGTGCTACTGTTGTCTAGTGCGTCAGATAATCGCCTTACCCACTTATTCTCCGAGCTGACTTTGATTTATAAACTTCGCAATGCGTATGCACTTTAAAATACCCTACAACAATTGTTTGATTCAATTTAATCATCATTTACAAAAGGCCCATGTTGAGACGCTCTATCATATTTGCCCTTAAATATATATTGTACTCTTTTGTGCTAAACAAATGAATTTAGTTTTTTATGTTCTCAGTTTCCTAAAACCATTTAAATTGTTTACATGCTTAATAAGGTGCTGTGGGCGTTTTTGGAATGCCTCGCGAAATAGTTTTGGGTACAACTAATTGGTAATTTAATAATTTTTACCCACGTTTACACAAAAAAACACAACAGCTAGTGTAATCAGGCTCTTGTGTATATATAGTATGTCTAAACATTAAATATATAAGTATATGTATGTGCACTGATATGCACATATATTGCTCATATGTTTTTGTACAATTATGTATACACAAACCGCATTAATTTCTTCGTTGAAAAACCGCAAGTTATTCTAGAAACAGAAATGGAAATGCAATTTATGATGAATAATATCAATTCTATTATCCTTAAACAATGTTTCGAGTGAGAGAGAGAAAGAGAGAGACGATATTTAGAATTATAGTTAGCATTGTGCTGATCACTCGTTCAGCTAATGATCCCTTGTGGGAAACTGATTTAGCTTTGAGCAAGGCCAATATATGGAAACTAGAATTCGCACGAACTTGTTGATAGTTTTGTTTTTCGTCTATTTGGCAGGGGTTGATAATGGGCGCTTCCTCCCAAAACTGTTAAGGTACTGTTAATTGAATTTTCTGCTCTTGCCTTTATTCAAAAAAAAAAAAACAAAACAAAACAAAACAACAAATCAAATATTGTTCGTTAAAACTTAAACTGGCATAGTTAAAATATATAAAATAACATAAATTTTAATGAAATTTCTCTGCTTGCAGGTGTTTATGAACAGACGGAACACAACGCGAATCAGTTGAAGTCGTCGTGCTCGATGTGGTCATCGTATTTGTACTCGTCATTGTCAGAGAGATGCGCCAAAGTCTGTTTAGGAAGATAGTCAACTGAGTACTGAGTACTACAAACGGAACAGAATAAACCCCCGCACAACACACACAGGCACACACACACACACGCACACAGCACACGCAACAAGAGAATCCTTTGAAGGAAGCAAGCCATAGCCAAAGAGAGCCTGAGTGTCGTAGAGAACAGCGAGCAACGCCAAAGTACAAATGCTCACGAGCAACTGAGTAAATCGAAATTAAAAGCAAAAACATTCAACAATTTATGTAGCACAAACTTAGAGAGCAAGAAAGCACTAAACGGGATTCGGCTAAAACAAAACAATCTGAGAAACAGCAACACCAAAAACAATTAATTAACTTGAAGCAAGTGGAGGGGGAAAACTACTTTACTATAGAAAACAGGATAAGCCCTACAATCCAACTGAAAGATTTACTCACGTCACGGAGCGTGGTAAAGGCTCGGCAGAACGCGTAAGCGTCCTTTAATCCAGTTAGCATGGAGTGCTGTTTATCGGAAGAGGCCAAGGAACAAAAGCGGATCAATCAGGAAATCGAGAAACAGCTGCGGCGCGACAAGCGAGATGCACGCCGTGAACTTAAACTGCTCCTGCTGGGTGAGTATTGCCCGACCAGATTGGTTGCCCAAAGCAACCATCATCAATCTGCCAGGAGGAGTCCAGCAAAACAGCCTTGACCCATTAATGTAAATGCTTGTGCCTTTGTTGGCTGCACTCCTGGCCCATCGGGGCGCATTGCCCTGTGCTGTGTGGCTTCAATTAGTATGCAAAATTGTATTACTGATACGATGCACATACTATGTACACAGTTTATGTGTGTAATATATTGTGTGATTGAATTTCACTCGCACTCCGCAGCCCGCACTTAATGCAATTGCAATTTATTGCCGCTGTTTGGTATCGCCACATTTTTGCTAATTAGTAGAGTGCTCCTCTATCTGCCGCGATTGAGGTGCGGTCTTGTGGCAGGTTTGGTTGCTTCGCTATGCTCAAATACTAATGCCACACTTGCTTCTTTCCTGATATGCGCAGGCACGGGCGAGTCCGGCAAATCAACGTTCATCAAACAGATGCGTATTATCCATGGCAGCGGGTACTCGGACGATGACAAACGCGGCTACATTAAGCTGGTGTTCCAAAATATATTCATGGCCATGCAGTCCATGATCAAAGCCATGGATATGCTCAAAATATCATATGGTGTTGGCGAGCACAATGTGAGTACTATTAAAGAAGAAAAAAATAACAAAGATTTATATGAAATGTATTAATTTAATTCCCATTTGCTTTGCAGGCACTCGCCGATCTGGTGATGAGCATTGACTATGAAACAGTCACAACATTTGAGGATCCATATTTGAATGCCATAAAAACGCTGTGGTCCGATGTTGGCATACAGGAATGCTACGATCGCCGAAGAGAATATCAGTTGACAGATTCCGCTAAATAGTGAGTTCATTGTTGGACATGGATATATATCCATCGCTCGATGATCGAGCATAGCAAATGAGACAGCAGTTCGCACATTGACGATATTCTTTTAATTAAGGAATAACTTTGATATATACTAAATACGATTTTATTCTTATATATGTATTATGTATAGTTATCTGATGGATCTCGATCGTGTGGCTCAACCTGATTATTTACCCACTGAGCAAGACATTTTAAGAGTTCGTGTGCCGACAACGGGGATCATTGAGTATCCCTTTGACTTAGAAGAGATCAGATTTAGGTAGCTACATTGACTCCAATGTTATTGATTTGCATGTGTCTACTATGTTCTTTGGTTTTTGGTTAATTGTTTATTCGTTTAATTGTTTCCTTTCTAACCAGCACAATTTGTGGAATTTGTCTAAACATATGTATATCATTTAATATAAGTACGATTAGTTTTCAACAAAAAGATCTATGAATGGTTATCGGTTATTCTTAAGCATAAACTCAATCAGGCTGACAGCATTTAGCAGCGGACTGTTTTTACATTGACGAACAAACAGATTGAAAATTCTATTATAAATCTTCCTAAATAAAAATCTTCCAATTAGCTACCTTGACAATATTGAGCGCCTAGGGCAGCCTGATTATTTGCCCAGTGAGCAGGATATATTGCGATCCCGTTGTCCGACAACTGGAATAAATGACTATAGCTTTCCATTGCCTCCACTTGTATTTAGGTATATGTCTATCAATCGCATTTATCTCAACATACATACATAATCAGCTTAAATTTTGAGCAAATCAGCCTGAACTAAAGCAACAACTAGTTAACCAATTTATGTGATTAACAACAACATTCCAATCATATCTCTGTGCATATCATTTGATTTCTTCACGTACTATATAGCTTTTAGTTTAGCTTCTTGGCTTACTTAATCACTCACATAATTTGGCATTGTCTTTAGTTAACCAAGTTCATTATTTATTGCCTTATTAATGCATATTTGCTATATCCAGAATGGTGGATGTCGGCGGTCAGCGTTCGGAGCGAAGAAAGTGGATTCATTGCTTTGAGAATGTTACCTCAATAATATTTTTGGTAGCGCTATCTGAATACGATCAGATCTTGTTTGAATCTGATAATGAGGTAAGTTTAATTGAAATTCTTAATTGGTTATTTCAGTTTACAATTATCTTGAATTTATTGCAGAACCGCATGGAGGAATCAAAAGCTTTATTTAGAACTATTATTACATACCCGTGGTTCCAAAATTCATCAGTTATTCTATTCCTTAACAAGAAAGATTTGTTAGAGGAGAAAATCATGTATTCGCATTTGGTGGACTATTTTCCTGAATACGATGGTACGTACTCTTCGTTTCTCATAATATTTACCACAAGTAATCCCCTTAGATCTATTGCTAATGCTAGTTTTGTAGTTGTGCTAGTTGTAAACTATTTTTCCCATTTTTATTGCTAACAGGTCCACAGCGAGATGCAATAGCAGCCCGTGAATTCATACTGCGCATGTTTGTAGACTTAAATCCAGATTCCGAAAAGATTATCTATTCTCATTTCACCTGTGCTACAGGTAAGTAACGCTTCCTTGTTGGGTGTATATAGCGAGATTGCTTTTGCTGACATTTAACTATTGTAAATACCTCGCGTTAGACCTTTGATCACGATTTGCTTTTGTTGCTCGCCTGCTCAAATCTAGTCGCTAACCAGGCTTTTTTCTTTTGGGTGTTTTGGGTGAAAAGTTACTAAAAACAAATGAGATATTTTAGATACCAGAAACTGCAGCCTCGTGTTCGCCGCTGTGAAAGATACGATCTTGCGATTACTACTAAAAGATATAAAATAAACGACTCACACACTACCCCCAATTATAATGGAATATCGATTGAGAAGCCAACCTATATACATATATAAAAACCTATATAAATTAATTTCATGCCTTACTTTTTGTATGCTTTTATTTGATTCTTAATGATAAAATATAGAGTAAAATCTAATTGTTTATAATTATTGTTTCTCATTATTATGATTATTATTATTATTCCTAAACTACACTTAGTTTTAATGAGATTCGACTGAAGTTAGGAACTCGAAATGAATGTGAATTAATTGGTAATGGCTACAATGACAATTAGATCCATAATTTATGTTGGCCCTTTTGAATGTGACTAAAACAAAGATTTCTTTTTGTTCTCTTCTTTAGATACTGAAAATATAAGGTTTGTGTTTGCAGCTGTAAAGGATACAATTCTGCAATCCAATCTTAAGGAATACAATTTGGTCTAAACTGGATTTGGATCAGAAAACTATTTTTGTGATTTTTATTATACATATATATATATATACAAAATGTATATGTATGTACACACACACACATATATATATATATATATAAATATATATATAATCTTATATATATGCGTTTATATATATACAAATATATAAACATTCATAATTCCTTTTTCGCATATTAATATAAAAACAAAACAAAGAAAGAAAGAATAAAACAAATGTTTGCCGAAGATTAAGCGTAAATTAGGCCCAAACACAAGTTTCTTAAATTTTAACATCAGCAGAAAATTGTAGAATTATACTTAAACTGATGGAAAAAGCAAAACAAGTATAATAATGATGATAATGCGATCGCTATATACATTTTAATTTGTGTGGAATTATAAAATAAAAGAAAAACAAAAAAAAAAAACATCTGATACCAAGTACGAGTAAAGTAAAAATAATATTTAAAATTCATTATTATAGAACTTTTGTAATAAAATTGATAGAAAACATGAGAAAAAAAAAACCAAGATAAGAAAACAAAAAACTATAATTTAATCAAAAGCTTGAAAGGAACAACAAATGGAAACAATTTTTGCCGTACTGAAGCATCAACATTTTACAGAAACCAACAACAAAATGCAACTTATAAACAAATAGTAATTTTGCATAAACAATAAATGTTAGAACTTTCTCATAATCACTTAAAAATCACAACAAATCCTGTAAACTTAAGAAAGATGAAAAAACAACAACAACAACAAAAACAATTGAATCGCAGATATAATATTGTATTTTTTATTAAGCTAAAAGCGTAAATATTGCAACTATTGTTTACTGAAATATTAATATACTACATACGTGTATATACATACATTGCATACATACAGACAAAAACAAACATGCATACATACACAGATAACTATGTAATGTTTAATTAATTAATTCATTTGTATTGCGAGAAAGAATCATTCAAATGTAAATTACAAATCCTAATGCTAATACACGCACACAGACACACAAAATGGGAAACGATTATCAACACGATGATTAAGTACTATATAACGTAATAATGAAAACAAAAACAAAATTGAAAAAAAGGTAACAAACGCATTTGCCTTGTACAAATGACGGCCAGATTACATCTAACTATAATTAATGAAACACGTCTGTTTGTCAAACGTTTTCATAGCCGCAGCATAACTATATTTAGCTACAGTAACAACAACAGCAACAGTCATAATCATCAATATTTAAACTAATTAATGCCTATATGTTATACATACATACAACTACATAAGAACCTACTATCAGATGCAGCTAATCTTGATGCCATCAACAAATTTTCCATAAACTGAAACAAATTTAAAAATAATTTAAAAAAATAAAAAACAAAAAATACTATAAAGATAAAACAAAAACTATGATTATAAATTAAATTGTTAACAATTGTAACATTTCGAAGGAGAACATTTTGTAAGGAATGTAGCTTGATTTTTTTCAAATAATATTTTTAATATACTTATATATTAATTATTATTTTGTTAGTCTGTTTTGCTTATGTTATAGACAATGTTTTGTTTTTGTTTTTAAATTTTAGTTTAATTTAATCTACAGCTATAGAATGTTAGTAAAGCAACAAAACGAAGCGCACACACACAAGCAGAAAACAAAAAAAGTTAATAAAAATAAATCAAATAAAACATAAACAACACCAACAAAACAAAACTATTTATGTAAAAATTCAAATAACACAATTTTTCTCTATGTATGTGGTCAAAAATGAAATGAAAAACACAAACCACACATACATACACACATACATGCATACATGTATATGTAAAATAAATATGAATCAAACAATGTTTTTCATAATTTTATATATCTAGAACTGTTTTGTAGAGAGAAACATTTGGTTTACCACTTGAACTTATCAGTCAAGCGATCGGGCGAGGGGTAAACGAAATGCAGAGCATGGTAAATAATTGTTTTTTATTTTTGTTATTAAATCCTTATTATTATATCCGACTGTTTATTCTATTATTAATTTCTGCTGCTTTGTCAGTTAAACGTCCTTTGCTGGGTAACTCTTTAATCTCAACACACAGTTTTGCTATTCGGAAAAGATAAAAGCAACTTTCCTATTTCAAATATATAGGATTATATATAACACATTTTCGTAACCTCATTTACATATACTTGTAATCGGCATCAATATCCATTTAACATTAACAACCGTACAACTCCGCCGTATAATTGTAATACCAATACGCATCTAGAATATAAGTAAGATTCAACAGTGTGTTGTATAAAGCTTTAATCCACGTAAACCGAAGATGTAGTAAATGAAATGAATAACAAAATTTTTACAATTAATAAATTGATGAATTGATTAGCTTTTAAAAAGCTTGATTAAGTCAATAAATGTGTATTTATATAAGGCAAAAACATATGCGTACCGAATTTTTCGTTGTTTACAAGAAGAAGATGATGCAAAATACATAAGATGCGAAATGCTCGGCTAGCCGAAATTAGAAACCCGATCAGAACAAAAGTTTTGAAAAGATTGCCAATAAAAAGTGTCTACAGATATTAAAGATCCTAAAGTTGGTATGTGCTCTAAAGGGGTTTTTGCAAGGATAACTCATAACGGAACCAAAAACTAATAAAAAAAAAAAAAACAACAAAAAACAACCGAACTAAAAGAAATACAAGCAGTTTAGTTCTTATATAAAATGAAACAAATGCTAGCGACTCCTTTGGGTCGAAGGTCTTACAAGGGTTCAAGCCGAGACGCTGTACATTTTGTATTAGCATTACATACACACACACACACACAGACACACATACATATACTTATATAGTTTTCCGTCCAATGAAGTGCATCGGTGAGCAGAGAAAAGTCTCCAGTATTTTGGTTGACATTGACCACATTCATTTCGCAGGCAAATCCTTAGAGAACGAGCTGAATATCCTTATTTGGGAGCATACCAAATATGCTATAGTTCCATATTGTTAATTGATATCACTCTTTGGTTCAATAATAATGTATGTGTATAAGAAATTTGGGTTTGGAAAACAATTTGGCGGTTTCAACGAGAGAAGTTTTTATGTTTTTGGCAAAAGCTAAATTTGTAATTTTGAACTTAACGCATATGCATATGTATGTAGTCTACATAAACTAACATACCATATTTATAATGAAAAAGAAAAGAAAACAAAAAAAATCAAATACAGAAAACCAACATACATGAGAGTAAAAAAAAAAATTTGGTTTAGTTAGCGTTTTGTGCCTTCTAGTGCTCATTAAATCCATGAAGAAGACCCTGGCAGAAACATTAAAATACAATTTACGTATATAAAAAACAAATATGGCACAAAAAACAATATATATATATATATATATATATATATATATATATATATATAAGATGGTATATTATGTTTGATATTTGCTTTGATATATGATTTGTGATTTTTGTTTGCCATTATTTTGTTCATCTTCATCTTTTCAGATAAAGCATATGTATGTGATCCATTGATTGTTTTTTTTTTTTGTTAGATGGATTAGTTGGCTGTTTTAAGTTTGTCAAGTTTTTGCAATTTGTATGTAAATATTTAGCTTAAAACAAGCTCAAAATGAAGCTATAATAAATGAGCAAGAGTTTGATATAAAATGAAAAATGATCTACTTAAGTATATAATAAATATACATACCCGTATATGTTAAAGTATGTACAAGTATTTTGTATTTTTATATACAAAATTCAAGAACTGCAGGCAAATGGAACATGCAAGCATCTGAATACGTCTCAATTGTATAATGTTTGTATTCTTGTTTAAACTAAAGCCGAAAATCCAAAAGAAAAACAACAAAGAAACAATAGAAATTTTTGAACGAATCGAAATCAATTCAAAATTCGTGTGTGAGAAAAACCAACAAAATGGAAAAAAAAAACAACAAAAGTAATGAAATTATCTGAGTTTAGCTTAGTATTTACTAACGTACTTATGTGTATGTATTTATGAGTTGTTGGGTATCTCGATAAATGGGTTATTTTTTGCTGGGTAGTCATACTTATATACTTATATGCATATGGAATAGAGACCATATTTCATACAATGCTTGAAAAGCTACAAAACTAATTAAATACATAATTATAAAAACAACAACAACAAAAACCACAACAAGAGTCTCTCCCTTTGACGTTGAAATTATTTAAAACTAAGCTACAAAAAAAAAAAAAAATTAATATCTAGAAAAGAAAAACGAAAGAAGGAAAAAAGAAAAAAAAACCAAAATTATGATTATAATATTCCACATCTTTAGGCTACTTTATAAACTTTATATTGTAAATGCGATAGGAGGGGGCTGTCAGGCTGAGTTTGGTCTGACATGATATGAAGATGATGATGACGATGATGATTTTGATGAATGGGAAATATTTTTAACGTACATATTTCTACATACATATAAAACATAAGTGCATACATACATATATAAATCGAGAAGCTAAACCCTTAAACCCCCATACCCCCCCACCACATAAAAACTGCATGCTTAGCTTAAGTCTTGAGGTAAAAGCACGTCCTTAAATAAGTACGTACACACACACACACACACACACCTGCTTACACACACAGATACAGCCACACACATACAGCAATATTCAGATGTATATTCAAGTGTTTCATTGAGTGCAAGATTTTCAACTTGTAGCATTTGAATTGATTGACTTTTTTATGGAAATTTACACAACAACAAAGTGTGGGATTTGTGCACTCAATGAAAATTGCATATATGCATGCATGTGTGCGTGCGTGTGTGCTAGTGTGCGTGCGTGTGTGTGCGTGTTTCTACACATTTGTCATAGAAATCATATTAAAAAAAAAAGAAGATACACGTACTAGACAAAGAATTGATTGTATTGAGGTGGCAATGGTAACTAAGAAATTTTTTAGATAATTAAAAACAAAAACCAAAAAAAAAAAAAACAAACAAAAGAAAAAGTATCTATGTACACCTAAATATATATATATATATTAAAAATAAAAAAAAAATCCAAAAACAACATAATATAAATAAAAATATATTAAAAATAAAAGTGATTTTTCTTTTAGAGCTTTTAAAAACAACTGCTGTCGGGATTTCCTGCAAGTACATTGAAACTTGGCTGAGGTTTGTCGGTGTATGCGTGTGTGTATCTGTGTGTGTTTTCTATGTACTTGTCTACGCTAACAATTGGATTAACAAAGCCTCAATATAAGACTAAAATCAGCAGCATACTAGCCCCAAAAAGAGACAGACAAGGGTATGACACATCAGACTGAACCAAGGACAGAGACAGGGCACCTTTGGAGGCCATAGTTGATGGCTTAAAAAATCTAAGAAACTTACTTTAAAAGTTTGGAATATTAGTATATCTAATAAGAATGGTTTTTAGTTAGCTAAATTATTATTTTTTATGTCTTTAGTTATATAATCTATCTTTATCTCTATTCAATATTCCTCTTGAGTTTAAACAACAAATCAAATAACATATATATAACTTGGCATAGGGCCTGGTCTAATCACACCTGCTCGCATATTCCTATATAGTTCTTTATGTGTCTACAGTGTTCTCTTCTATGTACTGTTTAAGGGCTCGAGGGACGGAAGTGTGTCGGGTCTTCCGCTAGTCCCAAGCCGAGAAGCCGTATAGTTACCAAAATCAGCTTTCTTGCTTTGAACTTGGGCATGGGCACGGGCACGTTTCCTGAATCTGTTTCCACCTGCTGCACGAACTGTGGATCGGCCCAATGTCGTGCCCATAAACCTATATACTACCTGGTGTGGCTGTAGTTGCGGTGCATGCGCCTTGACTGCCTTCGCCAGTGTCAAAGCCACGGCCAGTGCCTCCGTCGGCCAAATATGAAATGTTCACGGCAAATAGAGAACACAACGTTTCGGACTCTCGTCGGGCTAACAACTTTGAGAATTGTTTTTTTACCTTCTCGGAATACAAACTGTATATCCACACATAAATCAACAAGAATATACTCGGTAAAACTACAAAATTCGCAACTGAGTCTAACTAGAGGATAAATTATAACAACAGGATAAGCTCTCGACCAACAGAATTAGGCACGTCACGGAGCGTCCCTTAAGCCAGTTAGCATGGAGTGCTTGTTATCGGAAGAGGCCAAGGAGCAAAAGCGGATCAATCAGGAAATCGAGAAACAGCTGCGGCGCGACAAGCGAGATGCACGCCGTGAACTTAAACTGCTCCTACTGGGTGAGTCTCATATGCATCCACTTAGCCGGACTTAAAAACGAAAGAAACATTCAAGAACTTGAACCCATTATGCATTCAAATGGTTTGCCTCCCCAACGAAGCCATTTGGATGCGCCGCCAAGGGGGTTGCTTAAAATATACCCATATCTAAATATATTTTCCATTTAGTGGCAGTCTCTGTCTCAGTATTTGCATGTGAATCTGTTCCAAGCTTCGATTTTCGATTTTAATATGTTTCCCAGGTACTGGTGAATCGGGAAAGTCAACTTTCATCAAACAGATGCGTATTATCCATGGCAGCGGCTACTCGGACGATGACAAACGCGGCTACATCAAACTGGTCTACCAAAACATATTCATGGCCATGCAGTCCATGATCAAGGCCATGGATATGCTCAAAATAGAATATGGTGGTGCAGAGATTCGCGTAAGCACTAAACATAATTAAGACATTGAAAGGATACAGAATCGAATCATATTTTAGGAATATGCTGAGCTGGTGATGAGCATTGACTATGAATCGGTTACAAGGTTCGAGGATCCATATTTGAATGGCATCAAATGTCTGTGGGCCGATGCTGGCATCCAGGAGTGCTACGATCGCCGAAGAGAATATCAGCTGACAGATTCAGCCAAATAGTGAGTATTTATTTATTATCTATTATAAATAAAGCTCAACTATAATCTGCCATTAAGCTATCTGAGCGATTTGGAGCGAATTGAACAGGCTGATTATTTGCCCACGGAGCAGGATATTTTGCGTGCTCGTGTGCCCACAACTGGAATACTGGAGTATCCATTCGATCTGGATGGCATTGTATTCAGGTTTCGCTCTTTGATTTATTTATAATTCATGTTTTACCTGTACAACATTTTCAAATACTTATAGAATGGTGGATGTTGGCGGTCAGCGTTCGGAGCGAAGAAAGTGGATTCATTGCTTTGAGAATGTGACCTCGATTATATTTTTGGTCGCGCTATCTGAATACGATCAGATCTTGTTTGAATCTGATAATGAGGTAGGTTTAATTACAATTTTTTATGCTGCTCCCGTTAACAATTATCTTGAAATTATTGCAGAACCGCATGGAGGAATCAAAAGCTTTGTTTTGCACTATTATTACATATCCGTGGTTCCAAAACTCATCGATTATTCTCTTTCTAAACAAGAAAGATTTGTTAGAGGAGAAAATCATGATTTCGCATATGGTCGACTATTTTCCAGAATTTGATGGTGAGCTTCTGTTCGTTCTGTACTTTTATTTTTTTTGCTAAGCTTAGCGATAAATTATTGTCGGCAGGTCCAAAACAAGACCATGCAGCGGCAAAACAGTTTGTGTTGAAAAAATACTTGGCCTGCAATCCCGATCCAGAGCGTCAATGTTATTCGCATTTCACAACAGCCACAGGTTCAGTTCTAAACTAAATCTTGTTTATCTTGCTTTACAATGCTCTGCCTTAGATCTTGTTGTTTCTGCTTAGTTGCAGCTGATGTATTGCTAACTGTGATTTAATGCTGAATGATATTAATTATACTCTGTTTGATATTGACAAACAGATACCGAAAACATCAAACTTGTGTTCTGCGCTGTCAAAGATACAATTATGCAAAATGCACTTAAGGAATTCAATTTGGGTTAACTGTATTCCGACGTGGAATTTCTTAGAAAAAACGATCGTTAGCAACAGAGTGCCTTCCTAAACATATGATCTACTGTTTGTTTTGTGAAATGTATTTGCAAATAAATTCCAATTTTAAATAAATATTTAAGCGTCACTCCTTAGGTGTAAAATTGTTTATTTCAAACTTATGTTTTATATCTAAGCTAAGATTTAAATTTAACACTTTTCACATTTCTTGTAGCTCGACTAACACGTAATAACCTTTCCTTTTTAAATTGTAAAAATTAACTATCACAATGAAATAAGTTTTTTCTTTTTCTTTTTTTTTTTGACAATTCATTTAAATAGACGGCATTGCTGAGCAGTGGCCAAAAAACTTAACATTTGAAAACAAAACGAAAGTTAAACACGATTTAAGTATCACATGCACATTCAGAGTTCGAGACAACAACTCAAATAAAATAATAAACATAAAAAATTCAATAGCTAAAAAAAATATTGGTTCGCCTGTATGTAATTTTGGCACTGATTGCAAAGTCGCTGCATTTTTAGATGACTACAAAGTCGCTTAGGTTACGCTCCGGTTGCACCATGCTCGCAGGCATAAGCTGCACCAACTTGTTGAAGAGATATGCGCGACGGTTTTGAAGCTCACACGTGGCTTCGGTGCGCGCACGTTTGGTGCACGACGATCCGCTGGGACTAGATGCAGTCTCTGATATGCCGGAAGTTGCCAAGCTCTCATTTGACTCCAGCGAGATGTTTTCAGCAGCACCTAGCCCAACGTTTTCTTTAATTTCAACTGAAAAGCAAAAAGGTCAGTTACCCAGTTATGGTAAGGGATTTATAGACACCTACCCTTGGTAGTCGCAGATGTTCCTGTACCGAATCTTTCACTTTCAGCGCACAACTCAGGCGTAGCACTGGGACTCTGCGCAGAGTCTTGGCCCTTGTCGTGTGACTTGAAGAGAAGGGAAGCTAACTTATGGAACTGTGTAAAAGTGTTAGGTGTTAACAATTTTGAGCTCTAACAGAATTTAATTGCACTCACGTTATTCACTTGATCCGAATCGGTGTGATCTATAACGTCAGAAATGTTATGTCTCAAATACTCCATCGCCTTCAATGGATCTGAGCGTGCCATTTCCTCATAGCGCAGCTTACGCACCAAAAAGCGGCAATGCTTCAACACCTCCTCGCGTTTGGGCCTGTAATAAGTAGTTAGATGAGTATTTAAAAGTATATAAAAGCCAGCAAAAGAGTACTTTTCCAATTGTAGCAGCCAGAAGTCATCCAAGCGCAGTTGCTGGTACTGGAATATGCCTGGATTGCCACCAAAGAGATAATGGGTCTTGGCCAGTTCATCGTAGACTAACTGATGGGCATATCGTGGGCATGGCTCCAGTACACCATCGCCTTTGCTGGCACCCAAAAAGTTGGCCTTATTAATGGAGTTCACATCCTGTGCGTTATGCCGGCAGTAATAGATGCGTGACCATTTATGGGTGCGCAATGAATAGACCCAAAATGAATTTGAAGCATCTCCATGATGAACGTCGCGTCTGTCCTTTACCTTGTTCAGGCTCTAAGGGATAAACAATATATATTATGGATTGAATCATTGGGAAAGTTCTATCACATACTGAGAATACATATATTTCATCGCGATCACAATCAATGGTAGCGCGGAGCGTGTAACCCGATGATGGCTCAAATTTTGCCTCCGTGCTGGCTGTGTTCCCGAGATATGAATTCTCCTTGTTCATCAGTGAAATGGCCTGCGAATCCACATCGTAAGTAAGTAGCTCATCGAGATCCTCTTTTCCACGCTGACCCCCGTAAATGTAAAGCTTTCGTTGTTTCTGCCAAATCACATAGTTTTAAATGTAACTCAATTTAAGGTCGTATTTAATTACATTATGAAACACCATGCAATGGGTTATGCGCGACTTAATCGACATAACATCCGCCTGAGAAGCGCTCGCATGATGACAGTCTACGAGTATCTGCGTCCAGGTGTTTGTCGCAATATGATACGAAAATAGACCAGAGTATTCTGGTTCAGTCGATGACGTGGGGCTGCGCGGCGTCAAAATTTTGCCACCGAACACATAAATTGTCCGCTTGTCGGCATCGATGCACATCTGGTGATCGTACACAAGCTGTGGTCCACCCACTTGGCTGGTATCATCACAAATTTGCATCCAGGTGCGGGCACGTGTGTCGTACAAGTAAAAGTCACTCTTGATGTAGTCGCTGGTACGTATTGAGTTGTCCAAATAGCGGCCGAGCATAAAAATATTCTCACTGATTGGATCAAAGATAATTTTGTGACAGGAACGCGGAGTTGGTCCATTAGACGACTCGGAACGCTCGCAGAGCAGGGTCCATTCGTCAAGTTCTATGTTGTATACCCACAAGTCGCTGAGATCTTGGTAGCCATCCCAACCACCATATAAATAGATAAGACGTTTTTTGGCATCGACCACCAGTTGATGGCCACCACGGTTACCAGGTTTTATCTCGCTTTCAGTGTATTTCATATGCCAGGTGTGCTTATAGTCCTGCTTGTTCAAATACTCATCCATTAGGCCCTCATCAATGCATTCCGCAATAAAACGCTCCGCACGCTCAAAGTCACCTTGCACCACCTGCAGCAAGAAGGTATTATTAATAAATTTGATACAATTTGATTGCTATAAATATATATAACCAAGTATTTGTGTAATTCACTAATGAGTGGATGCTCCAGTCGCACATTTGTCTGCTCCTGCAACGCCCCAAAGGCCTCCATATAACCCTGCTGACGGAAGTGCTTCAGGCACAGTTTAATAATCTCAGTTTCGCGCAGCGTATTGTAGTTCTTCATGCGCGCACATGTGTACATGGGATCGTCCTGGCCATGGAGCTCAATATACCAGATGCTGAAATTGAAGGATGGTCCCCAAGACAACAATGGCACGATTTTCAGGTAGAGTATGGGCAGATTCTCAGCGCCATCCTCAGTCATGCAGCGCAGTTTGAATACTTCAGGTACATTATCGTTTTTAAGACCACTGCAAATAATCATTTTCATATTAGACTCAGTATCTGTACGGGGGCTATGGTTACCTACGCTTCGAGCAGCAGCACCATGTGCTCATCTTCCAATCCACCATAAACACGAAATTTCTTGATATTGCATACGTGCGATTTCTCAAATTTACCAAACTTGATCTTCTGCACAATGGCGGGTCTTCGGAGTTTCAATGTGAGAAACTGTGGTGGGCTGTTCGTATAGGCGGACCAGCGAGAGGTTTGATCGTTTGGGCAATCGACGAGTACGTTTCTGTAATTCGTATATGAAAACAAACTGTAAAAATACCCACATCGTTGACAGTAGCGACAGCTGCGCAGTTTACAACAACAATTACGAAATGCAACTTTGATATGATATGGGCGGGACGCGTCTTCTATGTATATGCATAGGCACCCATACATACGCACATGTGCATATGCATGTATGTATGCGCATTTACAGCTACAGGAACAAAGCCTCTGACTTACTCAGGCAAATAGTTTGGCGAATAGCTGGAGTAACGGTATATCCCGAAACTTAGACGTTCGGAGAGCGTAAAGGGCTTCTGGGTATTTGGGCCGGGCACAACGGGCACAGCACCATACGAAATTGCCAGTGAGCCATTAGAGCTGTCCGTGGGGCTCGATGTGGTAGTCGTGGAGGCAGACATCCTTGCTTACACTTGAACACTTGTAGTGCAATTAATATTATTTACAGTTTACAGCTTAGTTCTACTGCCGGCAAGCCAAAATACGAAAGAAAAACAATTATCGTGCACCACTAAACTTTTTTTTATGGCATTCACACATAAACGCCAACAAAGTACGCAAACTGGCAGCCAATGTGAATGCTCCACACTTAACGAATGAGCTTCCAAACTTAACGATGTTCATTTTAAGCTGTTATAAGCTGCGATAAGATAAAAAACAATTTAAATGTTCTATTAACTTTTGCAATGGGTTTGGTATATTATTGACTGTAAATAACCTAACCACTTTTGTTTTATTTTTAGCGAAAATTATCTCTCTATTCGAATTTAAAGCTCTAATTACCTATCATTATGTGTAATTATATTTATATTAAGTTGTGTTTGGGAACCAATTGCGTGTTTCATTTCTTCATTTGTGTACAGAATGTCAAAGGGCATGTTAATACATTTTTTAAAGCTATTCATATTTATTGTGATCTCTTGCGTATGTTATATGAAAATATTACCAGAAATCAAAGAGATAATCTATAAATAGTAATATTTACAGAACTATGCTGAAGGAGTGTATTACAAAATTAAAAATATTGAATGCAAAGCAAACCGAAGTCATTTTGAAAATATTTCATGTATTCTGAAGCCCATTAATTGGACGCGGTCCATATTAAATATGGACGGTGATATAATTGGAAACTTGACAAATGCTTTTGTAAGTACAGTTGTCATTTTATTCTCCATCGGGTTTCAAAATATAATCATGCCTATTTGAATTCTTTAGTTATTTGTGGAGACATTTTATCGAGACCATACGAATCTTTATAAGCCATTTATTTTTAAGTTTAAATATAATATCTGTCAACTGCTTGATAAACGAAAACCCAGTAACTTTTTGGAGAGATATGCATTGCTCCATTTAAAATCCCTAACCAACATTAATCACAGTTGCCCATATTCGGTGAGTTTACAATATCATTACTTTTGGATTGATATTATTTACATATGTATTTTAGGGACATTTGTTCGCTCGTAACTTCCATTTGGATGAACTTTCATTGCCACCGCTCCCTCTCCAGGAATACAAAATCATTTTTAACTTTACGCAAAATAATCCTTCGATTAATTTAGCAATCATATTGCTGTATTTCGAAGCACGGGAAGACTATCATAAGAGAACCAGACCTGCTCGTTTCTAATTGCTAAGTTAATCTTTTGTAATTTTATTTTAACTGTATAAGTACCTACTAATATATGTTACATCAGTTATTTGCTGGTTACAGGGTAAATTAAGTCGAGCAATCGCAGACTAGAGTACTTTTCTAGGTTAAGGAGCAGAAATAACTATACTTATCGATATATCGTTATCGAGACGCAGCGATTCGCTCATCTCTAGATAAAGCGTTGCATGGCATTTTTCTATCGTTTTATATTTACGTTCATTCTTGCATTTCTCGCCGTTCTACATAAATAAGTTTGTACCCGAGTTTTAAGTTCCTGTTAAATTTAAAAATGTCTTTTGATGCTATACCTAAAGATCTGCGAGGCCTACGCGCATGTTTGGTTTGCTCCCTTGTTAAGGTACGTATTAATCATTAGCCGCATGCACAGTTCATTTTAAACAATATTTTTTAGACCTTCGATCAATTTGAGACTGATGGCTGTGAAAACTGCGAGGAGTTCCTGCGCATGAAGAATAACAAGGACAATGTCTATGATCACACGAGTAACAATTTTGATGGCATCATCGCACTGACAACACCTAACGATTCCTGGGTGGCAAAATGGCAACGACTTGGTAAGACTTTGTCCAAAGTGTGTGTGTAATTAAATAATCCATGCATCTCCCCGCTTTAGTACGCTTTACGCGCGGCATCTATGCAATCTCCGTATCGGGCACACTGCCACAGTCGACTCTGCGCGATATGAAAAATCGAGGAATCGTATACAAGACAAGGGACAGAAGTCAGCGCTAGGAGTGGTGTATGTTAGCGTACAAATATGTAGTTTATTTTAAGTAATAACAAAGTACCACGAGTACGTACATCTAGAATAAAATACAGATTTAAGAGAAGCTGCTATCAATCATCCAAGGAGCTCACACGCAGTCCAACGCCGCCTGCTGTGGTCACATGCACACCAAAGCCAGCCGCCTCCAGCTCCTCCTTTAGCTTCCAGTAGACCTCGTTGCACTCGTAGTTATCGGGCAGCAAAACAATAGCATATCCACCAGCACCGGCGCCGGTCAATTTGGAAAAGAAGCCACGCTTGAAGGCAATCGTAAATATTTGCTCCAGTTTCGGATGTGAGACGCCAATCGCCTTCAACAGATCGTTGTTTATTTGAAAGAGACGCTCGAGTTTCTCAAACTTTTGGCTGTCATCCTGCGCATTGCCAAAACTCTCGTACAGCGGCACTGCGGAGTTGACCAGCTGCTCGCACGCCTGCCAAATGGCCTCAATGAGCTGCGGAAACTCCTCAGCCAAGTGACGCACTTTAGCAACAATGTCAGCGGTGCTGCGACTGACCCGGCTGTCCACAAGCAAAATGTTGAGCGGCTTCTGTATTCGCAGCGATTGAAAGCCCTGACCCTTGACGAAACGCAGAATACCGCCGTAGGTGCAAACTGTGTTATCCACGCCGGAGGGTGTGCCGTGATTCACGCGTTCCGATTCATAGGCCCAATGCGAAATCAAAGCCAAGTTTTCATCTTGCAAATAGCTGGTTTTATCGAAATGGCCCGCCAATATGAGAAAAGCGGCAGCCAAGGCAGCGCCATAGGAGGCCGAGCTGCCCAGGCCAGCGCCCACATTCAGCTCGGTGTCGACGTGAACCTGGAAACCAGATTGCAGTGTCAACGTGGGTTGATTGGGTGCCGTGAGCACAGCGCCTGCCAGCAGATAATAAACGGATATAAAAGCGCGCTGTGTGTGTTGTTTGGGTGTGCTGCCCACGCTACGTTCCAGCTGCTTGGCCACTTCTGCGCGCACCTCCTCCATTAGCTTCGCAGTGCTCTCCAGCTTGTCGCCAGGATATTTGCTGCGGAAGTTGACCAAAAATGCATTGAACTCGCTGAGTTCTATTTCTAGGGTGCAGTTGAGCGCCTCCAGCTGAAAGCTGGCCACCTGGCTGCCCGCTTGGGTGCGCATCTGAAGTTTGGTGCCCAGGCCCACAACGGCGGCCAGTGCGGGCTTCTGATAAACAACGGCATGCTCGCCATGTAGTATCACCTTGCCAGGAGCGTGCACCTGGAACTTAAGCATTGTTGTTGCTATGTGCGGTGTTTCTGTTAACCGCAATTTTATCTTTGATCGGGATATTTGAATTTCTAATGGAGGGCGCAGCAGTTTATGCAAAATGGCGTCAAGCACGGTTCACTCGAGATCAGATTCTCGCTTTATTTGTATTATGTATGTTTGGCTGAGTTTTTATGTAATGTTACGAGTAGTTTGCGTTTTTATTGTAGCTCCGTTCATCGGCTGTTTCCCTTTCACTTTCTTTGTTCAACTGTTTTTGGGTTTTGACTGGCAAGCGTTTGTCTGACGTTGGCTGGTTGGTTCGGTCACACACACACACACACACGCACACATATGCAGGTATGTACAGGTTTTGGGCTCCACAGTTTAGCAACAGGTTACGGTTATTGCTTCTCTTGCTGTTGCACTTTCTCCCACTCTGCGGGCGTGTATGATTTTTGCGAGAAAGCGTGTATTTCCTTTAGTTCCTCGGCGAGCGTTGTGTTAACTCTTAAATTAAATGCATAATATTTATTACAAATATTTTGTTATTTTAATGTGAGCGAATTACAGTCTGTGCTTTTGCAGGAGTGCTTTTCCCTCGAATGCTTTAGAGACGATGACAGCGCTGAATTTGCCACCACATCCATCGGAGTCGTCTGAAACATGCACGTACGTTGCCTCGAGTTTATCTTTCAGCTTGTCTTCCAAATACTTTGCGGTGTATTTACTCATATTTATTATATTTTATTATTATTTTCTTTTAACAACCAAACTAAGGGAAATGCTGCAGTGGGTAGCGGCAAATTATCGATATAAGAAGATTGCTAATGAGGTTTGACATACGTCACAGAAAATAAAGATGGGATGTTAATATTCACTAAAAAAATAATATAATCACTATTAAAATAATAAACATAGGTTAAAATGAACCGGTTTCTAATAGTTCATGGAGGTAGTCATATATTATTTGTTTATTATACATCTACATAATTGGTGACGTCACAAGCGCGAAATGATTTTTTGACTACCTCCCTATCGTTCTGTAGAAAGTATCGTCTATACGGTGCTATTCTGGACAGCTATCGATTATTTGTAAAACATCAAGATATCGAAATTCTCTCATTCCTAATATAGCATTATTGTGCGTTTTGATAGCGCCATAAATTACTCGTTTTTAGTTTTTTACTTATTTTTTAATAAAAAAGCAAATATTTTACGATAAAAGCTAAGTGAGAAGAGTGTGCAAATAGTTTGGCAAGTTTTAGATCATAGTACTCATGTCATTCTTTGGTGGCAACACATCGCTCGGTGCGACAAGCACACCGGCAAAACGTAAGTAAAATTTGCTATTCCTCAGGTGGTGGTGGTAATGGCACGGAAATGCCATCCGTTAAAGTGCCGGTCAAGCCGTCTTGGCCAAATAGCGTTGCGGGGTAGAACTTGTAGGTAGTGAAAGCAACTTCTTTGCATCATGCAAGCTGTGCACGCGCAATTCCATGTGACTGATGCTAAAATATTAGAGAAATATGAGATAAAAGTGTAAAACAGAACTTCGACAATCGCTACTGCACTCGGACTGTGCACAGACACGTATTATCATGAGAAAACACGGAGAGGACCATGAGGTACCGATTGAACTTGGACGTCCAACTACTCCTAGTCGATTAGCTTCTTTATTTGTTATACTTACCCCTTTTTATGTATAACGTAGCCCAAATAGGCCACGAAAGCCAGCAGCAAAGCTACTAAGAAGATAATCAGTAATGGCATAATTGCAAAGACAGACACATCTGCTGCTGTGCAGCTTCCAAAGCTTACTGATGACCGACCCTCATCAAGCACGGCTCTCGCACTGATAAGATATGTTGCGCGGAAGCTGGACCAGCAACAATGCTTACCAAACACTGACCCCTTTATGTTTCGCTTATCTCTTCTGTTAACAGCGGGCGGCATGTTTGGCTCAGCGTTTGGTGCCACAACTGGGGCTGCGGCGCCGGCTTTTGGAGGCGGCATGTCGACGTCGGCGTTTGGTGCCGCACCCTCAGCTTTTGGTGCAGCCCCAACAAGTGCACCGGCTTCTACACTGGGCGGTGGATTTGGTGGTTTTGGTGCACAAGCACCGACAAGTCAGCCCAGCTTATTTGGAACTCCCGCAATTGGATCGGCACCGCCTGCATTCAGTGGTTTCGGACAGCTGCCAACAACAAGCAATGCGCCTGCTAGTGGATTTTCGGGATTTGGCGCAACAGCGACGACAGCACCAACGTTCGGTGGCTTTGGCGCCAGTCAGACGACTCCGTTTGGCGGCGGCGCCTTTGGATCAAGTAAATTGCACACGAATACAGTTTAGACAAATAATTAAATGTATTATTTTTTCCAGCTTTTGGTAAACCAGCTGCACCGACTGTGACGCCAGGTTTTGGTGGATTTGGTGGTACAAATTTTATGATGGGACAGCCACAGCAGCAGCCTGTGCCGATTTCATCGGATGAGGCCTTTGCGCAGTCTATTCTAAATGTGTCAATATTTGGCGATGAGCGTGACAACATTGTTGCCAAATGGAACTATCTACAGGCCATGTGGGGCACCGGCAAATTATTTTACTCACAAAGCGCTGCGCCGGTGGACATTACGCAGGAGAATTACCTGTGCCGCTTTAAGGCTATAGGCTACAGTCGAATGCCTGGCAAGGACAACAAACTGGGACTGGTTGCACTCAACTTTGATCGTGATCTGGCGACGGTTAAGTAAGTGCCGAAGTATTTATGTGCATTTGTCCTTCATTAATTTGGATGTTTTCTAACTTTAAGGACACAACAGCAACAGATTATACAAACGCTACACAGCTTAATGGGCAGCAAGCCAAATCTATTGGTGCACATCGACGTTCTCAAAGAGCTGGAGAACAAAAAGTGTCAAATGGTCATCTATGTGGAGGAGAAAGTACAGCTTTCTCATGGGCCAAATGATAGCAAGCGAATACTTGCCACCGAGCTGGCCAGTTATTTGGGTCAGGCACAAGTGAAGCCACAGTTGAGCAATTTGGGCATGACAGAAGCTTTGGCTCTGACACTGCCCGACGAAGATCAATTAAAGGAATATTTAGAGAATCCTCCGCGAAGTGTTGATCCACGCATGTGGCGTCAGGCTAATTTAGACAATCCAGATGCCAGCCAATTCATACCTGTACCCATGATTGGTTTTAGCGATCTAAAATGGCGCGTCAAGTGTCAGGAACAAGAGACATTTACGCATGCGCTGTACTTGAAGAAGGTGGAGGGCGAGTTACAGGAACTGCGGCGGCGACATGCTTCCGCAACAGCTAGGATAATGGAGCACAAACGCAAATTAGCCGAAATGAGCCATCGCATACTGAGGGTAAGCGACAGAATGTGTCAACAGTTTAAAAGTTTCTAATATTTAAATGGTTCCTCAATAGATTGTTGTGAAACAGGAATGCACTCGCAAAGTGGGCAGCACATTAACGCCGGAGGAAGAAGCGCTACGCACCAAGCTGCAAAATATGCAGGCCGTCGTCTCGGCGCCCACTCAGTTTAAGGGTCGGCTTAGTGAGCTACTCTCCCAAATTCGGATGCAGCGCAGTCAATTTGCCAACAATGGCCTCCCTGAATATGCACTAGAGAAAAACGCAGAAGATGAGATGCGAACCATAATGACCATGCAGCAGCGCGCAATGGAGGTGTTGAAAGAAACGGTTAACAAGGACCTGGAAGCGCTGGATATTATCATAAAAGGTTTGCCCGAATTACAGCAGACATGATCCTCCATATGACTGTTACCGAAATTATATAGTTGTTTGTCTAATATAGAGTCAATGCACACAAGATGTAGTCGTTACAATTTGTTAATGCTTTTTTATGTTGCGATTGCCACCGGCCTAGTATTTCCTGTAACTTTGAACTTGCACTTTTACGGCTGTTGAGATAAAATATAACAAATGTGCTGGCTCTCGTTGTAACAATCAAAACGAGTTCACATCACACGCTGCGGAAATTATGTGAACGACAATTTTGTATACTCACTCCAAATGGTATGATACATTTGTTTAGCTCTTACCATAAATATAAAGTTTTTTGAAGATTTCTAAAGTGACCAATTGCTCGATTGACTACGATTTCATAAAGTTAAATTGCTTAGAGATTTAAAATGTTTAATGCGGGCTGTTTAAATGTATTAATGATATGTTTCTTCGTTTGCATAGTATTTGAATGCCTAACTTAAGATTTACTTAAACGTTACTTAAGCGTAGAAAAGTCTGTACTTCTGCTAAGGTATTTCGACTTCGACTAGTTAAAGTAGGCTTTGTTTTTGCCATACAAGTTACTCGCTGTTCGAGTCAATGCACTTGGAGCTAGCGGCCGACTTTTCTTTGGCCAGTGCCTGAGATTGGACAATTTTGCAGCGATTACTTGACCATTTGACGCAATTCCGCTCGTTGTCTCTGGCTGCAACGAACTCATTACCAGTGACAAACTCACATCCAGTTTGTTCAACTCCAGGCGGTTCGAGATTGGGTTGTTACATTAACATTATTATGCGGCCAGCCGTGTGTGTGTGTATGTGTGTAGTTTATCTCGTTATATATTTGTTTCTTTTGCGCTGGGAAAACTTGTTTCCCAGCTAACTGTGCCTGGATTGGAGCTGGCTCACATTGTTGTTGCTATTGTTGACTGTGGAGACTTCCGAGAGCTTCCGTTTTAAGACTGGGAAAATGGCAAATGATTGCTGTGTGTGGGGTATAAATGAATTCGTTGTGCCCAGGCCGCCTTACTCATTGTGCGATCTTTGCAACGACAAGTGACGGCTGCCGCTCCGGCAACGTATATGGACTAATAAAAGTGGCTAACAAATCAACAAAACCTGCCATGTCGAATGGGTCAATAATTGTGAGTATACCTCCGGTGTTGCAACTGTAGGATCTGTTATGAATTACTTCCATCTTTCAGTTGCTCTTGTGGGCCTTCTGCTCTGGCGTGGCTGCCACGCCCACGACATCGATACCGCAGCGCCGTGTACAGATGCAGGATGATGTGCAGTTATTGCATCCGCACATCATAACAATTGAACGCTTAGAGCATTTGTTAAGGCGTGCTGGTGAAATCTTTGGTCCAGTTGTCCAAGCCGAAGACTCGGTATCGGCTGGCAGCCAAGTGGACGCCCAGGTGGAGATGCAGTCACAGCCACATCAGTACATGCTGCCACCCACAGACCAGCCATACAACTTCTATTTGCCGCTCTATGATTACGTGGATCCCAAGTTGGATGCCAAGAGCCGGCACATGGAGAAGATAACGCCACCGCCGCAGAGATTGCAGCAGGAGCGCAATTATTACGCCGACAAGCCAAAGAAGACCCCGAAAAAGTTTAATGCAGGGGCCAAGCACATCAATCTCAAGTGGCTCAATACATATGAGAAGGCAATGGGAGGTGTTGCACCGAAGGCCATTTATTTGGAACAGGATGAGCGGAATCGCATTAATTTCGATGACTCCTTCTTTGCGGTTGACATGCACGTAAAGACGCCCGACAATCAGCCGCACAAGGAGCCGAACGTTGTGCCCGTTGAGCTGCTGCAGCATGGCGAACATCTGGCTGAGGATGACCTAATGGCCGCGCCTGCCCAGCTCACATACAACTTCAAGCCAACTCCAATTGTATTGTAATATTTCTGGAGAACTGGAAAACTCAATTGCGTCCAGGACAACTGTTATTTAATTGTAGGCGGTTACAAAAATGCAAAAATATATTTATATAAGTTTATACACAGGGATAAATTCTATTGGATTATGATTTGTATCCTACACCTAAAAATGCTTCCTGATGTGTTGCTCTTAATATGAGTAAAAATACACTATATTAAGCCTGCTTCAGTCTAGCGACACCCTCGCGAACAACTTTCTCAATATCATCGAGCAGACCCGAGGCACCGAAACGGAATAGTTCCGGCTGCAGCCAGTGTATGCCAAGCGTGCTTTTGACCAACGTCATCCACGCAATTGCATCCCGCACATTTCTGATACCACCAGCCGGCTTAAGACCCACAATTTGGCCAGTGAGTCGCTTGAACTCCTGTATGGCCCATATCATGACCAGACCAACAGGCAGTGTGGCGTTCACCGCCTCCTTGCCTGTGGACGTCTTGATGAAGTCCGCGCCCGCCAACATGCACACCATGGAAGCCTTATACACCTGCAAACACAAAGTAGATAAATCTAATCAGGATGCCCATATGTAATGCCAGAAACTTACATTTTCCATAGAGCCCAGCTCGCCAACAGCCAAGATGGTCTTCAGATGTGCACGTGTGCCGCAGGCCTGGCGCATGAGCACCACCTCATCATAGACGCCCTTCCAGTCACCCACCAGCGCCAGCTGTCGGTTAATAACGATGTCGATCTCCGTAGCACCTGCATCAATGGCGTAGCTGATCTCCTCCAGGCGTGTTTTCAAGCCATATTGGCCTGTGGGAAAACCTGTGGCCACTGCGGCTATGGATATGTCTTTCAATTTGCCATACCGCTTCAGAGTCTTGTGTGCATCCGCCACGCGGGCGGGATACACACAAACGGCAGCACAATGAATATCCTTCAGCAAGCTGGGCTCAACAACTTTCTCCAAGAGTTGCGGCTCAAAGGGCAAACATGCGCGCACGCAAAGCCGGCTCACGTTGGATGCAGTATCATCTCCAGCCAAGGTGGTCAAATCTACAAGCGTGAGGGCTTTCAGAGCCCAAGCGAGTTCATAATCACCCGTCACAGTCGAGGTCTTTGATATGCTGGATGCGATCCTATTGACTTCGGGCAGTGAAAAGTTGCTCTTGAGGAAGGTGGCATCTGATAACGAACAGATAAGTAAATAACCATAAGTAAGATAACTATCTTCGAGTCTTTATCTAAGGATTTTGTTTGCTTTTTGTAGCCTATAGTTACACATAACATTTACCATATTTCAGCGTTTTGTTCACGTTATACTCCATTTTGTTGCTCCTTTCCAAAATTTTCAATTGGCAGTTTATTTCATGAGCCAAGCCCCAACGTGTGTATGTGAATCTGTTATCAGCAGATGGCTGCCGCAGCTGTTGGCAGTGTTGCCATACTTTGATTTTCTGAGATCATTTTCGCAAGCACAGGGCTGTTATATTTATGTGAAATTTTTAAATTAGTTTTAGGCGCCAAGAACTTTCCTCAATACATTTCTCATTTTTGTTGTGGCGCTTCAAGCATTTTTTTAACTGTTGGCTTTATTTTGATTTTCCTGCAGCGGCAAAAATTTCTATTTTGATTGCCGAAAACCGAAGTATGCAAAACACCTGTTAATGCTGAGCCCAGTTTATCACATTTTGTCAAATCTCGTACTTTCCCTCTCGCCTGCTTGAAAATGGGAGTAAGAGACGATCGCCGTCGCTGAATCTACAAAAAAAAAAATCAGTTTAAATTCGTTCCCTGGTGGCTGACGTCGAAAAGTAGCTGCATTTAATTTTTTTTTAATTTTATCGTGAACCGGAATTTTTATACCCTGAACCCATTAAAAATGTGTATAAGGGTATATTGTATTTGTGCAAAATCCAAATGTATGTAACAGGCATATCTGTAACCGCTTTCGAAATGTGGGAATGACGTTTATTTGAATTTGATTTTTGTTGTCTTCACAGTATTTAAGTCTAAAAAGGAATTGAGGATAATTGCTAAAACTGGAATTTGCAATTTTTCAATTTTAATACTGAAATGCTTCAGACCGTATTTTTTTTTATAATTTTTATATCATTTAATTTAAAGCTTACGCCTTGACACTTTGAGCGGGAAGTGTGCAATAATTAGTTGGTAATGCTCTATAATAGAGACATATATTTTTGCTACTTATACTTCCTGTTACAAAATTCTTAAGTTATTCTTTATTCGGTAAGGCATTGTGTTTTATCTGTGCAGTTCAAAGTCAAATAATATCAATGGAAATTCCAAATCGCATTCATAAATCAGCGGAAGCTTCAGCCATTCAAACACCTGCCTATCTCTATCCACGGCACAATAGGTCGTATCTTGTGCGAGGAAGCCCTTCTATAAAATTAACAATGCCAATATTTATTACATGCTAAGATTTTTATGGTTAAACTTTTAATTGCGTCTTATATGGCTATGTGTGTATGTATTTATTTCTCAATTCGCCTCAAAATAATAATGTCTCTTGAAATGGGGTTAGCTTCATTGAAAGTGGGAATTAAGTTTATAAAAAGAGGGTGTGAATGTAATGCAAATAGTGATTAGCAGACAATAAAGTGTCAGAATAGAGGTACTTTAAACGTTTTCCGATATACTATCGACAGTTAAGCCGTGGGGTATTGTTTTGATAAGATGTAACAGGTGTAGACCACTTACCGATTGCATCCACTCAACGGCCTGGATTGCCATAGAAAACTTTTAGCATGTGTGAGCAGTTGACATTATAAATAGATGGGCGATACGGTCTGGCGCCGCATATGCAAGTGGATCTATTGGCTATAAAGTGGGCAGTTTTGCAGCAGGCTTACGGTAAATATGACAGCAATACCAACCACATACAATGAGAAGGATAATACCTGGAGTGGGGCCAAGCGGAGCTCCATCTTCAACTATGATATGTCTGTGGGCAAGGTCATATTCAATACCATGAGGAACTGGCCAAAAAATGTGTGCCAAGTGAGTCCTGAAAAAAACAGAAGGAATAACTTGAGATGTTAACAACCTTTATGCAGATCAACGATGTTGACGGCGTTTCTGTCACCAATGGACAGGGCATCACCTGGGCTGTACGCATTGCCCAGTACCTGAAAAAGCGGGGCCTCAACCACAAGGATGTAATTGGCATCGCTGCGAAAAATACCACCTATGTGATGCCCTTGGGTGTGGCCTGTCTAATGAATTGCACACCCTTTCATTCTGTGAATCCAATGCTCGATGAAGGTTTGTCACCCATAGATTCCACTTGGTTTGCCTCCCTGAATTGAATCTTATTTACAGCGACCATTAAGCATGTTTATGAAATAACCAAGCCAATGCTTATATTCTGCGATGGTCTGGATTATAAGAAAATACATGCGGCTACACTGGGCTGGCATCCGGAAATATATACCCTCAGCGATCCCATTGAGGGTGTGCCCAAGATAGAGACTCTGTTGGATCCCACTACCACCGAAATGTTTTATCAGTGAGTAACATAAACAAGTCCAATTTATTTGAATAGTATGTATCAAATATTTACTTATATTTAGACCGGAACTTCTTAAGTCTGGCGGTGATCAAACGGTGGCCATTTTATGCTCCTCTGGCACCACGGGCTTACCAAAAGCCGTTTGCATTTCGAATAGTATCCTTATACAGGAGAGCATGTGAGATTAAATTCGTTTCGTTTTGGTATCGGGAAATCCTAATCAATCTATTACTTTTAGGCTCGTCAACAGTGAATCGGTCATCTTTGTGTCCAGCTCACTGGATTGGATTACTGGCCTGTGGGCCTTCATCTTCAGCACCGTATTTGGTTGTACTCGCATCATCACTAACCGACCCTTTGCACCCGAATATTTTGTGGAATTGGTTAAGAAGTACAAGATCAACTATGCCGTCGTGCCGCCGAGACATTTGTCCGCCTTGATCACGTGTCCGGAAGCCACGGCAGAGTCCCTAATGCCCATACGTATGCTGAATTATGGCGGCGGCTTGGTGTCCATGGCCACGCTGCAGCGTGCCCAGGAGATATGTAAATCGGCCATGTTTAATTCGGGTTACGGCATGACCGAGGTGGGTGCCATAACTGTAAATATTGGTATAAGTAATACCGCATCAGCGGGCCGACTACTGCCGGGCATTAAAATTCGAATTGTCGATGAGGAGGGCAAGAGCCAGAGCTATAATCAGGTCGGCGAGATCTATGTGCACACTGGACAGGCCTGGAATGGTTACTACGGCAATCCCGTGGAAACCCGACGCATGCAAGACTTTGAGGGCTGGTTCCATACCGGCGATCTGGGCTATTTTGATGAACAGAATTTCCTGTACATTGTCGATCGCAAAAAGGAGATCCTCAAGTACCAGGGACTGCACTATTGGCCCACTGAAATCGAGAGTGCGATTGCAGAGCTGCCGCAGGTGCAGGACGTTTGCGTTGTGGGCATCTATGATGAGCGCGAAGGCGATGCGGCTGGCGCCTTGGTTGTCCGGCGCAAGGGCTGCGAGATTAACGCCCAAGAGGTGATTAATCATGTGGCCAAGCGTCTGACTGGCACGCAAAAGCAGCTGCACGCCGGAGTCCGTTTTGTCGATAAGCTGCCAGCCAACGTGAACGGCAAGACTCTCCGAAAGTCAGCCCGGGAGTTGTTTGTCTCCCAGGCAAACTAAGACCACGAGCAAATATATTTCACTTGAATCGTGTACTTCACTTTATAAGTAAGAGTACTTGAGTTCTAAATGAGATACAGATAACCATATCATATACAATTCTTTTGCATTAAGAGTATATAGTCACAGCAAGCCTTAAATTATTATGGTTTTCCGACTAGGAAGTATTGTCACACTAGAAAATCTGGAGATAGTATGGGCTCAGCCATTAGTTGAGTCAGTCGTCCCGGTACCAAAATAACTCAAAACACTTATGCCTAGCTTTATGCCTGGCTTAAAATAAACAACGTTAATATATTGATTAAATTATATCTTATAGCTGTACTTCATGCTTGATAAAGTCCCCTTTTGTCGTGCATTTCATTCTCATGCGATTAAAGCACGCGCAAATGAGGAAGTATTTTAATGGCACTTTTGAATTTTTTTTTTGATATTGGTATAGAATATTCTTATCCACCAGCAACAAGTCTTTAGTATATGTGACTTATAATCTATTTATGAGATACTTAACATTGAGTAAAAAGCAAAGTACAATTGCTCCCACAAGTATCAAGCTGTATATATGTATATCATAGTATTAATCAGGGCGCGAGGTAATAGATAATATGGAAAGGCCTTAGATGTTCTTTAGCAGCAACAAAAAAGCCGGGAATTTTTCAAAGTTGATTGATGATTAGAAGTAGAACACGTTTATCTGGCAATTCAAATCAGACCACGTTTTCGATATGATCTGATTTTACGTGAATAACAATCAATAATAGCTATTAGAGTATTTTTGAAAGCTTTCCACATTGACAAAAAAGTATGATAAGACGCGGACTATACGCAAAGATGATAAGAGTCGCGTGTTCGTTCTGTTGATTAGGGTTATGACGCTTATGGCAGATCCTACACCTGTTTTCTGTAAAATTCATCGTGAGTACAGCATTTACTGATAAGATTTCCCATGAAAAAAGAATTCGTTACTATTTAAGTGAGTGTTACTTTAAGGAACACTTTATTTAGTGGTTGAAACTTGTTGCGGAAAGAACTATAATTGAAATAAAATGGACGATTTCTTTAAAACCAACTACGATCCAATTCAACGCATCTGGAGTGGAGGGAAACCCGCGCCCATGTACGACTTTGATTGTTCAGTTGGTCGAATAATTCACAACAATCTCAGAAACAATCCCAACAACGTTTGCCAGGTAAGCTCAGGTCTTGTGAAATAAATAAAAACTAATCAATTTTATTCTACTACGTCTAGATATGCCTTGCGGATGGGAAAACTGCAACAAACAAGGATATATTTAGCTGGTCCGTGCGACTTGCACAGAATTTCAAGCAGCGTGGACTACGCCACGACGATGTCATCTGCATTTCGGCCAAGAATAGCACCTATGTCACACCTGCCGCGGTGGCCTGCCTTTTCAATGCCACGCCCTTTCACGCAGTCAATCCCACTTTAGATATTAATACGCTTAAACACGTGCTGACGATAACCAAGCCCAAGTTAATCTTCTGCGATGCCGTCGACTATGAGAAGCTAAAGACCGCGAGTGCAGCCTGGACACCTGAACTGATAACAGTCACGGGTAAAGTGGAGGGTGTGGTGTATATAGAGGAACTGCTCTCCCCAACGAAAACTGAAATGTTCTATCAGTAAGTTGAAGTGCATTCATATTCCAAATGGTTCTAAGGTTTATTCCACTATTTCAATTTGTTGCAGACCACAATCGCTGCTTTTGGGCGGTGATCAGACTGTGGCCATATTGTGTTCGTCTGGAACTACAGCACAGCCCAAAGCTGTTTGCTTAGCAAACCACATGCTGACGGTTGGCAATCCGTAAGTATTAGACCCTTCATTTTAAAGGCTAGACATTCCTTAATCGTGCAATATTTTTGCAGCTTCGTTAACAGCGAATTAGTCATCTACTGCGGCTCCAGCTTAGATTGGTACACGGGTGTTTTGAACTTTATGAACAGCGTAGCGGATGGCTGTACACGCGTCATACCCGATAAGCCCTACAGTGCTGAGTATTTGTTAGAGCTCATTGATAAGTACAAGATCAATATCATAAGCTGTGCGCCTCGTCACGCTAGCGAGTTGCTCGCCTGTCCTCAAGCCACACCTGAGCGAATGGCGACGGTGTTTGTACTGGGAGTCGGGGGTGGTTGGATACCCCCCGTGACACTTCAGAAGTTGAAAAACATACTTAAAAATGGGAATATCTATTTTGGTTATGGTGCTACGGAATTTGGAGCAGTTTCTGCCGGTCCTTATATTGAGAAGCTGGGTAACACAGTGGGAACACTCGTGTCCGGAATTAAGGTTCGCATTGTCGATGAAAACGGAAAGAATCTTTGCCACGGAGAAGTTGGAGAGGTTTATATCCATCATGGCCGCAAATGGAGCGGCTACTACGGTAACCCACTGGAAACCCAGCGCATGCAGGACTCTCTGGGCTGGTTCCACTCGGGTGATTTGGGCTACTTTGATGAACACAATAACCTGTACATCGTGGACCGCAAAAAGGAAATCTATAAATGCTTGGGAATGCAATACGGGCCCAGCGATATCGAGGCAGCCATTGCTGAGCTACCCGATGTACATGAAGTGTGTGTGGTGGGCCTCTATGATGAGAAATACGGCGATGCACCTGCTGCCATGGTCGTAAAACGTCCTGGCAGCACCTTGAGCGCAGCCCAGATCAAAGAGCATGTGGCCAAGCGGTTGGTTGTCGAGTTTAAGCAATTGCATGGAGGCGTTTACTTCGCGGATGAGTTGCCCCATAATGCCAATGGCAAGGTGCTCCGGCGAGTGGTCAAAGAGAAGCTGATGCAGGCGAATTTGGATCGTTAATAAAAATTGTATTAATTTAGTTTACATATACATATATGCGAATTTTAAACAACCAAGTGGGAAAAGAAAGAGGTTTTTTTTTTTGCCAGCTATAACATCAACATCAACATAACTGAGTTGAACCTATGTTGTCTCGTATAAAATGCAGTTGTTTCCTAAAAGTATGCTTTATTTATCTTAATTCATTCTAATCACTGACAAAATTTATTGAAATTTTGTACTCTGTTTATCACAAAAATATATTTTAATAAGCATTTCCAATAATATATTCAATTAAGAGACTCAAACTATAAGATACTCCCAATATTTATATATATATATATATATCTCCAACTTCTCCACCGCAAATAACGTTTGTATAAAACTCTTTGGCTTACTATCTAATCGGCCAAAAACCTATTTTTGAATATCTTTGCTCGAATTAATCTAAGGGATTTTTAACACTTTTTGGAAAAGTCATTTCTCCTTGGTATAAATGGGGGTCACAAATTTGTGGCTATTTTTTTATTCGGTAAGACTTATGTCATAGTCGTCTATGCCGCACTACAACTTGTACATAATACATTCATAATTTACCTATCATTAGTCAAAACGTATTGCCGCAATCTGGCGCTATCTACAAATATGATAAGACTACGTCATAGTATTAGCTATCGCCGCATTCTTGATTTTAAGTGGACTACAGTCTATTGGCTAAAAGAGCTTTTCTAACAGGAAAGTTCTCTGAAATTGCTATTCATAGTGACTGTGCATTTTTTTAAAGCGAACAATCTCTTTCAGAATCTTCTCTGAAGTTGCTATTCATAGTGAGTTCGCGTTTTATGGGTTAGGTCCACAGAATGAATTCAAAAGGTCGGTTTTTAATAACATAAGATAAAGTTTAGGGCAAGCTATTTAAGCGACCGCTCTTTTTCAGAAACAACTTAGTTTGTCTTCAACTCTTGTCAAAATAAACGAATTCCGAAACATGTGTGCAGCAGGCTACGATCCCATCAAACGCATCTGGAGGGGAGAAAAATCCATGCCTCTGTATGATTTCGATTGTTCAATTGGCCGAATAATTCACAACAATCTCAAAAATAATCCGAAAAAAGTTTGCCATGTAAGTTTGACACTTATGAGATATGCAGATCAATTAGTATTTTCTTTCTTATATGTTTTTTTTATTCTAGATATGCATTGAGGATGGGAAAACGGTGACAAGCCAGCAAATATTAAACTGGTCCGTGAGACTTGCCCAGAATTTCGAGCAGCGTGGACTACGCCACGACGACGTCATCTGCATTTCGGCCAAGAATAGCACCTATGTCACACCTGCCGCTGTGGCCTGCCTTTTTAATGCCACGCCCTTCCACGCAGTTAATCCCATCTTAGATATCAATACCCTAACACACGTGCTGACGATAACCAAGCCCAAGTTAATCTTCTGCGATGCCGTCGACTATGAGAAGCTAAAGACCGCGAGTGCAGCCTGGACACCTGAACTGATAACAGTCACGGGTAAAGTGGAGGGTGTGACGTATATAGAGGAACTGCTCTCCCCAACGGAGACTGAAATGTTATATCGGTAAGTTGATAGTATCAATTATATACCTAGTCGATTTTCTACTAACGAACTGTGCTATATATATTTATACAGACCAAAAACCTTGATTTTGGGCGGTGATCAGACTATGTTGATTTTGTGTTCCTCCGGTACTACCGGACTTCCCAAAGCTGTTTGCATTGCAAACAATATGCTTGATTGTAGTAACAAGTAGGTTTTATAATTTACACAAGAAAACATATGACTGGATAGTTAATCTTTCATTATTATTTATCCAGTTTTGTAACCGCCGAATCGGTCGTCTACTGTCCCTCTGGGCTAGACTGGGTCACAGGCATTCTCAGTTTATTATGGAGCGTTGCAAATGGTTGCACAAGAATTTTAACCAACCAATCCTTTAGTGAAAATAATTTTCTAGAGCTGGTTGTCAAGTATAAAATCACTATTGCGATTCTTGCACCGGTTTACGTTTCTGCATTAGTCACCTACCCCGCGGCCTCAGCTGAAAAACTAGCTAGTTTAAGGACTGTATTCGTGGGTGGTGGGTGGATGCCATCGGAAACACTTCAGAAGATGCAAAACCTGCTTAAAAACGGTGTTATTATCTTTATGTATGCTGCTACCGAATTTGGTCAAGTTGCTTGCGCCATTTTTTCGGAAAAGCTTGGCATCACAGTGGGCAAGCCATTGCCCGGAATTCAAGTGCGCATACTGGACGAGAACTGCAGTAATTTGAGTCATGGAGAAGTGGGAGAGATATGTGTGCACCATGGCCGCAAATGGAGCGGCTACTACGGAAATCCAATAGAAACGCAGCGCATGCAGGATTCTTCGGGCTGGTTCCACTCGGGTGATCTGGGCTACTTTGACGAAAACAATAACCTGTACATCGTGGACCGCAAAAAGGAAATCTATAAATGCTTGGGAATGCAATACGGGCCCACTGATATTGAGGCAGCCATTGCTGAGCTACCCGATGTTCAAGAAGTGTGTGTGGTGGGCCTCTACGATGAGAAATACGGCGATGCACCTGCTGCCATGGTCGTAAAACGACCTGGTAGCACCTTGACTGGAGATCAGATCAAAGAGCATGTGTCCAAGCGGTTGGTTGTCGAGTTTAAGCAATTGCATGGAGGCGTTTACTTCGTGGGTGAGTTACCCTATAATGCAAATGGCAAGGTGCTCCGTCGAACAGTCAAAGAGAAGCTGACACAGGCTTATTTAAATGGTTTGTAAAGCTGTTATTTGTTTGGTTTAAATATATATAAGGATTTTCTACACACAAGTGGCAAAAGAAATAGAAACTTTTATTTGCCAGCCAAAACATGGTACAAACTTTTTTGTCTCGTAGAGCATGCAGTTAAAAGTGTTGCCCAAAAGTATGCTTTATATTTTGTTGCTTCTTTGTGGCAGTTATTGGGGTCTAGCAAAATCATAAGCACCCTCATGCCCCTCATGAAAAATTGTACGATTAGCCTTATCAATTAACTGAGATTTTATGAAGTCTTGGATTTTTCTATTCTATTTAACATAAAATACATTGGAATTGATTATTGCAAATATTTAAATTTAAATTTCTTCAAACTTGGGATATATACATATATATAAATATATATAAATATATTTAGATAATTTATATATATATAATTTTATTTATTTATTTAATTTTGTCTATATTACTTAGAAAATGTGTTTAGATTAGTCGTTAATCTCTACAGTCGAGATAAAATTGTATCTGTCGCAACGCTGTGAATAGAGTATTGCGGGTCCATTGCATTCGACAGCATTGTTCCTACTGGTTTTCTTATCGAGACGACATTTATATAGTCGTTGACGCCACATTCCATCTACACAACATTCAAACTTTACCTATCATTATTCAAAGTGTACAGAATGCAATCAGTTGCTATTGCGATATCTCTCATAGGAATAGTTATCGCTGTACTCTTTACTATATATTGGTCTAGAGCTTATTGATTAAAGCAACAAAGTTCTCTGAAATTGCCATTCATACTGAGTGTGCTATTTAACCAATAGGTTCACAGAATGAATACAGAGGTGAGTTTCTGATAAAATAGATTAAATGATATGCAAGCTATTTAAACGAGCGCTTTATTTTAGGAGCAGCTCAGTTTGTATTCAACTCTTGCCAGAAATAGTCAGAAAAATGGATGAAATCAGCTACGATCCCATCAAACGCATCTGGAGTGGAAAAAAGGCCATGCCTATGTACGACTTAGATTGTTCAATTGGCCGAATAATTCACAATAATCTCAAAAATAATCCCAAAAACATTTGCCAGGTAAGCTCAGGTCTTGTCAGATATGTATTTCAATTAATAATTTTCATTCTACTAAGTCTAGATATGCATTGAGGATGGGAAAACTGCGACAAGCCAGCAAATATTAAGCTGGTCCGTGCGACTTGCACAGAATTTTAAGCAGCGGGGACTAAGTCACGATGATGTCATTTGCATATCGGCCAAGAATAGCACCTTTGTCACACCTGCCGCTGTGGCCTGCCTTTTTAATGCCACGCCCTTCCACGCAGTTAATCCCATCTTAGATATCAATACCCTAACACACTTGCTGACGATAACCAAGCCCAAGTTAATTTTCTGCGATGCCGTCGACTATGAGAAGCTAAAGACCGCGAGTGCAGCCTGGACACCTGAACTGATAACAGTCACGGGTAAAGTGGAGGGTGTGACGTATATAGAGGAACTGCTCTCCCCAACGGAGACTGAAATGTTCTATCAGTAAGTTAATACTATCAGTAGTATACCTAGTCTCTTTATTATCTATTAACGTACTTAACTATATATTTCTATGTAGACCACAACCCTTGATTTTGGGCGGCGATCAGACTGTGTTTATCTTGTGTTCCTCCGGTACTACTGGACTTCCCAAAGCTGTTTGCATTGCAAACCATACGTTTGATTGTAGTAACAAGTAGGTATTTAATTTACATAAGAAAACATAAGACCGGGACGTTATCCATCTTATTTATTTAGTTATGTCACCTGCGAATCGGTCGCCTACTGTCCCTCTGGACTAGACTGGGCCACAGGCATTCTCTTCTTATTATGGAGCGTTGCGAATGGCTGCACAAGAATTTTAACCAACCAGCCTTTCAGTGCCGAATATTTTCTGGAACTAGTTGTCAAGTATAAAATCACTACAGTAATTCTCGTACCGGTTTACATTTCCGCACTAGTCGCATGCCCAGAGGCCTCAGCTGAAAAACTAGCTAGTCTGACGACTTTAGTCGTGGGTGGGGGGTGGATACCATCGGAGATACTTCAGAAGATGCAAAGCCTGCTTAAAAACGGTGTTATCATCTTCACATATGGTTCTACAGAAATCGGTGGAATTGCAGGCGGCATTTATACGGAAAAGTTTGGCACGACAGTAGGCAAGCTAGCGCCTGGAATCCAAGTGCGCATATTGGACGAGAACTGCAGTAATCTGAGCCATGGAGAAGTGGGAGAGGTGTGTGTGCACCGGGGCCGCAAATGGAGCGGCTACTACGGTAACCTACTGGAATCCCAGCGTATGCAGGACTCTCTGGGCTGGTTCCACTCGGGTGATTTGGGCTACTTTGATGAACACAATAACCTGTATATCGTGGACCGCAAAAAGGAAATCTTCAAATGTCTGACGATGCATTACTGGCCCAATGAGATCGAGGCAGTCATTGCTGAGCTACCCGATGTCCAACAAGTTTGTGTGGCAGGCGTTTATATTGAGAAGTACGGCGATGCACCTGCAGCCATGGTCGTAAAACGACCTGGAAGCACCCTGAGTGCAGATCAGATTAAAGAGCATGTGGCCAAGCGGTTGGTGGTCGAGTTTAAGCGATTGTTTGGAGGCGTTTACTTCGCGGATGAGTTGCCCCAGAATGCCAACGGTAAGGTGCTCCGTCGAGTGGTCAAAGAAAAGCTGACACAGGCTAATTTGGATCGTTAAAATGTGTTTAGTTAAGCTTTAATTATTTAAATACATTAATATCTTTTTCTAATTACAATTAGCCCCTGAGTTGAACTTAGGCGATGGAGTACCGCGTTAATTAGCCTATAAATATGCCAAGACACTGCTCCAGATGATTAGGAGCAACGTCAAGCAGCTCTGACGACCTGCAGTCGAACTTAGCGCTGGTTGCGGCTGCTCCTCCGTGGTCATGGATGTGACACTGGCCCCGGAGCTGTGATCGTGCTGCGTTGGCTGCGGCAGCTGTTGCTGCCGTATGTTACCCGTTTTGATCTCAACCTTGGGCAAGGGAAAGCAATAGACGCGCTCGACCTCTACCAGGAGCGCGGTGGTGCTTTCTGCGGCCGTCTCGGTGACAGTTAGAGGCACACAAATTTTCGGCTCCTCGGCTGAGTTGCGTTCCTCGTAGGGAATGCCCACGCGTGTTATGTTGAGTGGCAGCTGGGGCAATAGGGTGTCCGGAACGCTTAGCTCGCTGTGCATTTGGGCGGAGTTTAGGCTCTCCTCGTAGTACTTATAGTCGTCCACATCCTCATCAATTCGATCAATGCTGTCGACATGTTCGATGCGATCGATACTGCCGCTACTGGCATCTGTGTAGATGCGCTCCGTGCTGCTCGAGGCGGCATCCAGAAAGTCAGTGGGCCAATTGAGCGCCACTGTGGTGAACTCCGTGGCAAGGCTAGAGCTGAGCGTGGGCGCTGGTGTACTGCTTACCTTGGCCATCACTCTTGGCACTGGCTGCGTGCTCTCGTAGCTGGGCGTGGGATACGGATAGGGTAGCGGCATCCAGCTGTCTTCGGTGGTTTGTCGATGCGCTGTCGTTGCCTCAATGGACTCGTTGATTTGCTTGGCCATGGCCCGCATCAAGGGATCCGACGCATTCATGTGTACCACTTCAATCGGAGATTCGGATGGCTGCATTTGTATATTACCTGGCGGTATGCGCCAGCGACCGCGTGATTCTTGGGAACGCTCGAAGCTATCGCGACGTGGGAAGGGGTTCTGATAGCCATCCGAAGCAGTGCGTCTCTCCGTTTCCGATGAATGCTCCTCGCTGGACGAATCACGCCTGTCGTTTGCTGCAACTGGTACAAACAACTGGGTGAGTAGCTTACATAGCTTAAGTGTAATCAATTGTGTTTAACACAATTAACTAAAAGTTCAAGTTATGCAACTTAAAGCTTTAACATCTATAACGTCCATAATATCATTACAATTAAGCTCCCTTAAAGCTCGACAAACAGTTTGTCGTGAGTCTTTATCTTAAAGCTCTTAAAGCTTAAAGCTTCGCAGACTGCCTGGTAATTTTTGGATGGTTCTGGCACTTACCATCCGCTGGCAAGCCCATTAGCATGGCTTCGAGGCGTCCGTATACGCGTTGCTTGGGCTGCGTCTCCCCAACGCTGGGTCTAAGTGGATGATGATCCGGCTTCCAGTTACCGTACACCACAGCCTCATTTGGCATGGCTAGATTCGCAGCATTGTTGTCCAGCTGCTCCTCACGCAGCAGCGGAATGTGCGTGTGTACTGTAGAGCTGGCAGGCATGGGAGCAACTGCACCATAGCCGGGCCAATTCATGGGTCCATGCCCGGGCATGGGCGGCGGTGGCGGCAGCGGCGGTTGCGGCACTTGCATATCCGCAATGCGTATACGACCCCGAGGCCGAAGTGCTTGCAGCTGCTGGGCATCCGGCTCGGTCTGCCCCAGGATCAGCTGGCAACTGGACGCAATCAAAAGCCAAAGAATCAGAAGAGTCAAATGCTTGTTGGCCATAGTCAAATGGGACCAACAGTTTCAACGGTTTCTGTTCGTTTCAGTTTCGGTTTCTATTTACTGAAATGATGTGCCACTTTTGAAGTGGATGTTGTTGTTGTTGTTTTTGTTATTATTGTTTTTGTTGTGTATCTTCCATTCACAGTTAGCTACTTCTTTATTGTTAAATTGTTGTTGCTGTTGTTGTTTGGCAAAGAAAACAACAGCAACAAGTCATTGTCTGAGACGGTATCGATTCTCAATTCCACCTGCCCCTTAATATACGCACTTTGTTGATGTTGATTTCTGATTTCAGTTTTTTAGTTATTTGAGTTTCTTTGGCTTCTGCTTTTGCACGTTTCGTGGTCTAAACGCGGCGGCTTCTAAACGGCAACTGACGTTGGCCAAATCAATTTGCGGACGGTTCAGTTGCCACCAGCATTGGACTGAACGCAACGGCCAGAGAAACATTCTTAATCATATAGATATAGAAATTTTTCTTTTGTTCAGTTTTTCGCTTAATTATGCGCAAGAGCGTTAAAATTTAATGGCGAATAAACATTCTTTCGTTGTGGTCGGTGAAAATGCAGCGGATTTGATTTATTTCACGAGGCAGAGGGTTCTGCTTAGATATCTCTCTCTCACTCTCTCTCTCTCTATATATGTATATATATAGAGGCTTATATATAGCTATGTGTTTATGCTGAGATTTATGCAAATTACTTGCCAAGTCGCCGTTTGTGCTACTAAAAAGTTGGCTTGTTAATTTTTTTTTGGCATCGCTTGTTCTTCTTCGAACTATTCGTAAATATCTTCAAAATCTGTCGATTGTCGCTGTGGGCAACTTTTCACCAAATTGATTGGTTCAACGGTAAAACAGTTGTAGGCCGAAGAAGTGAGAGAAGTTCACATTAGATATATCTATAAGCCAGTAAGATATTAATATTTAAATGGCTTTCATTGGATGCATTACTTTATATAATTTAATAATCACTTAATGCCATCCACTATTGAATTCTACCAGACTCTACTATAGAATCTAGTAAAATCGAGCAAGCCTGGAAAATTTTAAGTCCACTTTGTTCAAGTACGATAATAAAAACTTAAAAAATAAGCAAGTTTTTTATCAATTAAGACTTTTTGAAAATTTATGCTTCGGTTGCGACTCAGTTTAGTCTGTGTCTGGCTAAAGATTCGGTTCACTTAAATTAAGGTTTTCATCGGGTTGCCGTATATAAAATATCATATAAACATATCTGAAAAATGTTGTCAAAATGTTATATATAACAACTTTCTAAACTGTGCATCTATCTCATAGGAACTAACTACTTATTGTCATAGCCTCGTTTAATAAGTGAAGCTGAAAATACAGATTTTCCTGCCAAATTATTGGAATGGCGCCCATTGAAGCGGCTCTCGAGTGACTTCAACTCAAACCACTCGAAAAAATGGAAACCAAGTCGAAGCGTCAAAAGAAAAGCTGTCATAATTATGCAACAGCTGGTCTGACTGCGATGTCAATAGGCACAAAGCGATGCATATGGAAAATCGACGCTATGAAAACTGAAAATGCTAAATATTAAAAAAAAAAAAATTATACAGCATTGAATGGGATCAACAAACGGACACATGCGGTAATTTAAGGTTTGAAAAAAAATATATTAAAAAAATTATAATAAAAACAGCCAACAGAAACCGAATTAAAAAACCCATTGCGCATTGTCACGTTTTGTGCACATTATATGGGTATGCACATGTGTATAAGAAGGGGATAATATGGAAATGGAAAAGCGTTGAATAATGTTGGCTTGGGGTCGCGCTTGTGAGTTTGGAAATTTTATTTTTCCGCTGTTATTGTGATTGTTTTTTTTTCTTTTCATTTATTCAACAAAACTTTCACGATCGTTAACATAAATATTTGTGCTGTGGCTGTTTTTTAGGTATAGTTATTTGGGGAAATATTTTAGAATTTAGAGCAGAAATCACAGTCTTTCGGTTGGTTAGGGTCATTAGAGGAGGGGAGGCAAGTAGTTAACTTAAAAATTTGGAAAAATATCAGAAATGCAGCACGTTATCTGGTTGAGAGGTTTTGGTTGCGGCGACTCTCTACTGATTCTCCAGCAGGCCAATGTATTGGCCGTTCTGATTGGCCACACGCCGTTCCTCCAGCTTCTTGGCAAAGCTGGGATCATTCTTGGCGCGCTGCTCCAGGCGCTCCTGCTGCAGCTTGATGCCCGCATAGATCTGGTCCAGGCCCTTTTGTATCTCCTCGGGTATGGCTGGCGGTGTTGGTATGTGATCTCCAGTGGCACGGAAGCCATTCTCGTCGGCTGTGTACTGCACATTGACCAAGGTTCCTTCCGGCGATTGGTATGAGTATTGGCCATGCTGCACTAAAACGCCATGGGGATTGGTATCGAAATCCTTGAGGAAGCCCGTCTCCTCGTGTATTATGTTATTGCCGGTCTCGTATTCGGTCTTGTAGCTGCCATCCTCACTCTGCTCCTTGTTGTACTTCAGTATGGGTATCCAGGTGCTCGTCTCGCGTAGATCCTCATGACGATGATCAGGTTTCTCATCGCGCGGAATATTGTTAGCATTTAGGTGTGCATGATGCTGATGCTGATGTTGGTGCTGATGCTGGGCATGGCACGAAAGGGCAAACAGCGAAATAAGTATCTAATAATTAAAAGAAGTTGAAATCTTATATCAGGCTGATATATACTACTGATACTAGATAAAGTTATAAATATTATTAAAATTACAATTGCGCGAAAATCATTAAAATAACCCAGAAACTCGCCGTTCAATTGTTCTAATGCCAAGGATACTTTGACAGAAATGTTAGCTGGGAAATTAATATAATTGTGATAATATTAAGAAAAGCCAATAAATTATTGAATATGAATAATTCCAGTATATTTATGGACTATTTAATTTACAAATCTGCAAATTCAATTAATAATTATTATTAATAAAAACTCAATAATTTGTATATATTTTATTTTGTTTTTATTTTATGAAAAATGTATATAAATTTAATTATTAATTTATTTTCCTTTTTTTACAGGTTTCAAACACAAAGACGGCACAACTTTCCAGGATATGTAATGCTTACTTTTTTTAATTTTTTAATTTATAGAAAAAATGTAGAGTTTTATGGCTTTTACATAAACAGCTTGTAGACATAGCTCGCAGTTGATAATAATTTTTGGTTTATATGTTAAGCTCTTAATAGTTTATTTACTTTTACTTATGACCACGATCACACAAGCCACAACCCAGACAGCCACAACAGTTTTACAGATCAACTTACAAACACTTTCATTTTGTTATGCGTTGATTGATTGACGATTCACTTGCAAGGATTTGTTGTAACTGTGCATTTACACTTGTTTTTAGCAAATATGTTGCAGTTGCAACTGTTGACGCGTTTGATGCGGCGCCCGTTCGGCTGGCAAGTGAAAGCTGCAACGGTTCGAACTGTGCTGCGGCGGCCCTATTTAAGAGCTTTATATAGCCGCGCGACTTTGTCGGTGTCTCCTGCGCGCTCGCAGCTGGAGCCCACACCAGCGAGCGCCTTGGCCAAAGAGACACATAAATAGAGATAGAGTTACAGATACAGTTACAGCACAGATACAGATACAGATACATTGGCATATTGTTGCAATTGCCATAGCTGTAGAAGCTGTCGTTGCTCTTTAACTCTGTCTTCTTGTTTTTGTTGTTGGTTTTTATAAAAAACTTGTTAATTATGGGCTGAAGACCCAATGATCTAAACTAGAAATAGAATACTTTTGCTTTCGTCCAAATTGAGAATTTCAAGAGAGTTTTGTTTTTACGCGCTACAAAAATCAATTAATACGCTTTTTGTATATATTTTTGATAGTTTTCTGGAGCATTAACATATAATAAATAATGATAGGCACTTACCCCTATACCATATTTGTATCATAGGTATTAAAATCCCCAGATCTTTAAATAATCTCAATTTATTTTGGTAGCGTCTAAATCAAGCAACGTCTTTGATAGAAACTTACCCCTATACCATATTTATACCATATTAAGATCCCCAGATTTTTCAATAGTCTTTATTTATTTTTGTAGCAACGTCTTTGGATTTCATATAATAGTTATGCATAGTTATGGCATGGTATGGTATGGTAATAGGCACGGCGCAAGGTGTGCGGGTTGTCTGCGTCTGTCCGGTCGTTCATCTTCGTAATGCCGTTATTTAGAAATAAGCCAGAACGAGTTTTTTCTGCAAGCTTCGACGTTTGTTGTCTTCGCCAAAATGCAGCCGAACCATGCAAAACGCTCTCCCAGCCAGTTTACGGTCGAGAGTCTAGCTCAGTCGCTCTCTCTCTCATTCTCTCTCTCTCTCTCTGATCTCCGTTTCTCTCGCTCAAGTGGAGAAGATGTTGCTAGCAGCGGCTGCGTTTGCTTGGATTCTTGTAATAGTAGCAGCGCCTTTTGACTGGATTGTTTGTATGGCATTAGGGGAATTCGGAGGCGGGGGAACTTGGCATAGAGGACAGTGACATACAATATATGTGGCATAGACTGAAATGAAAATTGTTGTAATACTCGTGCAGCTATGGATCGGGTTTGGTTTTTGTTTGTTTTTCGCTTGCTGCAGATGCAGATGAGGCAAGACGATAATTGAGTTCAAAACGGCAATGGGTAATGGATCTTGGCAAATGTTAATTAGTTGTGGAAAATGGGTCAAGCTGTGACGATAATATCATGCAAAAGCGATTACCACGATTACTTGCCAATCTCTGCTGATGGACCCAAACCCCAAAAAAAAAAAAACAAAGCAAATAAATTTGATTTCAAAGATGCGAGAATCACTTGCAACATAATGCGAAAAGTTGAATAACCGCGTTGCCGGTTACTGAGGGAGAGAGAAAGAGCGAGAGAGAGACAGGTAGAGCCAGTAAAAACTGGTCAACTCTTGCCGCTTGCCATAACAACAATATTTTTGGGCCTGGCCGCCGCCTGCACAGCCACACCCGCCAACACCAAGCCAAATGGTAGTGCCGTCTTCGTCTACTTCCCACCCAAGCCAAGCCAAGCCAGAGAGCTATGCATGCCAGATTGTATGACTTGGCTTTTGAGACCAGTTACCATTTTGTTGGAGTGCCCGGGATGAGTCACCCGAAGCGGCGGCAGTTGTGCAATTTTCCCCAGTTGGCTGACTCGAAACGCAATGAAAACGAAAGCTGACAAGGTTAGCTCCAGAGCCGCATCCTCACACAGCTCGCACACTGACCCACTTATTTGACCCATCGACTGATCAGCAAACTGGGCCTGTGGTATCGGCTGGCCATTGAAAATGTCAAATGATTGGCTGCTGCTGCATTCTTGGGTTAGCATTTGTGGTAGGTTGCATCTTTAGCTGGAAATTGTGTTCTTAGCTCGTGCGCCATTTGACATTTAAAGCTGAGCTCACAAACGGAAGATTGCAGCTTGAAGACTGAAGACTGGTTTACAAAAAAGTCCGGCGAGGCAATAAATTTGGCGGCAATTTCAAGTGTCATGATGTTGTGAAATTTCTTGTCAGTGGCTGGCATCTTGAGCTTGAATCGTAAATAATGCTCTAGTAATGGATGGAGATGTCTGTTGATCAGCGTAATCATCGCCACTTGATAGACAGGCCACGTATACCCCTTGGTAATTGCCAATTCTAACAAGCATTTCATTGTTGTTTTTCAAAGAAATTCCGATCTTATCCGATTGCGTTGTTTGATATTGTGAGCTGATTTTAAATTCAGAATATACATATATACCATATAATTGTAGAATCTCAACTAGAGATTGTAGAATCTCAATTAAAGATACGTAAGTTTATTGACCGACAAAAAACTTGGCTCATTTGCTTTTTTTATTGATAAAACACATTTTATTCTGATTTATTTACCTATTTGCCGTGTTACTCTCCCGTTTAGAGTAATATTCCAAAATGACCAATCGGCCGTAAACAAGCTCAAATATAACTTAAAATCTCCTGTGGGCATAATGAGCGGCAGATGTTCAGCTACGTTTATGTTGCGAAAGTAGTATAAGCCCTTTAAATGTGTATATAATCTTTTAGAGATTATCATATAACGTGGGAAGGAAAGACTCACCTTGGGTTGAGGACATTTTGTTGGAAAATTACTGTCCCTTACAATGCTTTTGTAGGCGATGTCCAGGAACTGGTTCTTGAGCGAGGTCTTATAGAACTGGCAAAGATCGATGTTCAATTTGAAAATCCTCTGAAATTCCTTCAACTTTGGGCGTGTATATAATGAAAAGCTGCCGTTATACTGATCGAAATCCTGATTGTATACTATTTCGGTGGTCAAAAGAGTACTTTCTGCATCTACTATGCTGCATTTGTGGAACGTTACAATATCGCTATTCACGTCACATTTGAAGCTCTTCCAAACCACACTCAAACGAGGTGCGGGCTGTAGAATGTTAAGGCTTATATTGCAAATATATAGATACAAAATATATAACTCTCAAGGAGACGAACCTTGTTGGCGAGATCAGCCATTGGCAATAGCAGTGCCAAAATATATATCTTTTCCATTTCGCAGACGATTCGGATTTGTTTGATGACTAAATATTTGCCGCAGCTAAAATATCGAATATCCGAATTGTGCTGTAGTAATTTTTGTTTAACTGCTTGAATAGATGTATAATTATATATTTATTCTGTGCGGATACCGATGAAAGAGTTCGAAGATAATTTCCCTTTTTAGACTGAATAAACTGATCAAGCCATTTTAATTTTTGTTGTCAAAAGTTTCCTATGTTTAGAATACCTAAAACTTCTTATTACAAAAAAGTTTCTTTAACACTTAACATATAGCTTATGTACTGCGACGCACATTTAAAAAAAATATAATATAAAATATAAATGTGCTTAAAAATAGGATTTTTCCTAACCCCTATGCCTTGTAGGATCAGTCAAACGTCCGCTTAAGGACAAATTATAGACCGGCACATTGGGCAGAAAGAAATCTAATTGCACTTTGAAATCGTATTTTGGCAAAAAGGGTGGCAGGTTGTCACCGATGCTCATGTTGTGATAATAGTAGAAACCCTTAAAATATTTAAATAGCAAAAACTGTTCACTTAACTTTTGCGACTTTGATCTGCGACTCACCTTTGGCTGTGGGCATGTCTTGGGCATATTGCTGTGCTTCATCATGCTTAGATAGGCGGCTTTGACATACTTATTCTGATAGGCGCCTTTAAAGAACTGACAGACGTCCATTTTCAGCTCAAACACTTTATAAAACTCTTTAAATGGTGGGCGTGGCACGTTTAATACAAAGTTCGCATTAAACTGTTCGAAGACGCGATTATATTCAACTTCGCTTGTAATTATCGTTTTTGCCGAATCCACAATGAAGCATCTGTGGAATGTGACAATCTCTGGGTTTGCAATGCAATCGAAGCTTTTCCAATGAATAACTAGACGCTGTTAAGGATTTGTGTTTCATTAGAGATTGATTTTGGGAGATTGATGTAAATACCTTGCCTTCTAGACAGGCTATCGAAAGCAGAAGCACTAAATTATAAACTTTATCCATGCTAATTGCTGGCCAGCTTAATTGTTAATAGCACAATTTCGGCTTGTGTCATGATTAAATATGAAAATGCACAGCCGAATTATTATTGTTTTTTAAATACCGAGATAAGATTGAATAGGTGAAACTTTTATTGCTTTAAACATTTGGATTTCAATAAGCCATTATTGTTTTATAATATCGTTTATTGCCTCTAGTTGTTCATAACACTACCTTTAAGCGTAACATTTAAATAGCTTTGATTTTGGGCATAGAAGTTGACCTGGGTCATTAAATTGCTGACTGGCACAAAGCTTGGCATTACCTCCTCTACGCTTATATTATGATAGTAAATCAAACCCTATAATACAACTGGTGTTTAGTAAGAAGATTATAGATCTACTATGAGCAGAGCTTACCTTTTTTATTGGACACATTTTGGGCTGATTGCTGGACTTAATTACAGAAGCATAGATTTTAGATGTGATTCCCTTCTGCGAGAGCTGAGAAATAACTCGACAACCGTCCAAAGAATTGTCAAATAATTTTCGATACGTAACCCCCGATGGGGGCTTGGTGGAAATAAGTGTATAAACTTTTATTGATCTAAGTTCCTGCAGTAAGTTGAGTTCCACATTTAGAGCTGAACGCATTGGCTGCACCACGCGGCACTTGTATTCGGACACAAAATCGGTGTGGACTCTGCAATCAAAGGAACTCCAGCGTAGCTTCAAATGTCTGTGCTGTATAGGAAATATGCTTAAAAAAAAAACAAAATGCTTTTTTCGGTTTTCTGTCACCTACCCTGGCCGAATTACTATTAAAACTGAGGCTCACTATGAATATAACCATTATCCGGTAGTTCCGCAACAATGAATGATACATGTTGCTCTCTAGTTATAAAATGATAGATGTCTAAACATGGAAATGTCAGTCAATTATGCTTAGGCCTATATATAGAGCAATTACTGAAATGGAAATCAATCGTGCGAAGCCAAAACGCTTGAACACAAAATAATGTTCGAACACTAAAGTCAACCGAAAAACTGTATGTTATAAAAATGTCGAGGTTTGCTTCTCTGTCTATTTATTTTGTACGTACCACGGGCAAGGTCGGGTATACCCGCTCCTAACTCAATAAAGCAGCATAATTATGTATGCTTCGTTTTTTATAGCTGAACAAAATACAGAGCATAAGAGCTGAGAACTATAGCATACTTTTGGGCATATTTTTTTGAAATTTATTATTCACTTTGTTATTATTAATTTTCTATAAATATTTCCTCTTTTTAGCGTGTTCCTTGGCATTTTCGTAAAGACGTCCCACGGCTGTGATATTTAGTACCGAGGCAACCTTCGGTAAAAACCAATTAATACGTATATGAAAATCGGATTCGGTGAGAACCGGTGGCAAAGACTCAACGACCGTGATGTTCTCCGCACGATAAAAGCCCTGTCAGGAGAAAGGCAGGCGATCAGGTAAGTAGCTAATTTAAATTTCATTGAATGATTTTTACCTACCGCATGAATTGGACATTGTATGGTTCGGTTTCCCAAGCATGTCATTGCACTGAGCAATTCGATCAGTGTCTTTCTTTTGCGCTCTCGTAATACTTTGCACAGCTCAAATGTGATGTCAAAGATTTTTTTAAGTTTCTTTTTCCTTGGAATCGGTATGGATACCTCCAGATTGCCGATTAAGCCCGTGATCCTCTGCATAAGCCTTAGAGCTGCATTGATGCTTCTATTACGCGGTGGCACCGCATTGCAAACCACTTCGGTTACATACCTCGAATTGGCCACACATTCCAATTGCCGAATGACAGAAAAGTATCCCATTTGCTAGCAAAAATACAATATATTCTATGCTCTTTCATTATATCAATTTCTTTGCCTTCGTCTTACCGGTAACATTTGCGCTGAGGCGTAACCACGCAAAGTGCTGGCCAAAAGGAGGATGCACAAACTGAATTTCCACATGCCGGCGACGGCTTGCACCTTCAACTCAAAATGAACAAATGTGGATCAGCAATTGGCATTGGAATTTTTCGATAATAAAGTAATTTGGACGTTTAATTATTGGAACGCCTCTTCCATTAAATGGGCATGCGTTATTAAATGGGCATTTGTCTATATATTTTCAATATGCGAGGTGTGTTTCTTAAGTTTTTTCACAAAGTTTTGCTTTATTCATTTGAGTTAATTAATTTCATTTCATAGTCACTTAAATAGTGAAAAGATGTTTCATCTAAAGAAATTATTTCTATCTTCTTTTCATTAAAATATATAGATATATATATACTTATCTACTAAATTATATTCTTATGAGTTTTGAAGTTTTGCTATCTCTATGAAATAATGGGCAGTATGCTTTTTGTGCAATTCTTCAAGTTTTTCCTAAGACTGACTATAAATACTACGAGTATACAAGAACTATATTTTAGTGACTTGGCCAAGAGATAAAGCTTTTTTCTATGAGATTCTAAATTTCTTCTCCTAAAGTCTTCTCCGACTTTTGCCAACATTGCCTTCAATCAAATGCATTAAAAATAAATGTATATATTTAATGTTTGCAGCATTTCAAAACCTTTATATTCAAGACCCTTCTATTAACTAGCTGCAAACACCTCGTGTAATATTTGGTTATTTGCATTGATTGCGATCTGTGGACATTGCCGAACTAAACTGATGAGCAAACAAATCAGAGGCGATCATATCAATGCCAGTTACTGCGGTTGCGCAGCGATTAGAGCATTTAGATTAAATTGGTATTTCATATTGATTCGGTTTTGGTGTCGGCTTCAAATGGCTTGTGTGTAAATAATCTTGGTGCTCATCATCATCATCAGCAGCAGCAGCAGCAGCAGCATCAACCGCAAGTCGGCGTGAAGGGCAGCTTGGTAATTTTGTAAGCGCCACGAGGCTGAGAAATACTCAAAGCGAGTACTTTGCAGTGCATATGAATATTCGTTAAGTGGCAATGAGACACAAACTTAATTGTTCAATATTTATTCATTCATTTATTACTTCTTCATTTCATTTTTTTTTTGGGTATTCAGGTGTCTGTGTATGGCTGTGTGTGTGTGTGTGTGAATGTCAGTGCCAGAACTGAATTATTGGAAACCCATCGTATGTTTCGTATGGCATAGGGCAGTGCGGTGCTATCTCCAGTACGTAATACTTTATACGATATAGGATATACATACATACTTAATGCTAATTACTTAATTACACATACGCCCGGTTGACGCTACTATTGCGGCGCAACTGGCAGATGATCACCCTCCGGCTGGAAGCCATTCTCGTCGGCCACATAGCGTAGGGTGATGAGATTGCCCTCCGGATCGCTGTAGCTATAGGAGCCAGTTTGCACTAGTACGAGCTCCTCGTGCTCTTCAATTACCTGGCCATCGCCGGTCTCCGTTCGCGGTATGATGATCTTCTTCAAGTAGCCAATGTTCTCCACCCTTATGCCATTCGATGTCTCATAACTGCGTGGAAGAAGAGATGGAGGGGTTGGAATCAACTTCTTTGGCGTGGAGACGTCCTAACTTACCTGCTGTTGAAGCTGCCATCGGCATTGTTCACATTATCCTGCTTTATGATGCTGGCTGGCGTTGTTGTTGTTGTTATTGCTCCAGCTGCGCGCGCATCCTGCGGACGGGCCCAGACATAACTCAGCAGCAGAGCAGAGCACAAGACACACACGAATTTGTACATTTTATTGCGATGAAAACTGATTGGGGATTTATCCTGTGTTGTTCGGTATTTAGAGCGCGGAAGCGTGGCAAGTCAATTCCAGCGAGTGAATGCAACAACTGTTGTCTACTCAGCTGCCGCTTGGCCTTTATATACCATCTTGTTGACGAGGGCGAGCACCTGATTCGCACTCGCACGCACCGCGCCAGCTTCGGTTGCCACATCCAACGATTACGATGGGCGCACTAGATAAGAAGCAGAGAGCGTCAAGTACTCGTACTCGTACTTTACCATAACAAAAATTATGAGCGGGCGCTTCTTCGTCTCATTTCAATCATACCCTCTAGTCTAAAAGAGACTGAACCGGATATGCTTACATTCAGAAAAAGGGTTATTTTTTCTGAATCTGAATATTTGCATTCCATAAATTTTTGTTAGTCTTCTACACAGTTTCAAGCCACCATCTAGAACTAGATATGTATATGTTACAAAGGTATTGATATAAAGGGTTGACTTGGTTTACTTCGGTTTTTAGTTAATACTGCTCAAGATCTTTTATGTTTTCTTAGCTCCAGGGTAGCTCGTAGTCGTGCACTATCTTTTCGGGCGCTTGTTTTGTTTTGTTTTGGTGTGGCCATCGTTTGAGGTTTTTTTATTGTCCATTTCGCGCGTCTGGCCGATGAGTAAACACCGCCGCACCGCCAAAGAGATGCAGATGAAACGACGATGTCAGCGGGTGATACCCGAAGCTGGGACTACGACTGCTGAGCTGTGACATGTCTCCGTCTTCTGTCCCCAAGGCAATGTTGATGACATCGCCAGACCGAGTTGGCAGCTACGTGATTTGCCTGCGCAGAACATAATTCTTTTTCAAGCGCTGTAAGTTCCGTTGAATTAATCGGGCTGTCCAGGGGAAGTTGAAGCGGAGCTCGAGGGAGGAAGTTGGCCGTTAAGGATTTAAGTTAGTATAACAGCGAGTGTTAAAAGATTCGCCGTATAGCTTGCTTTCTTGTCAATCGATTCCATTAAAGTGTCATTATTGCCAAATACCAAGAGGTAAAACTTCTAATTCCAAGCACGTTTCAATTATGGAAACAATTTGAGCACTCATAAATACGCACCTGATCTAACGGTGATCGCGAACAAAGGGGCAATAAAAAATGTAGACTACGAGCATTGTTAGAGAAATGATAAAGTTGCGTATTACGTATACGCAACGTATATTTACAATAGGTCAATGAACTTGAACTGTGACCAAATCTTTTTGACAGGGTATATAGCACGGTAAAATGGATCGACATAGGAATAGTATACATTATCAGCTGTATGATTCTGCTTAAATTCAGTATTTTCAGCAGATCTTAGATTTAGTTGTGCAGTACTAGAAGAGTTCAATTTAACAGATGCTTGCTAATTAAATAAAATCATACGGAATTAACACTTTCGTTTTCTGCTTTGATTACATAACACAAAGTCAAAATCTGGGTACCATTCCAAGTATTACTGAAAATAAAATTGTTTATACCAACATTTGCCCTCGACTCAACTAACTAATAGATCTTGTCTTGGGCCACACGGGCGCATAGAAACGCGTATTTGCCAATTAGAACCCCATTACGAAGAGCCTAACAAGTCGATTCTTTGGCTCTGGCAAATGCATAACTGCAGCCGAGCAAAACTGCTAACTAAGACAAATTTAACAAACATTTCGCATACAGCAGGTCACGCCAGGTAAATCACACAGATCGACCAAGCTTTGCAGAATCTGAATCTGGCTTCACTTTTGGGCGAGGCACCCAAAGTAAATGCGCAGCCGGAGGACGGCCACAAAAGTTACGCAACTGGCATTAAAGTGAAGAGTTTAATTATTCAAATCACGTTTCAATTGTGAAGATCATTTCGCACAATCGAGAAAGTAATCAACTTACGCGTAAACAACAAATATTTCCTTCTTTTGCTATGAAAATAATTTAAAGCACAAGCATTTTTGCACATTAAGCTCTTCAGTTGATTTGAGCTGAGTAGATGAAGATTATTATAATTTAAAGGCTTTTGATTTTTATATATTTTTTTTTTCAATTGGCTAGTTTTGTGTAAATTTTGTTTAACCTGAGTTGTTCAGTTCTTTTGGTTCACAGTTGTTTCATTTTACATTAATGATCACATGTTTGGGCTGAGCACTTCGATCCCTTTAAGGCTTCTGCTCGCTGGGCTGATAGGGATGCTCTGCCAGATATTTGAGGGTTTTCAGCACGGACTCTGGCGTGGGCGGAGGCGTTGGCAAATGATCGCCGACTGGCCGATAGCCGTTCTCGTCGGCTGTGTAGGATATGGCGTACTCCTTGCCATCATCGCCAGCAAATGAGAAATGCCCTTTGACGGCCTCGCCGTATTGATCCTTCTCGATTTCTTTAAGTTCGCCATTCTGCGTTGCTTTTGAGCCATCGAGCAGCTCATAACTTTTGGATAGAGTGCGTTAAAACTTGTCGGTCCTGAGTTTGGCCTTATAAACTTACTGGTAAAAGAATTTGCCATTGTATTCCACATTCGACTCGTTCGAGATAAAGTCATTATTATCAGCAGCATGCGTCACAGCCACAAATAGAGCACATAACAGAATTAGTTTCATTTTGATCAATTTGTATATTGACTAAATCCAGAATAAATATCCACGCTGTGCCAATGCTTCGGGGCGACTGACATTGGGTGTGCTAAGCAAACAGACTTTTATAGTAGGATACTAAAAATGCGAAAGCGAAAAACAAACATGCAAAACTAATAAAATACCTGTACTAAAATATTTAACATATAATTAAAGTGGGAGCAATAAATAATATTGAACTTGTTTGGTTTGTTTTTGGCCTTTTCAAAATGGGTGTGAAATTTGGTGCAGACGCTACGCAAAGCCAAGCGAACCTGCTGAGCACGATTTCTATGGGTATCCATACCCTCCTAGAGGTATAGACACTTTTGCCTAATGCATATCAGCTCGAAATATACTACTTTTTAAAGATTTCTAAATTGTAAATTTCACACAGAGTTATGGCAATTGTATATTCGAAGCAATTACACGTTTTGGCTTATGAATGGGTTAAGGGTATGAATACTTCGGTGATTCTAGCTATTCGCTTTTATTTTTAGCCTAAGACAATAAACAATGTGCATGTCTGTCTATATGGTGCCTGTCGGCAACGTCAGCATCGGATTCTGGTTCTTTATGGAACCGACTTGACCACATTTTTGATCAGCTCTAGCCTAACCAAATGTTCAATTCATTTGCATACAACAAATTTGTCACTTTTGCCTTGAAATTTAAGGAAAAATAAATTTCATGTGCTATTTTTAAATATTTTTTCTAAAGCAAGTGCTTTACTTATAATGATTGAAAACCGTATAGAGAAACTATAAATTAGCTCATATGCCTCAGGTTTTCTGCTTCCGGCTTCAGAGTTTTTTGTAGCTCCCCAATGAAAACAAGTTAGAAGTTTTTTTTTTTTAAGAATCTTTAATTCTTTATTTGCAGCTAAGGCTATAGATATTTGAGTTCTTCTCATATGTTTACATCATTTGACATGTAAAAAAAACCAACAATTCATATAAATGTATGCACATGTATGTATAAGTAAGTACATCCTCGTCATCCATATCGCTTGTACTCGTATTACATGCAAAAGATTATAGTTATATAGACTATTTACACAAGAATTGCTGTGCACAATAATTGGATTATTATATCATAATTCATTATTATTTCTTGTTAATTCCTCATTTCTTTTTTTTTTTTTTACATTTTCTTCTTGATTTCATTAATAAATCGATGATATCACATGAGTCCGAAAATGGCAAAGTTCCGGCGACTAAAAGATCTTAAGCACAGTTTTAGTTTGAAGACGATAAAGAATAGAAGAAATCGGATTAGGGATTCAGAAGAAGTCAAGAAATCAAAACAAAACAAAATAATGAAACATAGTTGAGTGTTTGTGTGTGTGTGTGTGTGTCTGATGTGTGTGTGCGCGTGTGTGCAGGTTGTGTTCTTCAGTCAGCTGCTCGATGTTGGTGTTCGCTTTAAGGTATTGATTGATGATATACGGGCTAGCAGCAAATTGCTTTATTGTGTGTAGAGTATCAGAGTATCGTTCGCATATTGTCATTTCCACCTCCATATCCTTCTAAAAGGGATCTACCTAACGACGACGCTGTGCTGGCGGCAGGCTGAGCAGATAGTCGAGCGCTTTCTGGATCGCTGGCGGAATTGGTGGTGGGGTCGGCAAATGTGCGCCCTGTGGCTGGAATCCATTCTCATCATCGGCCGCATAGTTTAAGGTAATGAGCTCGCCTTCAGGCGAAGTATACGACACGGAACCCTTGACAATGATCACATCCGTGGTGTCCGGAGAGGTGGCCTTCTTCACAGTGCCAGTTTCCTCAGCCTTGATACCATTGGCCGTTTCATAGCTGCAAAGTTTAAAAAATAATGGGTAGGTTTTTATATGTTTTTTTTTTTTTTTTTTGCAATTGGGAAACACAGAATTCGCCTTGAAAGCTGTGAAAAAGTCATTTCGCTGTTATGAATACTCGCATGGTGTATTTACTTTTTTTTTTAGATATTTTATACAAGAAATTTATTTTTTTTTGTCCAATAAAGCAATTTCCTCAATCTCTCTGTCTATGCAAACTGGTCTTAAGTTGATTAACAACTTTTTTCTTATAATTAACATTATAATCTAGCAGAACCTTTCGGTACAGGGTATAACATCGTCGGCAGCCTATATACATTCGATCTTTCCTTCTTCTGCTTTGTTTTGCTTTTTTTTTTTGTGTATCAGTGGCGCCAGTCGAATTATTTATTTATTTATGTATATATTAACATTTAACATTTGTGTGCGGACTTGTTAACCAATGGAAATGCCTATAACTGGTATATTGCTCATAAGTTCAGATTTAATTTGTTAAATTCGCATACACAATTTGCATTTTTATTTATTTATGATGGGATTAGTTTGAAGCAGAAAATATTAAATCAATATAAATTGTGTTTTACTGTTGAAATTCGCGATATAAACATGAGATTTTATGTAGATCGCCTGCATTATCTCTATAGAAGTTTATTTGGAGTTCAATTGAAGTGAGTCAAGAATTTAATTTATGTACCAATAAAAGATTGCTATAGATGCTCGATTCAAATTCTAAGAGCAACTTTTTGGGCTTTCTAAGATATATAACAAATAATCGAAATTCTATCTTAACTGAACAGCCAAAAATCTGTTAAGTTAAAATATGCCTGAAAGTAGACTACAGATTCCCATAAAAAAGTCGGTTCCGTTTTTGAGCTTATTTTAACGGTCATTTCATGACTGGTTCCATTCTGTTTAATCAACATGAACTTACGCGTAATTGTAGGCTCCATCCGGCTCGATATTCGATTCTTGGCTGATGATCGCAATCGGCTCTCCCTGTTGGGGCTTGGGAGCTGCGTCCACCAGGCAGAGCAGAGCAGCAGCGATCAGACAGAGAGCGAACTGCAAATGGGTTAAGAACGGAAATTAATTCAATTTACGTAAATTGGCAATTGTTTATAAATAACGAGCGCAATTACACATCACACTCTGGAGGCTGATTTGAAGAAATCGTGAGCGGTTTTTCTTTCGTATTTTTTTTTTCGTCAGCTTGTTATTTTTATGCAAATTTTCTGTTATTTTGTGTTGTGTTGAAACTTGGCTCATCGTTTCGCATAGTTGTTTGATTTATGAGTCTTGTTTACATTGTTCTCACACACATATAAACTATGTGTACGGACAGACAGATAGATGGACAGTCGGACGGAAAGACATATGTCAATTCGCCACAGATTTCTTAAGGTCGTCAAATAACTAGACGCCAATTAAATATTTAACACATACGCTTTTCAGCTTGTTATCTGCGTGCCTGTGTCTGTGTGTTAAAGTAATTATCTCACAAGTGCATGGAAAATTGTGGGGCGTAGAGATTAGAGATGAGCGTGACTTGTAATAAATGGCTCGTGCTTGAGCCAAAAAAAAAAAAACGATAAAATACAACAATTTAACAGAAAGAGGGTGTAGCTTAAGTGGACCTTTTGATAGTTGTGCTTGCGCCTATTGATATTAATAATAATTTTTTTAAATTGTGGATATTCTTTACAAGTATTTTGTTAGTAGGCGTGTCCATCCTTCTGTTTCCCTTATTCTGCCTATATGGTGTTTACATACGTGCGTGTTGCAATGCGACCCAAAGGCAGAGACCCGTGCTGCAACGCCCCTTTGCGGCTGGGTCTTGGCTTGAGTACAGTCTGGCCGACTCTTGAGCAATTGACGATGGGCGAGTGGGTTACGTGTCTTGTGTTTCAGTTTAGTTTGTGTTTTTAGCCAGATAGACAGCTGCCAACTGAGCGTAACATTCGTCGCCAGCGCTTTGTCAGTCTCGCCTTTGCGCCTCTGCAGCCAAATGTCGTCTCCCAGCCTCGGCTGCGTTCCAGCTTGTCCAGCGCGACCCAGTCGCACTGTTGGTGTTGTCTGTTGTGGCTGTTGTCTGACCTTTGCATTGCCTGCCGGCTGCATGTTATTTAGCTTGGTTTGGCATCGTGCTCGAGCCTTTTAAGTGGTTGCCTCGTCTCCAGCATTCATTAATTGCTATTGCCATTTCGGCCGGGCTTGGCATCGACTTTTGGCCATTTGGCCAGCCAAATGGCTGTAACAATTGGTTAATAAACCAACGCGGAAACAACACCTTAAACTGACTCGTTGCGAACCTTTAGGTAGTTTGGCCTTCTCCCAGTTATTTTTATGTGTGTGTGTGTTTTTTTTGTTAGGGCTTTAAAATTTTATGTTGATTGATTTACGACTTACGCATTGAAGGGCTTTTTGCTGTGCTTATTTCGAAATGTTTTGGCTTATAAATTTAACGAGTTGTCTTAAAAGAACTGGACTTATATGATTTGGTGGCCATCACAATTTCTCTATATATATACGATTTATGATAAGTTTATAAGACTTTGTCTTCTATATTGTATAATTTAATTACTACACACAGGTGTAATAAATGAGCTAAGCTGCAAATTGTTTCGTAGGTCATGAGAAGAAGGGAGAGGCGACATTGTCGTTGTTGTTCTAGACTAGAACTTGTTCTTTAATTGGCCATTACCTTAGAGAGTAATCGCTACCAGGTTTAACATAACCAGCCACATATTTCTGAAGCTTGTTATGGGATGATTTCTAGATTCGATGAAAAGGTGATCACTTTTTTTTCTTGATTCCTTAAGAAGGACATACAGACAGCTAGAGAAGCAGGGCATTAGCTCGTAAAGCACACTTTCAGGACTGTTTAGATTATTTGAAAAACAAGCCTTAACTACACTTTCATGCACAATAATTTGACATTTTTTATTATTGTTGCTCTTTGTTTTCCTTTTACACAGCTGCCCACACACACTTACGCTTTTCATGTTGTATTGCAATTATTTGGTTCAGTAATGTAATCCAAAGTTGGGCTTATCCTTTCCAGCAATCGGCGCACCACACTTCACACTTGTTGTTAATTGAACAAAAGATTTTTTAATGATGCCCAAGTGCCGGCAAGTGAGTCTATTTATACGAAAAGCCCAAAGACGACTACGACTACGACGGCAACTGCGACGACGACGACGACGAAGCTGCAAATTCAGCGGGTAAAGCGTCGCACATGCAAGATGCAAAAGCATCAAAAAAAAAAATATATATATATATATATGTATGTATAAAAACTAAACTAAAGATTCGTCGTAGTCGTCGCCGTCGTTGTCGCTGCCCGCGTTAGCGCCGCAGTCGCTGCTGGCGTTGTTTGAAAAGAGCACCAGCAGCATCAGCAACAGTTGCTGTGGGGCTGCAAGTGAATAACAGCAAAAGCTGCACAGGTGAATGAGTAAGAAAATATAGTTGCTGCAGCGCCCCTATGGGCGCACGCCTCTGGCTTTTAAGCTCAGCTGTTCTGTGCAATTGAGAACCAAATGCAAAACAATTTTTTTATGCAATTGTTTCACGATGCGGATAAATAATTTAGCATTGATTTCCACTCGTCAATGCAGTTACAGTTACATCAGCAGTGCGCCCTTTGAACAATAACACATTAAACAAATAGTAGCTACGTAGTAGGTTTACCTGAGACATGCGATATCAGCAGGTATATGAGCTCGTTTGTCAACAGGTGCGTCATGCAGTAGCGGAAACTATAAAATAGACGACTTATCGACGACATCGCCCTCGCGGCGCTGCCACCTAGACTTGGCTAAATTTTGGGCTTATTTTAGTCTTTTTGTTCCCTTTGGGGCAAGCGCAAAAAATTGCATTTAAATACGTGGCCAATAATCGGCAAATACAATCAAAGTCAGGCAGTGGCGACGGCGGCAACGCACACTGGAACAACGACTATTTTGTTTCGCAACAAAAATTCGTACTTTAATATTTATATTATTCTAAAAAATTATATTTTTCCCTTTTTAAGTTTAAAGGAATGCAATGAGGCAACTTAAATATTGCTTATAAAGAGTTTTCCTTTTAGTGTTTGAAAATTATTAGATATGCTCTGAAAAGCTCTTACTAGTTGACTTTTATACATTGCGATTTAAGCGAGTAAAAACCAATTTACAAACATTAATGGGCGATCTTTGACCACAGTGCGCCCAAATTCGGGCTCAGGGCATGCCGTTGTCTGCGCTTGTGTATATCTGTGTGCGTTGTACTGGGGTCAAAATGCCAAAAATTGCTAAACGCGAAGAGGCCGCCGCTGCCACCGCCGCTGCTGCTGCTGCTGCCAAAGTGTAGGCGCGTCTAATGAATAGCTTGGGTCGGCTTGGCGCTGTGGCAGGCAGATGGGGACACAAGCACAGACGGCGACAGAATTTCGTGACAAGATTGTCCCAAAGATTGTTGCCATATTGTATTCCAAGTAGTGTTTGTTGCTGTTGTGACTGAGACTGTGGCAATAAGCAAAACAATTGCCAGTTAGTGGAAGCTCTGAAAAAATTGCTGCCTTCTAGTTTTTTGGGTCTGGCCTATTGTTATTGCCTGTTGACTAGTGTTAGGCAGCGCTTTATAATTATGAAGACATTCAACTGCATTAATTTTAATATTTATTATACTATTTTTTTAATGGGCTTATTTTAAATTGCGCAAGTAGCAGCATCAACAGCAACTAAAACAACAACTTCCAATTTACCGACTATTTGCGCTGTAAAGATTCTCATCCAGCAAGTTTGTTGCCTAAGTCTTTTGATTTCAAAGTTATAAAAATATATATAAAAAAAATAAAAAAAATTCTGTATAAAAACGAAAAATGTAAATTTTTCGACAAATGTGAACCTTGAATTATTACGCATGACTTCTCTAATTAGCCATCCAAGCAGCATTTGCTGCAAAATGTCAGTTGACCGGCTGGCCATAAAGCATAGAACAGATGCCTCATCTTCAGCTGCATTTTCAGCTCCATCTTCATCCACTGACTTTGACACGCGCTGTGCCGCGTTTTATGGCTACGTCTTGCTGGCCTTGAAGGTCGTGCCATCTTCTGTATGGCGTTAAATGCAATTTGTTAAAGCTCTTAGTGCCCTCTTTGGCCTACATAAACGAAACGAAAAAAATTACAACTATTGATATTCCGTTGCGTAAGAGTCCCAAACTGGCGTGGCTCAGCTTCGTATACGTTAGACCTAAACGGCTGGAAATGGCCGGCATAGTTTTCGGCACCCAACTATAGCCGCTTGGCTGCTGGCTAATGCTAATGTCAATGCAGGCATAAATAAATAATTGCAAATAGCAGACATCTCAGCAGCAGTCGAACCAGTTGCTGTGCTTAAATGTCAGTGGTTTTGGTCATGTCGAGAATCTCTAGCTACTGCACAAAACTCTGCTCAGCTCGGCTCGATTCAGCTCCGATCTGGTCAGCTCTTCTGATGTCAGCTGAGCAGAGCAGTCAAATGTGGTGCCTGAATGGGCAACGTTTCATGGTCAAGGAGCAGCTTCAAGTGATACGCTGTGGTCAGATCCAACTAGATCAGTCGCCATGGAAAGATATTGAACTTGCAATTGAAACCACTCTAGAACTGATTGACACAACTATTTGTGTTAAATTATGCAGATACTATGCACTTTGGGCTGGCATTAAAGCTGGCACAGCCCGCCTTTTATTCTACGTATTAATGTTAATCCGTCTGAGCATCTTCGGGTGCTACGCTGAAGGCGAAGGTGAGTCTTCGTTATGCAAATTAACTCATAAATGTTATATGTCAGTGGAACTCACAGCGCGATGAGTGGGTTTTTGAGTGGGTGGAATATTTAATGGCAATTAGTGTTAATTATACAGCATATCTAATATATATTCTCTATGAGGTATTTACAATTTTATTACGTTGACAATGTCGAAAGAACAAGAAAGGTTTCATATTTCAATGTAGAAATTCGTTTCAACTATTTATTATTCAAGACTTTATATTTTTAATGACGTTATGATTAATTAATAACTATTTAGACTCACACACTCGCCGAACACTCGCAAAGAGTATTTCACACCACTAATTATACAGGATAATTGCTTAGAAACATAATTCAACTTAGGAAACACATGAATTAGGGCGGGTGCAAAATGGGTAATTAATATATAATACAGTACATATAGAATAATTAAGTAGTTTGGCACATATTTAACTCTCATTATTGATTGAATTTGTAATGCTGTAGTCTATGAGAATCTGTAATTACTCGTGTATTAGTTAAGTTTATTTGACTTTTAACGCTGTGAGTTGAGTTTTAGTTAGCTTCTGTGTTGGGTTTGCATCAGGCGAGCTGCTGTTTTGTTGCAATCTCAGCTATTGTTGCACACAATTTGAATTGGTTGAAATTCTGTCAAGCCGCACGCGAAATGTGAAGGCCAAAAGCGCAATGGCCACTGTCACCCCTACCCCACCCCCGGCTCGTCATTTAATTGCTTGTGGCTGTATATTCATAAAAATATATGTAAAATTGATGATATAAGAAAATATTTCTTAAATGAAAATCAAGAAATGTTAAGATTAAACTTAGAACTTGAATGTTTTCTGCCTAATCGAGTTTTCCATGTATTCTAAATATTTCAAGCCGTGTCTCGAATTTCTCGTGCTCAATAAATATCTGAATATGTATTTATTGATATTGACCAACGGCTGAGATAAGTGGATTTCCAATTCATCGCTTATGTTTAATTATATCATTATAAATGCATAATGTAAAATACTGAATTTATTACAGTGTTAAATATATTTTAAATTATAATATAAAAATGATATTAATATAATATAATACTTTAGCATTTTCTTTACACAAACAAATCATTGGAAATGCAGTCGAACCAGTTGGTTAAATGTCACGTCAAGAATCTTCAGCTACTGCAAACAACTTAGCTCAGCTTTAAGAATCAGTCAAGCCATGCACACATAATAGACTGTCTTTTCATGGTCAAGGGACAGCTTATACTAAACTGAAAGTGCGGATATAATTGTAACAACTTTGTATTAAGTTGGCCCTGAAATTGGCTTCCATATTAGGTACTGACTGTTAATGGTACCAAGCCGTCGGAGCAACTAGAGCTAGAGCCAGAGGCGAAGGTGAATTCTATTAGATTAATGTGTTTCTAATGCAAATTTATAGAAATGTCAGGGAGCTTCTTATAAAAAAGCCCCACCGTCTCGGCTATATTACTTGAAATAATATTCATATTTGTGTAAAGAAGCATTAAATATTATATTCCATGCCAGATGTCTCGAACCAACTTAAAAATTTTAAATCTATTTTCCCAATACTCTGCGTATGATAGCAAAAAATCGATAAGTCATGTTCATCAGCTGTAAAGTTAAGATTAGATTGGAGAGATTATTTAAGATATTGCTATGAAAACTTACATTCGTGAATGTAACCAGGGATATGATAATGACTCCTTTAGCTGAAAGCATCACTGGTCTTTGAGCTCGTTGCATAATGAGTAACAGATACTTTCGATAAGTAGGCGAGCCTTCATACCAAGTGTGTATGTAGGCAGCCAGGGCAATGCTTTGACTCTAAGTAATAGGTAGAAGAGTAAATATTTCATAGACAATTCAATAATCCACCTACCAAGTCAATCAATAGCTGACCATAGTAACAAACCATGTAGAACTGAGCCGAACAGCTGAAGAAAAATAATAGAAAACCAAAACCTTCCCGATTCAGGCCCTGCAATATTGAATAGAACGCAACGCAACAAAGCGTGGTCGCCGTGCTAAACAGGTTGTAGGCCATTAGCATGCCAAATATATTATCCAGTTCCATGTGTAATCTATAATAATAGGTATATTTCATTGAAAGATTACGATTACTCCATAATAACTTACGTGAACAAGAGCTGATGTTTGCGTACTATGCTGACCAAAAATTCACAATCTTCGAGCTGGTGGTGCCTGTTGGGCCTGTAAGCCTCCAGCTGCCTGCCCAGGTGGGCGAAGTGCATGCACAGCTGACCACAGAGGCACATCATCCAAATGTCTGTGCCCAGGTTGATATTCATTACGAAGTGTGTAAACACGAAATCCACGGCTTGACTAAAGGCATAAGTAAGGGGTGTCATCGATTTAATACGTTCCATTGGGAACGTACTTAAATAAATAAATTTGATCTCGCTGCTCGAGGTAAAGCGCTGATAGATATAAGTTCCGGTGGCCTGCAGAATGGGACCAACTACCACGACGAAGACCACGAAATAATAATAATAGACTCCATAGCGTGCAATGCGTGGCCAGTAAAAATCATTGACCCGGTACGCTCGGCGCTCGCAGTCATCTTTGGGATAGAGAGCACGCATCCTGTTATTCAGTTCCCTTAAGCGACGACGATGATGCATAAAAATAATGAACTTCATATCGGAATTAAGCACAAAGAAGTACACAATCGCATATCGCATGATGGTAGTTGGATTCCCAGCCAGCGTATCCCACTCAACGGTTCGCAGTATCAAATAGTAGACCATATACCAATGGCTAAGTAAGCAGAGTATCCAGTAAATGCGGAGTAGTATGCGCTGCCAACTGGGCACCCGCCTGGGTGTGTCCAGAAAGTCATATCCCATCGACTTGAATATGAGATTCGGCACGTGGGTGAAATCGTCGTAATTCCGTTCAACGTTTGTCATTTCAGAACTTTCTACTCCAAACTGATTTGCCGTGGGTTCGCGTGGGTGTTTTTTATACTCGTTTGTCTAATTACGAGTCATTTAACTATTTGGCGGGTGTTATATAAATCAAATATTTAAAAGTACCATTATAAATATTTAATTTAGGCAATTAATTAATGGTGTAAAATAAAAACACTTCTAGCCATAAATGGTTGAGGCATGAGACTACTTATATCTATGTATTATATATTTATATATTATATAGCTTAAAGTTTTTCGAAACGATTTAAAGTGTTCAATCCATTTCATAAGTTGGGGCATATCTAGGTTTATTCAGTGAGCCGAGTGAAGTTTATAGATACATAAATTGATTCAATCTAAATATTATGTATTTTCCTTATCCGCTAAGTTCGGACAGCTTAATCGAATTTGTAGAATGCATAATTATTCAATGAATATTCAGATACGCCTCTAAAAATCATAAATAAATACAATCTAATTAGTTAATAAAAATATATTTCAACGACTTATTTATGTTAATGGGCTAATAAAACTTTTTGTGTGCTTGGATTAATCCGTTTAACACATTACGTCTTGCCCACGAATCCAGTTTTGAGTTCGGACCAAAAAATAACCAAAAGCTTGACAAATGGTGTTCACATTTCAGATTCCTTTAGGTTTTGTTTGTGGTCTATAAATGGAATATTCTTACTCAGTTCTTATCGATTTTGGCACTGCGTGTGAATTTTATTGTATTATATTATTTAAATGATTGATTGCAACACCCTGATCTTTAAGCTAAGTTCGATTTGTGGAATTTTATGGGCCAGTGCTATTCGAAGTATATAAAATGTGGCCAATTCTATATTTGTCGCCGATCTGATGAGTTCGCTTCTGGGTCGCGCGGCTTTCAGCATCGCGGAGCTCGAAGCTGTTGCAATGTCTGTGGCACCTATTGTTGCAGCCGCAAGCGAAATGTGAAGGCCAACTCGATGGCAACACGAGCGCCGTTTTCTCCCCACCTCCACCCCTTTGTACTAATGGTTAACCATTCATTCACTAACCAACTCATTCATTGAGTGCTATTTTCATGGCAATTTAAAGGCATTCATTAGTAATTTATCAATGTAATTTGCTTAATCTTTTCTATGATATCAGTTACAGTAGTTAATTTTATATTCTATGCGGATCTTAACGTCTCAATTTCGTATAGAGTTTATCCAAATAATGGGTGTGTGAGTATTTTAATGGTTTCTTAAACACACTAAGAGCAAGTATGCTTTAATTAATTGAGAACTGTAATAACACTGAGTTGCAAACTGAAAAAAAAAAATCTCCTTACTATGCGATTCTCATAATGATAATTAAAAGACTTTGAGTTCAAATTGTCATTCTAATTGATTTTATTACACTCTATCTCTCTCTTTCTCTCTTGCACTTGTAGCTCTGTATTGTTTAAGCATATTTTCGTAATACAATTCAAATCTACAATAAAAAATTGCTACCGTATTTTGACTTTAATTAAGAATCTTCTCAAATTTCAAAATATTAAATTTGCAATTTAATAAAAGTGCTTCCTAAACAGTAAGCTCTTCATTTATATGCTAAAATCAGATTTGTATTTATTTATATAGAACAATACAATGACTTAGTTCCCGGCATCCCTCTCTGTCACCAGCCGATTTCTTTGCTTGTCTGCCGCACGTGTCTCTCGTATCTGGTTTAACAGATTTCCTGTGCGAATGCTGACTTTTACCTCCAACTGCTCTGAAACTTAACTTATTTATGCAAACATAATAAGACTATTACAAGCTGTAAATGGTTGAGTTTGAAATACCCTATAAGATGAAATACCCTATAAGACCAAATAACAAAAGTTTGTAAGCTGGTCAATTTTTAAAATTTGTAGACTCATGAGTCTTAGCTCTTACAAAAATAATATTCATTGTTATCTTAACTCTAGTCAGTCGTAACTATACAACTTGAATTCTAATTACAGAGTATAGGTTTTTATTATAGCTTCCCAATTTAAATAACAATCAAAATTCTAAGCGGAAATTAGCAAGCCCGAAGAAACTTCTCAGCCTCTGCTGAGATTGGATTTCATTTGCCAATGTTAGGCGCCGCTCGGTGACCGAATATAATGATTTTATGGTCTGAAATTAAATGCTTTTAATAAACGGAGGCACACATGGTTATAAATGTCGCTGTCAGGCTTTGCTTTGTTACAGTTTCGTTTTATAGATCAGCATTGCAGTAACAGGCCCCTCCAAAATGTCTTTAAAAATGGTAAATCAAATTCGAGAAATAACCCTTTGCTGTAAAATATTCCCTGAAGTTCAAGATTTAAAAGGAATCTAATGAAAATGAACAACTCTTTGCGCAGTCATCTTGCTTTTTATTGCTGGCTCTCTCTGTGGCCATCTGCAATGCACAGCGGGAGTACAACCCGTATCGAAACACTCCCTACTATAGGGATTTATACTTTAGGAACCGCGACCTGTACAATCAGCGACGCTACTACGACAACTTCTATAAGAAATACAATCCGAACATTGCCAATGCTCTAGCACGCACAATCGAGCAGTCAAATGTGCCCAACTATGGCAAGGGCTCCTATAGCTACAGCTATGAGACTGAGAACGGGATTCACGGGAAAGAGCGCGGTGCGCCCGTCTACATCGGCAATGGGCGGCAACAGGAGCAACAGGTGTCTGGTGCCTATTCGTATATATCACCCGAAGGTATTCGCGTCGGTGTCAGATATGTGGCTGATGCCAACGGCTTTTGCCCAGTTATTACCTGTGAGTAAAACTATCGAAATATCCTACTTGAAATATATATATAAATTGCATTTGATTTTCAGATGATGGTCCAAATGCTGCGATTTATGCAAACCAACAGCCGCCGGCTAATGTGGTTTACACAAGGCAATGAAGTCAACTAGACTGTATACGAAGTTTCTGAAATAAAAGATCAAATTTAATAATGTGAAATTCACATACATAACCAACGTTTGTTTAAAACCTCAAAAAAAGAAACATTTATATAAATGCTATTCAGGAAATGGAGTAGAACATACAAGCCGGAATATATAAAGGAAGTATTGTTACAAGAAGGTGAGTTCATTTATGCCATTGCAATAGTAAAAATCGTTATATATGAAGTCTCTAGCCTACTAGCAATAATCCTTCTAAACATTTTTATATATCAAATTTATTATTTATTAGTTAGTGTTGATTTCCACAATCAGAACGTAATTCAGTCTTTGTAAGCATATCCCACGCACCCACAAAGTATATAAAATGGCGACCAGCAGGCCGCATATGATTGGTCGCTTTGGAGTTGAGTTAGGTGAAAAAAGATTGTTGATATACTCTTACATGGGGTATGACGATATAGTCATAGAAATAGATAACTTCGACTTCCACAAATTTATATTCTTAAGTCAAATTTTTGTAGCCATGTCTCTTTTATCAGCGTGCCTATCCCATGTCTGTCTGTTTCTATACAAATTATAGCTCGTATTTGGTCTATCCCTTTTGTTGAAGGCTTGACTTGTTTTCGTCGGAATCGGAATTCTATATCACATAGTTGCCATAGGAGCCATTAGTTAAACACAGAATCTTATGTTTGCAAAACATTTGTATATGTCGTGATAACTTAAGCCAACTCATTTATTAATAACCTTTGGCATATTCCTATATCCAATAGGCTAAATATGACAAACAGTTTCGGAATTTGTTTTTGCCACACAAAAACGTTAGCCGCCAGAGCATTTAATCTTTGGCATTCCGAATTTCTTCTTTGTTCTATCTGGTTTTTCCGTGCAAAAAGCTTTTCGAAAAATACAAAGCTCAACTATTGCATTTAATAGCTAAGCACAAAAGTGTGCTTTAATTAAATGAAACTTAGGCGAACAATTAATATAAAAATAATCAGAATTTTAAAATGTATTCTGCGTTATAAGCACCGCAGCTGGATGCTATAAAAGTTATTGTTTTAAAAAACCATACTCAAAACAATTAATATATAATTTATAGATTATATATAATATTGACCTTAAGATTTAATCGAAAACAGAAATTAAATTTGTGTGGCCATTGACACTTAGCTAAAATGTACATTTAATTTTACGATTTATTTTTAATGTACGCATATTGAGCCTGTTTACGACAACAAGAGGAAAGGTATCGACTTTTAAATACCCTTACTATGCTCTCTGTGCATTCTATGATTTTAATAACAATGGGAAGATCGCTTGGCATTGGGGAATTTTTATATATAAATTCTTGGAGCTGATTATTACTTGGGTTCACATTGAAATTATAATTCTATTACAAATAAGAGTATTAAAATTTTCTGCGGTTCAATGAACTCATTAATTATCCCGCATTATTTTGACATGAATCAGTTGGTTTTATTATCAATCGAAGCTTTGACCTTTCTTTCCTGTAGGTCAAATTTAATGAATAATTTGACGCTTTCTGTTCAAAGCGAGAATTCCGTTAATTGAGAAGAAATAGTTGTATTTTTGTAACAAATAATGATTTATGTTTATTAAAAATATATAAAAATAATTGCTTTTTAAATTCATAACACAATTTAAATATATCGATAAATAAATACAAAATTAACATATGTAGGCGTGGCTATACGAGTACCAAATCCTTTTGTGTACAATTCATTTTTTATGGATTTTCGTTTGTTGTTCTTTTTTTTTTTGCAGTTTTTCGATGGCTTGTTATAGTTTTTGCCAGCTGCTTGTGGCAAATGCATGGGAATGGGGGGACATTTGAATGGTGCAGGGGGTTAAGGGCGGGGGACTTAAGAATGTGTTGTGCACAACACAATCCCTATGGCTTTAGATGAGAACACAGCAATGTGGGGGGAATTCACTCGCTTCAAATTAGAGCTGATGAGCACTTTTCCGGCGCTGCTCTTCCTCTAGTTCGCGCGCCTCCTCCTCCTCGGCCAGCTCGACCTCGTGCTCCAGCATACGGATTTGATCGCTTAGCTCCTTGGGCATTTGATCCAGATGAATGGACTTGATTTGTGCCTTGATTTCCTTGGTCATGTGATTGATACGGAATCCGCGATGATCGAACAGAGGCTTATCTCCATTCGCCTTGTGCTGCTCCTCCACATACTTCAGAGCACGAGCAATGGCCTCGGGAATCGGAGGTGGTGTTGGAATGTGCTCACCCTCGGGCATGAATCCCCTATCATTGGATGCATAGTTCACGCGATACAATTTGCCATCATCTCCGGTGTATTCATAGTAGCCTTTGGCATGTGTACCACCTCCATGATGCAGTTTCGCCTGCTCCTCGCCATAGATGCCGTTCTCAGTCAGGAAACTGTGAACACAAATTGGGATTGGGTGAGTGGTTGATCGGTTAAATGGGAGCTCATGCAACTTACGCATGATCATATTTGTCCTTCTTGCGGATCTCTTCCTGGTGCAGAATCTTATGGCGTCCCTCGTCATCATAGTTGAAGAGTATGGGGCGTGGCGTCGTCGTCGTCGTGGTCGTTGTTGTTGTGGTGCGTTCTGTGGTTGTGGTTGGTTTCTTCGTTGTGGTTGTTGTGGTCGACTGTGTTGTTATGGTACGTGTTAAGTATCGAGCTCATCAAATTGGCAGGAGTTTCGTATGCGTGTGCGTGTGGTTGTTTTTTTTTTTTTGGGTGGGATTGTGTGTATGCGTAAGAGGGTTTCATGCATATGCAGGCATTTGGTGGAGTTGGTGTCATGCAGCGCATTGGGAGTGACAGGAAACGGGAACGCTTGGCAGGTTGCTTTTTGATTAATGGCTGTTGAGTTATGAAAGCGTGGGGGGTACTGGCTATTTGGATTTCTTTTTTTAAACTGATCGTGAATACTGTTTTTGTGGTACTGAGCATTGTTTTAGCTTTAGTGTTCGATTTGCGGTTCATGATCGGGAAAGCCGTATTCCAAGCGTATTTCGGGTACTTTAAACTCAGCTTTACTTACTGTGTAAAGATCATGGCTATGGAAAGTGGAAGAAATATGCAAAAAAAAGGAATTAGATTTGCAATAAAAGTTAGTAAAAGTTATTGCTTACTTGTAGGGTCTGTCATCGTGCACATAGGGGCGATTGAGGCCCGAGTATGGCCCATACCCACCATCGTATGGATAGGGAATATGATGATAAATTCCAAGTTCACGGTTATCGCTCACATGCATGTAGGGCTGCACCATGTGATGATAACGACCTGTTCAGTGGAAAATAAATTCAAACAAATCTTAGAAAGAATCGCATTTTTAAAGCATTTATGTGTGAGTGTGAGTTTTGTGTGTGTTTAAGTGAGTGTAAACTAGTACTTCGTATGGAAGATCAGGTTAGACGAAATTAGCTATACGTATTTATGCAGTTCATCGTATGAGAGGCTTACGGAATAATTAAGAATATTCATGATATAATGTTTTTTTTTTTTGCAATTGGAGCACACGCCCTTAAAAAAGCAAAAAGGCAGTTAAACAACGGTCTACAGCGAGCATTGTCAACATGCATGCAATTAAGTCTTTTGTTTGCTTAAACTGTTTGAGAATTATAAAGTTTGCATTTTTGTGCTAACTGCGCCTGTTGGACACAGTTTATGGTTAAGCTTAGGAGTATTTTGATATAATACTATAATTTTTCTTTAATTCGATGTTTAGTGTGATATGATGTTTGAGTGTTTGTGTGACTTTGTTTGTGTTGTTTTTTTTTTCTAGAAAATTAAACATTTTTCGACAATACACTGTTATGTTTACCTAAAGAATCCTGATAGCCACCTCGGCCTATAAGAAATTAAATGTTAATATATATATACAAGTATATGCTACAATAATAAAATACAATGCAGTTAATGTGCGACACAATAAAGTCAGCTCAAGCCGACAGTATTCCCAAAGATAACAAATTTCAATGACTCGTGTTTACCAAAACCAACCGAATTTTTAGCTTGAGCTTGAACTTTGCTATTATCACGGATTCATAAATGAAATTGGGTTATCAGTAGGTACAATACATTAAGAAATGCATGTGCTATATTAATGTTAGTGTGCGAGTGTGTGTGTTGGTTGTCCCATTGGACTTGTTCTTGTTAGTGCTGGTGGCTTCAGCATGCAGTGCGGGAAGGCGTCATGCAACAACTTGTGGTACCAAATAATCAGGTGCTTAGATACTCAATTGCAATGCCGAAATACCTTCGTCCGCTGAACTCGGATGATATCTTCCATCATCTTGTGCATGATATTTGCCGTCGTTTGAGTTTTGCGCTGAAACCGTATACTTGCCATTGTTATCAACGGGATTGCTGAGGCTGACTGCAACAAGGCCCTGTAAAGAATTTATTCATAAATTAATTATAATATTTGGTATATGGGATTTGGCATATTAAATGAGCGCGGCAACTCCCAGGTCTTATTCACAGTTCAATAAGCCGGCCGGAAGTAATAAATGCCAATGGGCACGCGCAGAAACCCCCAAAACACGTTATGTGCTTTTTGTTTATGAAATATTTTATGATATTTCAAATGCCATTAATAACGCTGAGTTATGAGGTATGAAAAAATTTGAAAGACTTGACTTTGACTCAGCTGCAAATCAAAGCAAAGCCTGCATAGCCATGAGATTGAGCTTTAACTGACTTGGCACGAAAAAGTTCAGAATTGTTTTTTACCAACTCTAAGTGTAGACCAGGTATGGATAGTATATAAGTGTACTAATTGAGTTTGGCGCCCAAGTGGCGTATACTTGATATGCGTATACTTTATGTAGTTCAAATTGTATCCGTTAATGGCGTCACTAAGCACTGTAATTGGACTGTATTAATGTCCTTTAACACACACTTTACTCACCACAATCACAAAAACGCTTAGCACTGTTTTCGCGAACATTTTGTGAATTGATTTATGTTTGTTTTTTGTGTTGGGTGTATTTAGAGATATATTCTTGATCCTTGGATATTATCCTGTTGAGATTGTGTTTTAGGTCCTGATGCGGTTAACGCGTCTGCTGCTGCAACAGGAATGTTTGTATTTCGCTGAGGTACACCGGATTTATATAGAAATGTGCCAAGTACCGTGCGAGCGCATCTCGCAATCTGATTCTCACAGCAACCGCGCCTAAATTCTCGCATGTCTGGGAGAGGTAGTTAGCCTCATTTGCTCCACAATTTGAGAGCGGTTCGGTTATGGATTCGACAGATCAACTCAGACGACTTTGCTCACGCAGTTCATCTCAGTTCAGTTCAATAACAGCTACGGCAACAACAGCGCCAAAAACGACGTCTTGAGCTGCGCTCCCTTAATTTAGACACATGACGGGTTCTTCTTGTTGCTGTTGTTGTTGTTATTAATTTGGTTATTGTTTTTATACGTTTTTTTCATTTTTTATAATTTTATATTGTTTTTGGATTATTTTTGGCATTTGTTGAAATTAACTGTAAGCTTTATTAAACGGCTGCTCATTTGCCAATAATTGTAATTACGAATTAATTCAATTAAATAATTCTCATAATTTATTACATTCAATGCGAATGCACCTTTGGCATTCATCAAACATTTAGAGGTTGCGCCTTTTGCTCGATATATAAATTAACATTTCATCTAAGTGTAACTCAAGGATTTCCAACTGCGAAATGACGCATTTTGTTTTTCTTATAAAATGCTCCCAAATTTCCCACAAAAAAAATACGTCATTCCATTTCATCTGAATACTGTGTCAGTAGCACCAGCAGCGACTCATTATCAATATTAAGTTTATTGCTGATAAACAAAGGTCAGCTTCAGTCTGCAGGCCACGGAAAAAACAAATATATATTGTATATACAACGTATATAATAATTAAAAATATGTGCAGAGTGTGTGTTCTTTTCTGTAAGATTTAACTAACATATATTGAGCATGCTTTACAGAGCTTACACATTCATGAATACAATGAATAGTCATTCATTTAGCGTGTTATTTTCATGAATCTTTCAAGAGTGTCTGGATAAATAATCAGCCTAACCAAATATCTATTATATAAAGTAAATTTGCCTATAGAAAAATGAATGGTTTTTATTTAAAGCTTAAATACATGTTATTTTTTTTATTGATATTCAGTTTATTTGAAAAAATTCAAGATCTTTTGATTTCTTGTTTTCGTATATATAAATTTTGTTTTGATAATGTACCAGCAGTTTTAAAATTCGATTTTAGATAAATTTCGTATTATTATCATATTTTTATTCAAATTTTAATGGCCCTTAATTTTGGTCCCAAACAGCTTGACTACAAACCGAAATCTATTTATAAACATATTATTATTGTTATTTTAAATAATTCAGTGCCAAATATTGTTCTAGGATATGCAGCATTCCATCATTAAAAGCTGTTCGTAATTAAATGAAGCGGGACATTTAAATATTTTTATCACATTGTTGCAGTTGGTGCGTAGCTTAAGCTTGGGACTTGAACTGATGACAACATCGTCATCGTCTTCTAAAGATCTTATCCAAGCCAACTACCTGAGGCACTCGGAAGCGCCATAAAAGTGCCGTAATGAAATCATAAATTACAAAAAAACAACGGAAACACGGCAAGACGGCAACAATAACAACAACAAGAGGCACAACAGCTTCAAAAAATAAAAAAAAAACATTCAAATTGCGCGCGCCTGCCGCAATGCGAAATGCATTAATTTTATTCAAGCTGGTGACTGAGATTGGGACTGGGTACTGGGGATTGGGGACTGGGGCTTGGTGCCCCCAACATATGGGTATGCGTATGCGTATGTATAACCGGAATCAAAGTCGGAATCGGAATCAAAATCGGCGACAGACGTGGAAGAAAAATGTTGACAAAATTGATTTTAATTGTGTAGCAAGCAGTGACATCGACTCCCCGATGCTCGGATGTGTGTCCTTAGCTCAACTTAACGGATTTTTTATTTTTCGGATAAGGCTTTAACTGGTAACCTATCCAAAAAGTCGGCCGCAGCTGCAGTTAAGCTAAGCATATCTTTTATTATGCGGATTAATTGCAACAATAAACATAAACTGTGATTAAACAGCCGGCAACGATCCTGAGTAGACGAAAGCGAAAAGAGTTGGGTCGAGGTGGGGCAAGGCAGGGGCAGGGGCAGGGCAGGGCAGGGGCGTTGCAGTCACTGCACTGCAAAGGTCGTACACTGAACCCGCATGCCAGGCCAAATCGATCCGATCCATTCGGTTCCGTTCCGTTCCGTGCCCGAACCCCAAGTGCCAAATCTCCAAATCCCTCGCACTGTGAATCACGTCGCGTGGCTGTTGTTGTTGTTGTTGTTGTTGTTATTGTTGCGGTTGCTGCTGTTTTTTTGACTTTTGATTCACTCTGGTAGAGTATGTATAGTAGGTATAATTATGGCATTTATAAAAATCACAAATACTTAATAAATATTTAAGTGTATGTTGATTTTTAATCAATTACAAGTCCAATTCGATTGGGCATCAGCAATGCAACTTGAATTGAATTTATATGGCTTCCCGCTGATTCAGACTTGCCATTGACCTTGATTCGCATTTTGGCTAAAAGCATTTCACACTTTCTTCATAATCTCAGCTCAGCTGTAGCTGGAGAATTTAACGTATATCACAAATACATTCAAAGATTTTATTCAATTTCATATTCTATAATCTTTTTTAAGCTACTTAATGAGTAGATTTGGTATGCAACCGGAATTGTTTTTATTATCTATATATTTATTCAAGTTCTTATGGATACTTATAGTTAATTAAAGAGACTTTCCTGTTATACTAATAATCTGCTACATAGTCGACTGGTTAATTCTATATAATCTGACTGAGAGCATTCAAATCCCACTGAGTTGTCGCAAGTGGCGCAACAACAACATTATGTACATCATTTTAATGGGAATGTTGAGGTCGCGATAAGTCGCCGAATTGCACAGATTGCCCCGACAATAACATTGCTGGACCGTTGATGTCAGCATATTGTGATCTTTCTTCTCAATGCAGCCATCTTTATAGGGCTCGTCTATGACTGCGACTTCCTCATAAAATCTATTGCGGAGCACATGCGTTATCTTCACTTGGTTTGCGCAGCCTCTGAGAACAGCCGACCATTTCGATCCATCTTGTAAGTTAATTGTGCTCACTGTCTTTAGGCACATTGTGGAATTGGGACAGACCACCCTGAATTCCGGACTGTTTCTCAGCTGTGAGCATACCGGAAGCGGTTTCTCCATATTTGCTCCCGCTCCCTCGAAGCACTCATAGCACTCGAGTAACTCGGCTGCGGCGCAACTGTTGCACACAACTGCAAGTACAGTGAAGCCCGAGAACAGTGTGAGAGTACGGCCCATCATACGCTAGGCCAGTGATAAGAATGCACTCAGCTCGTTTAGGTGTAAGTACGAGCTTCCAGCAAGAAGTCACAACACGAACTACATAGCTGTGTGGTATTCGGCTTGAGCATATCACGCATTCTTACACTGCATGACTAAGCGTCCGGTCGGTTATTATTTTATTTCCGTTTTTTTTTCTCCTCTGTGACTTATTGTTTGAAACTTAATCACTCATGACATACAAATTTCTATATACGTTTGCGGCTTTAATCTCAAGCAATTAAAATGACTCTATGGAAGTTTCGTTTAACCAACGAATTGACGAAATTTCAGCAAATTGAAGAGTTTAAAAACTGGGAGATGTTGAAGTATTATATAGCTATCTGGGATTAAAGGTAGATTCATTAAACCATACTCGTTTTCTTTATACTTAGGTGTGATCCTATATCCTATGTAAGATTTTAGACCTTTAGACTGTAAAATAACTAATGACAGTACCTCGGAAAATAAGTAAAAAAAAACATTTGACCTTGAGTACAGAGTATCTCAGTGCCAAGTACTTTTCGTACTGCCTTTTCTTTCTATACCATTTATGGAGTTAAATGATATATTTCAAACTATATTCTACCATATATACTTTAGAATATTATATAAATTATATATTAGATAAGAATTGCAAGTAGGAATATTTAATTAAAATCATTCAAAATTATTGCCAAAAACTCTCATAAATTTGTTTGTTAAATATTTCTTTGTGAACTCAATTTATGAATGCTTCTTAACAAATACATAATTCTTCGATTTCTTAAGCAGGCATTCGGTCGTGCTGCTTGCACAACACATTTATAATAATGTCAGCACTCGCATTGGGTATGATTCCCGTTTTCGACACCTCTCCAAACACTTATGATAAACGCGTATTTTCACCTGCTTTCAGATGGCATTTGTTAAGCAATTGAAATCTTTATAGGGTGAGTATTGAGCATTGAGTTTGGGCAATAAATTGCCATTACTCTCCGCCGTGGGCTTATACGATTTCAGTATATCTGACTGGCTGTCAGTCGGATTTGTTTTAGCAGCCGGTTTCAAAGATTAACTTAAGTGAAGTTTGCTTAATTATCATCTCGCTCTATATTCGAAATAATTTGTAGAGCTTGTCGCCTATAAATATTCTCAGTTGAAGCGAGTTTTGCAATCGTGTGCGAATTGGTAGCCGAATTGCCAAATAGATGGATGGCTTTGGGTAGCACTCAGTGTATGTACCTTTAATGGAATCAATTAAATCAAATGATTTGTAGCTGTTTGCTGTTAACATTTGTTTTTGCGAACAAATTAATTTAGAAAATACAAAATGCATTGTAAATTTTGCCAAAGGCGTCATACGAACTGCATTTGGAACAATACAACAAATTACCAAATGATCTGAGCCTTAATGAGATACAAGCATCACCTTATACATATATATATATATATATACATATATCGGTGGGCGTAGAAAATACCGTAAAGTTCAAAGCACCGACCAAAGATCCGATACGCAGTTAGACTCGTAAATTTCTAGAGCTTTCAGCTTGGGTGTGATTTTTATCAGTTGGTGCTAAATTAAATATTAATGTTATATCTCGTCTTTTACGTTATCGGCTTATTTTATGAGAGAAAATTACCATCTGAATAAAATCACAGCCTGTGTAAAAAAGAAGACGAATGTTGTTGTGTTTTTTAAACAGAAATTTATCAGTTGCGCACTCAGCTTTAAGGAATTTCAAAAAACAAGTAAATTTAAGTTCAAGGCTGAGATTTGTTTTTATTATACAACCAAGGGTTAAATTCGTGACGCCAACAATTTAATTGTCTAGGCCCATGGGCGCCACCACAGAAATTAAATTAAATAAATGTGGCGACAGATTCGTTTTTTCGTTCATGATAATTTGTGGCGAGGGGGCTGGAGCAGCTGCTGGAGTCAGCTGAGGGGAGCTGAAATAAATGAATTGCATGCAAAACACCAAATTACGCATTGTTGGGATTAGCGCAGCCAAAACTCATCACACTTACAGGTATATTATATCTCTGTTTTTACCTGTATCTGTTTCATATTATGTGAGCATTTGACAAATATTCCAGGTGCAAAAATTTGCATATGCAGCAACTAATACAACTGGTTATTAATCTAACTTGTATCTTGTTTTATCATTGTTTCAGTCGGTTCTGGACGAAGCGCGTTTAATTATCTATAACAAAATATTAATTTTTGCAGACCAGCTTTTGGAAATTGACAAAAAACCAAAAATTGTCGTAGCTTTTAATTTTATAATCTGACAAAAACGTCAAAATACATTTGATTGTCTTATTCCCTGTTTACGCCTCATAATAAGATCATTTCAAGGTATTTTATGTTCCTTATTTAATTTAATTTTTTGTTATTTTTTGTTATCCACTTTGCAAGGTAAAAGGCTAAATGTCAGAGCTAAGAGCAGCTACCAAGTTTATTAACTTTTGTTCCTACGTATTCAGATATGACTAATTTCTCTTTGACTCATGTCCGGCTGCAAGGTAAAAGGTTAAAGATTCTTTGCGAAGTTTAGTCTTAAGATTTTTGCTTGGTTTTGTGGGCGTTTTCACTTTCAATTTCACACACGGCTCAAACATTCTTTTTTAGCCTAAGCGTGTTTTGACTTGCTCCCATCATGTTTGAATGCCCATTGCTGACAGCTGACTGATGATGATTGATGATTGATGGGTGCTTGGCGTCCGTTTTGATTGATCTTCGGTTATTATGAATGCCCATTAAGGCAAACGATCGTTTTATTGTTTATGACGAGCGTTAAATTTGATTTAAACGACACTAATTAACTTGGATCCTATCAAATCCATTCAAGTGTCTACAAATTGCCCCCGACCAGACAAATATTTCAAGCTTCCGACAGTTACAATGATAAGGCGATTAGAAATATCCATTGGGTGTGGCAGGTGGTTAAAGTGCAGTTGATCGGTGTGGAATTTATATTGTAAGCATGTCTTAGAGATGAGCTCAATTTAATTTGAGGAAAGTTCTAACTTTCCTTAGTACTTATTAAATGCATATTTTTAGACAACTTCAACAGGTTTTAAATGAAAATTAAATTCTGCAAAATATTTAGAATAGAATTTAACTAGGAACAGATAAAATGATCTTACTTATTTTGAGAATTGAATATTCTGATTTATTTTTCCAATCTGAAACTAAAATGTTTTAGCTTTTGCTACAAATATTTTGCATTTTTTAGCACTGAAACAAGACTGAGGCTCATCGGATTACCCCGTGCGACGGTGACAGCTGTCGACACTGGTTTCCGTTTTGAGATTTTTTTGTCGCCGGCGTTCAAAAGGTCAAAAGCAATTGGGAGCTGTCTGTGAAAACGAGTTGGGTTACTTGGCTTGGTGACTGGGATTACTCGGTAGCCACTTTATGGCTTGTTAGTATGCAAAGAATTTCAATTAGCATGCGTTACGCTAGAGTCAAGCCTGTGGCTCGTGCAGCAATCAGTCGCAGCAACCACCGAATAAACTAGCTAATTAAATAATTAAACGGCCGCATCTTCCACATAAAACCGGTCAATTAATTAGCTGCCAGTCGATGCCTACTTCAAGTGCAATTGAAACTGAAACTAACTTGGCCAGTGATTGGATTAGCTACAGTTAAACGCATTCAACTAGTCGAGATGTACACAACTTTGTTCATTGCCTTTCTCCTGTTAAGCCTGGGCAGGGCAGAAGGATCTGGAGAGGATCAGCAGCCGCCACTGCCCACAGCACCATCCAAGCCGGGACACTATGCCCACGAGCTGCATGGCTCTGCCGGCTGGTACCAGCCGGATGACAGCGGCAAGTATCGGCACGATCCCAGGCCCTACGATGGCGGCTACGGAGATCGCGGGCAACCGTATGCGAATGATTTGCGCGGCATCTTTCGGCAGGCCGAGCGTCAGCTGGCCGCCACCGTACAGGAGGCTCAGGAGAACTTTGCTCTGGGACCACGCGATCATCTGCGTTTCATGATTGACTTCAACTACAATGGCACCGGCTGGCAAATTATTCAATTCGAATGGGTGCGCGATGGCGACGGCACAAGCGAGGACCAGCGCCAATTCAGCTACGTGAACGAGAACCGGCTCTGGGATACTGAATCCCAAGCACGCTACCAACCGGCTCAGTCCTATGAGTATGCGCAGCCCCAAACTCCGCTGCCAGACCAAAAATCTGACGAGCAGCTGCCCTATCCAGGGCAGTACGGGGATACAAAAATCAATACCGAACAGGATGTAAGTCAGCTATAATGTCAAAGCTTAGAGGCAGTTTGATAAATGTATCTTTATTGCAGCCCGCCAAAGTGCAGTCAACTATTAATGAGGTGCTGGAGTATATACAACAGCAGATCTTGCCGAACCTGAACTAATTTTTATTGAAATTTTTATAAAAAAAAAAGAAATATATTTGCCAAATGAATCCTTAAATGTATATCTTTTATAACTCTGAGCAAAGAGAGTCTGAAATATAATCCCAGACTTATCTAGGCCAAACGGTTAAGTGGCCAGTGTTATTTAAAAATAAGTTAGTTAGTCTATAACTATGTGCTTTTTTTATAATAATTAAGTGTTTTGCAACTGGGATATTCTTGCTTTGTTCATCGTCTTACAATATTTTTTAAGACCTAGTTCTCCCCAAGATCCAAATGCTTTCATATTTACATATATTTGAGCATAATTTGGCACTCCTTGGTATATTATCCGCAATATATTAAGTTTACTTTTTTTTTAAAGAAAACTCTTTTATTTCCTGATAACCGAAATAACGAACAAAATAGATTTCTATATATATTTACAAAGCGCCCTGCTCCTTCAGATAGGTCAGCAGCCTGGGTATGTGCTCCGGCACTTTGGGAATGTGTTCGCCGGCGGGCACAAAGCCATTCTCATCGGCCACATAGTCCACGCGGTAGAGCAGGCCATCGTCACCGGTGTACTCGTAGTAGCCTTTGGAGCGCAGAGCATCGCCCTCGGTTTGCTTCTCAATGCGTCCACTCTCCTCGCCGAGAATGCCGTTCTCCGTCTCGTAGCTGGCACAGGAATTCGGTTAAATATCGCAGGACTCTAAGGAATATATCCACTTACAGATAGTTGTAGCCATCGGCCTGCAGTTCGCCTTCCTGACGCAGAATCAGGAAACCGTTTTTGCCAATGCCAGTGCCGCGTCCTTGTGGCAAGTTGGGTCGCAGATCGACGGCAGGCGTTGGGCGTGGCAGCGACGTACTTGGGCGTGGCTTATTAGCAGCAGTTGTCGCACCAGCACCAGCTCCACTGCCCCTAGCTCCATTGGCACCAGCTCCACCACCGCCACGTCCAGCACCGCCGCCAGCACCGAACTTGTTCTTATCAGCCACATAGGGATTGCTGTCGCCAGTGTAGTCACCACCAGGACGATTATCGTGCTGGTACTTGACATCCTTGTGCACATAACGCCCATCGTTGCCGCCTCTGTAGCGTCCATCGCCGCCGCCGCGATAGCGTCCATCATTGCCGGCCACATACCGTCCATCGCTGGCGCCCGTATAGCGACCCGCATTGGCATTGGCATTAGTCCTCGCCCTTAGCACGGACGGTGTGGTTGGCGGAGGACGATAGCGACCATCGTTCTGGGCCAGCGCAACTGCAGCGCAGATCAGCAGCCAAATCTATAGGAGGAGGGAGGCGTGGTCAGATAACTGCAGACCAACTGCAGCAGCAGCTGGAAAACTTACCGTTAGACGCAACAACATGGTTAATCAGCAATGAGCAGTTTTAGCCACGACCAGAGCTTTATATATGAGCGATGCACAACGCCCACCAGGCCTATGGAAGATCCACTCGTTCTATGTGTGCTATGGCCAACTGGCCAGCTTGGAGCTGAACGGACAACATTTGCAAAGCGCTCAAAACTAGATCTATTAACCGTGATTTACGAGGCGTTTACTACATATTTTCTGGAAAGCAGCTGCCACCCAACACGAGCTATGATTAAACGGATAGACCATTCTTCTGATGGCAATCGATTCAATTAATTTTGTGTTTGACATCGACGACACGGAAACGCTAACATTTCTTTTGACAGCAACTAATTTTGGCGAGCATTGGCTAATGCGAGGTGACGACATATGGAGCAACATCTCCATTGGATGAGCACCACAGAACACATAAAACCAGTTGCTTGGGCGGTTTACTTGACTGCCTGAAAGTATGCTGTGTGGAGAATATCCGAAGAATATCTGATTGTTGATATACAAAGCTTTTCATCTATATTTTAATGAGTATGGCCTAGAAAATATTGTAGGAAGAAGATCTAGAAGATCTTGTATCAACACTTCATACTGCTAATAAGGCATTTGCTGTTTGAAGCAATTTCATTTGTTTTGAAGAATATTCTATAATGAAATATTAAAGATTGCAGGTGCTTTAAGCCTGGCATTAGTCTCTGCCAGTTGGTTATAGAGCAGTTTCATATATCATTTATATACATATATACGTTTTATATTGTCCAACATGTTTTTAGTAGCTAATATATTATAAAACATATATCAGCATAGATAGTCTTGTATTCCGCACCGGCTGTCTCTATGTGCAATTGTTCATCTGACTGGGTCACATAATCTGCCGCATTTCCCTACATTTATTTACAAATTAAAATAATTCTTGTTTTTCTAAATCCAATCCCAAAAGCTTAAAGACTCAAAGACTCTCCGTTTAGACACAGTTTATTAATTTTGCATATTTATTTACATGTGCGGAATATTTTCTAATTTTCTGATTTAACAATTTTGGTTAACAAGCAAATTTTCGTTGTCTCCGCCTCTCACAATACCCCTCACTCTCCCCACGCTCCTTGGATATTTCTTTCTCTGTGCTCTCAGAGAGAGAGAGAGAGAGAGAGCACTTATCCCCGGCGTGCGGTGTAGGCGCTCTGCTGCTCAGCGGGTGGCGGTGGTGCTGTGGCTATGTAATCCAAGGCCCTCTGTATGGCTGGTGGTATGGGCGGAGCCGTGGGTAAATGATCGCCCTGCGGCTGGAAGCCGTTCTCATCGGCCACATAGGTAATCCGTATGGGTGTGCCATCGGGCGCGGTGTAGGAGAAGAAGCCCTGAGCGACCTTTTAGACCCAGCAAAGAGTTTAGCGAAAAAGAGCAGAAAACAATGCACAGATGCACAGCTAATTACATGACCCGAACAATTTGTCAGCCTCGCGGGGCAATGTCGTGAGGCAGCTTCAGCTTCAGATGCAAATGCCAAATGGTTGTGTGATATTTGGGGTCTCACTCACCGGTCCTGCATTGTCGGTGCCAGCATTCTTGAGGTAGCCCTCCTCCTCCACATTGATGCCATTTTCGGTCTCATAGCCATACTTGTAGGAGCCATCGAAGTTGACCTCCTGCTCCTGTCGTATTATCTTGATTGGCTCCGTGGCAGGTCCTTGCGGTCGTGCATGTGTTGTGCACAGCAGCAGAGCTGCAAGAGTCAGCAGCTGACAGAGGATTAGTCCAACTGAACTGAATAAAACCGATGTGTCTTAGCCAATGTACTTACAAGGTATTGCATTAGTTGGTTGTATCCTGTGCTGGGCTCTGGAGTGGCAACTGTCAGCGTCTCGATTTGAAACTGTGGCCACCAACGCCAAAGGTTTGAATATTTATAGCAAAATCTTGAATCTTGTGGCGCGCTGCTTTTGAGTACTCGAGCACTGACTGAATGCTGAATGCTTGAACTTTACAGCTGCCACTTGCAACGCTTGCAGCAGAGCGGCTCTGGCTCTGACTCTGGCTGTAGCTCCAGCTTGGCCATTGATGGGTGTTTAGCATTTGGAAGATGCACAGATCAGAAGCCAAACTCACAGCCTGGCCAAAACTGATTAAATCTACCCCGACTTCTTCAAGTGCATTGTTTGCGTGTTGTTGTTTCTAAATTGTTGTTAAATCTGCAATTTGTCTAGTGAATTGTTTACAGCCCATAACAGCTTTGGCGCCTTAGAAAAAGCTTCTGTCTAAGGTTTGGAAGAAAAAAGTTCTCTTTCTTAACAAAAATATTTTAGAATATATTTTTGAAAATAACAGAAACAACTATTTTAAGTAAATTAATTATTCTCAAGTACATTTCTCCACATTTCAATCGATTTTCTAACTTACTTGTGGACTTAAAATATTAATAATTTTTTTTTATTCTTTGAATATATAGATCTTATTGCAGAAATAATTAAAAGATTTTAAAATTAAACGTTCATTGATTTGAAAATCTATTAATATTAATATTTATTCAAATTTAGAAAATTCCAAAAATTCTTTATTATTTTTTTGTATCCAAATTAATAATCTTGGATACAACGAAAAGTTAAATTTTTGAGTATATAAATTCATGGAGGCTATTTAAAATTTCTTTTAAATATGTTTCAAGAATTTGTTCAGTGTTTTATTTACTCAAAAAGATGCTAGAAATCTTCCTATTGGGCGTTTCACTGTAGTCTAAACGCTGTAACTGAATATTTTGGTCAGTTTTTGATTGAGTATGTTTATCGAGAAATAAACTTGTATCGTGGCATTCAAAGAACACGTCTCGCATTTCAAATCAATTTGTCAGCTACACATTGTAGACATTTACCTTTAGCTGCAAATTCTGATGTGCCACAGCCTCATGAAATCAAATTGCGCAATGCAGCCAAAATCCCCCTGCTCCTCTCCTAGGCATAGTCGCAGCTATAGCGGAGGCGGCAACAACATCATCATTAAACCGAAAAGCATTAGACGAGTATCACTATACTTATACTAGACACTGTTGCCACGCCACCTGACCATGATCATGTCTAGATCTCTGTCCGTCTGGCGCTGACCTTTGTTGGAGTCGTGCTCATAGAGAGGTGAACAATTCTGACCAAAGGCGTTAATGAGCCCTCATTGGGTTGGTTCATTCTTGGGCAACACCTGTGGAAATGTCATTCACTCCCCCCAATACAATTGGTACAGTTGTTTTTTGTTTTTAAATTAAATTTTATTTGGCTTTTAATTAAGTAGTATATTTTCACATTTTAACGAAACAAATTATTGCTGGATGTGGCGGGTTGGGCGTCAGCGTTGAGCTATCCAGCCTTCTTGTTGAAGAGCAGCGATAGGAACTGCTGCTTGAACGGCTTCGTGGTGGTCACTTCATCATAGTAGTCGGAATAGTAATAGTCATAGGTACTTGGATACGAAGAGTAGTCAGAAGAGTAATAGTCGCTAGTCGGCGAGTAGTCGGAGGAAATTGAATCCTGGATGTCGCTAATGATGGAGGTGATGCTCTCCGTCGTTTGCGCGTTTGCCGTTGCAAAAAGCGCGATGGCTACGAACAGAACCACCAGGAAATTCATTTTATTCGTTTCTGCTATGATCTTTCCGTGAGTGTTAACCAAATCGAAGTGTGCCTTCCAATGGCCCAATGCAACACATTTTATACGTCTTGAAAAAAAGAAAACTTGAATGAAATGTAAATGATGCCACAAACATACAATTTCAGCTATTACAACAGTTCGTCGGGTTTGTGTTTACACAAATGTTTGCCACGCACAAGAGCAAGATATTCTGTTTAATCTTAAATATTTATTCCGACTACGTTATGAAATGCACTACTGTCGTGGCTTTTGTTTGATCTTTAGCCCAGTTTTGGGCCTTTGTTTGCCTCTAAAGAGTAGATGGCCCGGCAGCCAGGAAGAGCAAATACAATTGGATTCGGTTGGGCTTAGACATTATAAAATGTTTATTTTTTATTTATACTTTTCTTTCAACTATTTTATTATACTAAAACAATTAATCATTAATATATATAGCGGTCATAGGAGGCTGGCCATTCCATGGCGTGCACAAAATCTGGAAGATCCTCTATAAACTGCACGCTGTACGCATCCCGCTTGTGCACATGACTTATATAATGACCGGAGATGCCAATCTCGAAAACGGGCTCCAGGAAGTTGCCATTCACTTTCTGTAAAGAGCATGTAACTAATTTATGTGATGAAAGTATATTTAGTAATACGCACCGTCAGGTCCAGGTGAAACTCAATGGGCGAGCTGTCGACGCCCCAGGCAAAGAATATGTGATATGGCGGCTTGTAAGTGCCGGGATTATCCAGCATACCCCGCAAAAAGGACCAGTCCTGCATTTTCACTCCAGACAAGGGCTTCAGGAATATGCTCATGCGTGCGGGCCCCGTCAGCTTGAACTGATAGCGCGCCGTATAGCCGCCAGCTAGTGTCGTCTTGTTCAGTAGTTCCAGGGTTGTGGTGCCGGGCACTTCGACAGGTTCCTTACGGGGCAGCCAGCGAGCTGCTGTGCGTGCCTCGCACCAGCGATGATTGAAGCAGGGCACACCACACATCATTTGGGCATCGCATTCGCCCTCCAGGTGCACCAAGCCGTCAAAGTCCACTTTGTCACGCAGCGGCAGTTCCAGACGACGATCCTGTAGATCGAAATAATAGCCAGAATCCTCCAGGCTAACGGAGCCATCATATTCATAGAATTTCCGATGGACTTGCTGCAATCAGGGCCGGTTTTTAAAAGACGATGCTGGGCTGGTAAGCATATATAAAAATAAGCTAGCTTACCAAAAAGTTAACCCGCATCACATTCGTTTTAGGGCGATAGGGAAAACCCACCTCCGAAACGGATATCATGCAGAATATAAAGGTTATGAGCGCCAGACCGCCTATCATGCAATTCGGACGCCGGAAGATATTAATGAGAGGAACCTAACAGGTAGAGCAGGTAAGTAAGAAAATCTTTTATATATTCCTAAGAGATATAAAATCTATGGCCAAAAGAAGGATAATAGTTATTTTTAGTTGTTCGACTTACCAAAAAGCCTAGCGCAAGAATTGAGCCCAATGCACACAAGAGGGCAATCAGCAGATCCGGATTCACCTCGGTGCCCTTACGCGCCGTCATTGGAATGCAAATGACAAGAAAAGCGTGAAACAAGTAGCTGAAATAAAGAAAGGGCATTGCCTGGCACGCACACAGCACAAGCGACCAGAAGTAGCCTGTGGCCATAACCGAGATGTGAGCAACACACTTCCAAATGGGAATTGAATTAAGAACTTACCGCGATCTTGCAGGCTGCTGAGCAAATTGATGGTCAGTGCACCCACATAGAAGAGCAGGGAGATCATGAAGAGGTAGGCGCTGCGCAGACCTGCGATTGTCAATATAATGCACACAATGGCTAAAAACACACAATGGGCGTGGCCGGCCATTTGCAGATGATAGGTGTGCGGTATTTTGCTCTGCAAAAAAAAAGAAGAATTCTTTGGGTAAAAATCGACTTCTCAAAAGCCATGAATATGTTCACTTACACTGGGCCTCAGGGTGTAGTAGAGTGTAAAGGGCAACACCAGGCCAATGACCGAGGGGCAAATGAAGAGTCCGATTACCAGCCAGCTGTTGGTGAAGTATGTCAAGGTGCGATCGCCGGCATCATAGAATACTGCCATGAGCACTGGCAGGCCTAGGGCTAGCACAAACGAGGCCAGCTCCAATAGAAACATAATACCAAAGGCGCCCGATACGGATCCAATGTCAAGTTCTGTTGTCCTTGTCATGCGCCACAGGGACACGCACACCAGAATAATGCCACCGAGGCCGAAGCAAATGTTGAGGGCAATACCTGTGGACTCCAGATAGTAGACAAAGAACAGGCCCAGGAAATCAAAGAACACCGAGTGACCCTCGGAGTGTGCCTACAGTTAACAAAGATAAGCCTTATCAAGATTTGTTAGTCAAAGTTTAACTGAGCGAAAGTACCTTAGTATCGTGCATCTCTTCCGCATTGCCGATACTACGCACCAGCGACAGCAGATTCTCGCCCGTATTCTGCAGAGAGTCTCGGGATATCACATCGAAGCGATCGTATTTTGTGTGGTACACGAAACCATTATATTGACCCGCCATATCCAGACCTAATTAATGTGAAAAGGAATGTGGATTGTAAACGGGGGAAGTGGGGTTTAGCACATGCACACACACACACACACACACCTGGCACTGGACCAAAGTCACGGAAGATTCGAAAGTCTGTGTCGGAGGGTATGATGCCAGCCTGGAATACCTCCTCGGCCATTGTTGTTGCAAACGGATGCTTGGCGGCGTCTCTATAGTGCTGCAATCAGTTAAAAGCGACAAGATTTTCTTGTTAATAAGCCAGATAAGCAACATTGATAACGATTTGATATCTAACCAATATCGTAGGCCCGATAAGATCCACGGAAGGTCTACGTGAGTTTCGAACGAGCCACAAGCATAACCATTCCAATTCTCAACTTACCCGCATTAGCCAGGGGTGATTGGGACCGCCTTGAAAGAGGATCTCACGACCACCGGCACCGGCGGAATCCAGATTAATCAGCGCCCTAAAAATGTGAATTAGGCACTGCTCTCACACACATTACACACCTTACTCACTTGCAGTTGGGCGACCATTTGTGCTGTGAGATGAACGCATGTGAGCCTTGGAGCGGCTGCTCCTCGGCGCCATTGAATAGAAAGACAATCGGATGCTCGAACGTTTGTTCGGATGTGGCCAATTGCCGCATCACCTCCAGCATGGTGACCACCATGAAGCCAGCATCTCCGGTACCTGCAGCAAATCAGGCCTAATAAGGATTGTGGCTCACAGCGGCACCTCGGCTCCACACTTACCCACACTGCCCGGCTTGGTGTCGTAATGACTGTTGATGAGTAGATAGGATGTGCTATTTGAGCTCTTCGTACTCAGCTTGACAACCACATTTTGCACGGCCTGATACATGTTAATCATTTCCCAGTGCAGATAGGCGCCGGATGCCCGTTGCACATCCACCTCCATGTCGTACAGATCCTGTCGCATGTCCCCACGCACGGCTTCAATTTCCCTGAGCATAAACTCCACCATTGTCTTCTCGTTCATTTCATCGCCGACTATTTTGGGTCCCAAACGATCCAGCTCCAATAATATGTACTGAGCACGCTCCGCCACAAATTGACCCGGTTTCGTAGTTTCCTCATCAATTTTCACCGGTGTGGGCAGGGAATTGAAAAGCGGAAAAACCACAGCAAAGAAGAGCGCGACCCATAGAAGCAAAAAACTGGGCGCATAGTACCAGGGCAGCTGCTTTTTGGGGTGGTCCTTCTCGATAAGTTCAATGATTGTATTATCCATTCTCGGCGGTTCGGGTTCGACTGCATCGGAGACAAACTCCTATACCGATTATAGAAAACAAATGCTACGATTAATAGTTGTACTCCATAATAATATCCAAGGCCTCCTACGTCCTTATCCTTGCCGTTATCCATGCTGCTATCTTATTCGGAGCAACTGCAAGGTCCAACTGTTTCGGACAACTGAGTCCATCTCTAGTCGAATTTCTTAAATTTAAAGCAAATTCCCACGTGTGGGGGGTATGTGCAGCCTTTATTGTCTGTGATTTCATATCTTTAACTTAATCTTTATGTGCGCATCGTAAAACTTTTTGTTTGTAAATTGTGCATTGGGGGTACGTATACATATACATATATATATATATATATATAGATATTTATGACCCAATAGCTGATATACCATTTATTGACCCTCGTTTCTCATTGTCAAAATCTATGCATGCATATTGGGTAAATCATTCTGTCCGTACTTTGGAATACGGTTCGGGTCCAGATTGAGTTGGCATCGTCAAGACCGAGTGATCACTCACCCAGATCTTTATCAGGTATCGTACTTAATATGGTGGATTTATTGATCTAACTACTTCGCATCTGTTAAGCAATTAACCGTTATTTGTTAACTGCTGGTACTAACAGTAATTCAGGGTCGGTCTATGACTTGAAGTTTTATCGGGTGGAACGTAGGGCTCATATAATAATAATAATAATAAAGAGCCTGCAAAAAGCAATTAGAAATAAATAGGTAAATATATGTGTTTATGTGATACTGAATATGTATTTGCTGCCTTTCAATATTCTGAATTCAATTCTGATATTTAAAGCTCACTTAGATATTATAATCTCTAAAATGAAAAATATTCCTAGAATATCTTCATTTATATTGATATTCATAAATTTACTGATTGAAAGAGTCTACCTTAGTATTTAATATTCCTTTATGTTTGTGGTTAATTATATTTTATTCTCTTATAATTATAATAATAATTTACAAATCATATTATAGTTAGTTTATAGTATGTAACGTTTATATAGCGTTGGCCACTCCATCACATGCACAAAGTCTGGAAAGTCGGCTATAAACTGCAACCCAGGCGAGTCCCTTTCAAAGTCGTAGCTAACATAATGCCACGCAACGCCCATCTCAAAGATTGGCACATCGAAGTTTCCAGCAGGTTTCTAAATGGGATTCAAATTTAAAAATACATTTGTTCAGGTACAATAGCCATAAATTAATTTCTGCACTCACTGCAAAGTCTATGTGGAATTTCAAGGGCGAATTATCCTTGCCATAGGAGAAGAATATTTGATATGGCAACTTGTAGTTTTCCGGTTCGTCCAGCGCAGTCCTTATAAAGGACCAGTCTTCAACGGTTACACCCTCCAGCGGTTGTATGAACAAGCCCATGTGCGGTGGTCCGCTCAACTCGAATTCATAGCGCACCGTGGTGCCGCTGGACATTATGGTCTTACCCAAAAGCACCAGAGAGGAGTTGCCCGGTATGGCGACCTCCTGTTCACGGGCCAGCCAATGGCCGGAGGTGCGCGCCTTGCACCAGCGATGATTGAAGCAGGGCACGCCGCACATCAGTTCCGTATCGCAGTGCTGCTCAATGCTAGATAGGCCCGTCAAATTGACCGAAGTCTCCTCGAGCGGATAGGCGAGTCGCCTGTCCTGGAAGTCGAAGTAATAGCCCGAGTCGCTGAGGCTCACGCTGCCATCATACTCGTAGAAGATGCGACGCACATGCTGCCATATATCCACTGAAAATTAACCTTTTTATCTACTATACAAAAACCAATCTTACCAGGAAGTTGACGCGCATAACGCTGGTCCTGGCGCGATAGGGAAAGCCCACATCCGAGACGGCAATCATGCTAAATATGAACGTGACAATGCCCAGCGTGAGCATAATAAATCTGGACCAGCGGAACATGTTGATAAGAGGTGACTTTTCGTTGGAAACCTAATTAGTATGTGTCTGGATGGTTTAATGAGCTCCACTTACCACAAATCCCATTGCGAAAAATGTGCCGATCGTGCATAATAAAGCAACTAAGAGATCCGGATTTATGGAGCTGCCATTTCTGCCCATCATGGGTATAAAAACAATCAGGAACATGTAGAACAGATAGCAGAAATAAAAGAAGGGCATCAGCTGGAATATCTGCGTGATCAGCACCCAGTAATAGCCTGAAATTAAACTCAAAGTTAATCAGGCAATAGTTTTAATATATGAACAAAGAAAACTCACTTCGATCGTGCAAGGTGCTCAACAGGTTGACGAGCAGTGCAGCGGAATAGAAGAGCGTGGATATCATGCAAAGATAGGGTGTGCGCAAACTGATTGCAGTCAGTGTGATGGCTATGACGGCCAGCACCACACAGTGGGCGTGCAGGCTCATGTGCAGATGGTAGGCGTGGTTTATCTTCAGCTGTGGCAAAGGAGTTTATATAGATTCCAGCTGGGGTTATTACGTTCTGCTTACGTTCTTCCGGAAACTGTAGTACAGCGTGGTGGGCAAACTGAGTCCAATGATGGCCGGACAGATGTAGAGGCCAATCATTAGCCAGGTGTTCGTAAAGTAGGTCAGCGATCGATCGCCGGCATCGAACATGACGGCCATCAGCAGGGGCAGGCCCAGACTGAGTACAACACCCAGCACGTGTAGACCCAGGATGATGGCGAACCAGAGGGCAACCTGGCACAGGGACTGCTCGGAGACGCGCGCCATGCGCCACAGGGAGACACAGACTAGCAACAGGCTGACAGCCGCAATGCAACAGTTCAACACGATGCCAATCGTTTCCGTGTAGAAGACAAAGAACAGGCCCAGAAAGTCAAAGAAGACAGCATGTCCCTCGCTATGTGCCTGCAATGGAATGTGAGGATCACTCGAGTACCGACTGTTACACTGAACCCACCTCGGTGTCGTGCATCTCGCTGGCATTGGCAAAAGCCCGCACCAGGGGCAGAACATTTTCGCCAGTGTTCTGCAGAGAATCCCGTGGCACAGCCGCATAGTTGTCGAATATGGTATGGTAGACATAGCCATTGTTGATCTGCGCCATGTCCAGGCCTGAACAGCGGACAGGTTATTATTTGCATGGGTAATAGTCAATAGACTGTCACGCTTACCTGGCACCTGGCCGTAGTCACGAAATATGCGAAAGTCCGTATCCGAGGGCAGGATGCCGGCCTGGAAGATTTCCTCGGCCATGGTAGTCGCAAAAGGATGTTTGGCATGGTGTCTGTAATACTGCTCAAAGCGGAACAGAAGTTTTTGTATCCATAAATCCCACGTTAGTTGGACGCGAAAGCGGTTTATAGCGGGCAATAAAGAAAGGGGAAAAGTATTTTTATTAGCACCAATCCTTGATAAACTTCTAACTGTTTGCCGCCACGCGCCGTAAATAATCAGGTAAATCTGAAGATAAGAGCTCAATGAATATACTCAACGTACACGCATAAGCCAGGGATGGTTGGGGCCACCTTGGAACAGCAGATCCCGTCCGCCACTGCCAGCTACTTCCAGATTAATAAGCGCTCTGCAATTGGATGCCATTGAGGAAAACTATTTCTGTTTGTTAGACCTTGCCTTACTTGCAGTTCTTGGCCCATTTGTGCTGGGTGATGAAACCGTGCGAGGCTTGCAGAGGATTCTCTTCGGCGCCATTGAATAGAAAGACAATGGGATGCTCGAAGGGTCGATCTGATATGGCCATTTGGCGCAGCACCTCCAGCATGACAATGACCATGGTGCCATCATCGCCAGTGCCGGGACTGCTGGGCTTCGAGTCGAAGTGACTGTTGAGCAGCAAGTAGGATTCGCTTGTGGAGCTGCGCGTGCTCAGCTTGACGACCACGTTCTGCACGGCCTGGTACATGTTCACCATGTTCCAGTGCATATATGCGCCGGACGACTGCTGCACATCCACCTCCAGCTCGTACAGATCCGATCTCATGGCTGTGCGCACATTCTCCACTTCGCCGAGCAGAAAGTCAACCGTAAGCTTCTCGTTGGCTACGCTGCCCACGACCTTGGGCCCGATGCTATCGAAACTATAGAGAAGCTGCTGTGCTCGCTCGGCCACAAACTCGCCCGGCTTCAGAGACTCCTCTGCGATGGTGACACTATCCGGCAGACGATTGAAGAGCGGAATGACCACCGCAAAGAAGAGCGCAAGCCAAAACAGCAGAAAGGCGGGCGCATAGTACCAGGGCAACTTGGCTCTGAGATTCTTTGGGCCTTTCAAAATACTCACGAGTGCCACGTCCAATATGGCAGCGCTCTGCATAATAATCAACAATTTATATTTCAGTCCATAATCAATATTTTCACTTACGTTGTCCTCCTTTTCCTTTTGTGACATTATTCTTTTTCTCTTTTAAACTTGTGCGCCGCCCAGCTCCGTCGCCAATCGTTGGCCAACTGAAGAGTTTTGTATCGGAATGGCATGGGTTTGGTGCTGCATGGATTTTATTGGCACTGATTTGCACTTTGAAGTCAATAAAGATAAAATCCTCCAAAATCAACAACCCACATTATACCTCTTTGCCTCTTTGTAATGTGTTATCCCAGAAAAAGCCATACATTTCATAAAAACCTGGTCAAGAGGCGAGCTTGGTATCTAAATTATATGTACCCAACATGCGATAAACAACCTAGCCCAGCCACATAGTTTAAAAATGGAATCGAACTTATGCTTTTCCGCTGTTTGCCCAATTCCGGGATCAGTATCTAACTGCAAAGGGGGCTGAATTTTGGTGTTCCTTGTGACCATCGTTGGTGGTGACGCAGCTTTGGGTAATGCCCAATTGGATATACGGACAAATCAAATCAAAACAAATTTGGTCGTTTAGAAACCTCAAGTACTTGAGGATTGTTTGCTTTATCAGAGCTATCATAAATATGCATTACAACTTGAGTTAATAGCTGGGTTTTATGATTTAAGATAAGATTGTGTTTATATGGCCAATACAATTGGTCTACACACAAATGCATTGAAGAGATTCAACAAAAATACCATTTTGATTCATATTAAATATATAAAATGAGTTTAAAGAATTATTATATTATATTACAATGTGCAGACAAAGTATGTGAATAACTTTTCCATATTCATCCGTAGTTCTTGTAAATTTGATTAATCTTACGATTCTTCTCCTACTTTTCAAAAAAGCTACATTTTTCGCGCGCACTAAGTGGCCAGCATTTATGTTGGCAGTGCCACACGATGTTAAATTAACAGTGCCTATTTGAGTTTAACAAATCTGTTTGCCTAGAGCATTTTGCGTTTATACTCTGTTAATCACATGCTGTAAACACCATTGTGAATTGTTTACAGTTATTTCGGTGCGGATAAATGGCTTAAACATGTGCCACAATTTGTTTTATTAAAGTGTTTAATTAAGTTAGTAAAGTTATTTTCTCGAATAATAGTGATAAACTAAAATAAAATTGAAAAGTGTGCGCCGCGTTTAAGTGTAAATATGTGCACGCTTCGACATCTCATGCTTTGCGAATAAAAAACTTAATGTTTGATGAACGCGCCGCCGCAACTGGTGAAAAAAGTGAATAAGAGTATAAGTAAAAGATGAAATACAAATAGCTGAATGTATATACATAATTTGAAAAGCAGACACTTATCAAAGTGCCTCATTTCATTACAATATCTGGAAAGCCGAAAACATACATTTTGAGCGCTAAAACAATGTGGTGCACAACTTATCAAGTAATTTCTGTTTGCCACACATACATACATACATACATATGTACATACATACATATACAAAAATATATGGTGAGTAAAATAAGATAACCTGCATACATACATACATAGTTTCTCTTACAGTTATCTTACTTGTAATGAATTGAATCGCGTATTGAAAAATCTGACCATATCAGATTTTCATGTGTTCTCGTATATTTGTTAAGTTGTTGCCGGTAGTCTTAAGATGCTTTAATTTGAATTATTTATCAAATATTTCGACATTTCTAAAATATGTATCGTTGGTATAATGCTGGCCATTGGGCCAAAATTGCATATGATGGAAAGGAAGATGCGAACTTCTCACTTTGGGCGTCGCCCTCATAGCCAATATAATGTCCCGACACTGCCAGCTGGAACATTGGAACTTTGAAATCGCCATTCGCTTTCTAAAAGTTAAATCATTAAATATATATGGATTATGTTGAAAGATAAAAGTGTCCACACAGTGTATTACCGTAAATTCCAAAAAGAAGTTTAATGGAGAGCTATCAATGCCGTACGTGAAATATATGTGATATGCAAGAGGTGCCGCTGGTGGACTGTCAAGATAACTGCGCAAGAACGACCAGTTGCTTATCTGCACATCTTCATAGGGTTTGATAAACACACTCATGTGCGAGGGACCTGTCAAATTGAACTCAAAGCGCACCGTGGTCGGATTAAGTCTGGTTTTGTTCAGGACCTCCAATGTGGTTAATCCTGGTGGTACAATTGGTTCAGATCGCGGCAACCATTTGCTTTGCAATCTATTCTGGACATAGCGATAATCATACAATGGCATGCCGCACATCATGTACTTGTCACAGTTCGATTTGATGCTAACCAAACCAGTCAGATTGACCTTTGCTTCCAAGAAAGTCGTTTCTTCTCGTCGATCTTGAAAATTGAACAAGTAGCCCGACTCGTCTTTACTGAGCGTACCATCGTATTCGTAAAACATGTTTCGTACTTGCTGAAATTAATAGAGGGGGGCTTCTTGAGAGATAACTAGAAGTCGGTCAAAAGTATAGGATACTCACTAGATAGGCAACTCTTTGTCCGTTGGTCCTTGGTCGAAAGGGGAATCCGATCTGTGTGCTACTAGCTAAGTAAATGGAGAGAGCTGTGGTCGCAAGCAAACAGAATATCACCAAGCTGGCTCGCCGGAAAGTATTAATAAGCGGGATCTATAAAAAAGATCCATTAAAAGCATATGTAGTGGAAGGGTCGATGAGTAAACATACCAAGAAACCAAAGGAAAGAACCGTTCCCACTGCTCCCAAGAAGGCAATGTACACGTCCTGATCGGAAGCACTACCAGAGCGAGCACACATTGGAATTATGGTTCTGACGAAAAAATAAATCAGGTAGCTGCTATGCAGGAAGGGAATTAGTTGGCTCGCCATTGCGAAACCCGTCCATGCATAGCCACGATCGTGCAGAGTAGTCAATAAGTTAAGGGCCAAGGATAAAACGTAGAAGATGAGTGGAATTACGAGTACATATGTAGTACGCAAGCCGAATAATGTAAGACCAGTTGTTAATAGAGCCAGGATGACAGCCTGAGCATGCAACGCCAGTTGCAGATGAAAGGCAGTTGATATTTTATCCTGGGATGGAAACTTCTTTAGAAAAATGCGGTCAACTTTAAACGATATTCTAAACTTACGTTGCCTTGGAGACTATAGTAGATTGTTATGGGCAAACTGAGGCCAATGAGTGAGGGGCACACATAAAGACCGATCACCAACAGCGGGGAGCTGTAGTAAGTCAGCGATAGTCCCAAATCTTCAAACACATATGAAACTACAATTGGTAGAGCCAGTCCAAACCCAAAGGAAATAACCTGGATGATTAGGACCAAGATAAACCACCGTACAACGTGCGAAATGGATACGTGGGAAACAGCTGCGATGCGCCACATGGAAACGAAAACAAAAATGAGGGCAGCGCCTGAAACGGTCAAGTTCAATATTATTCCTGTAGTCTCTGAATAATGTATAAAGTATATTCCCAGGAAATCAAAGAAGACAGCATGACCACCCTTGTGAGCCTGTGAGTTAAACAATACACATGAAAAATCAAGATGCGAGTTAAATTTGGAGAAAATGATACCTCTGTATCATGCAGCTCGGTCGCATTTACCAAGCCTCGAACTAAACTGAGAATATTATCTCCGCTGTTCTGCAAGGATTCACGAGGAATCACATCGATCACATCGTACTCTGTATGGTATACGAAACCATTTTCAATCTGAACCATGTCCAAGCCTATGATAAATTAATTATTTTTATACCATTCTTTGGAGCTCGGATCACATTGCAACTTACCAGGAATGTTGCCATATATATTAAACTGGCGAAAGTCTGAATCCGAAGGTATAAAACCTGATTGGAAGATTTCCTCAGCCATGGTCGTAGCAAAGGGATATTTAATATATTTTTTATAGTACTGTTAAAAAGTTAAATTTAGTTAAGTAATTTTCGATTCCAATTGGGTTTTAAAAATTTACATTTAGAAGCCATGAGTGGTTAGGTCCACTTTGATATAAAACTTCCCGACCTCCGCCACCAGACCCTTCGATGTTAACGAAAGCTCTAAGATAGAAGTTATTAGTTCCAAATTAGTATTTTTCTTGGTTAAAAACTTACTTGCAATATGGTGCCCATTTGTGTTGAGTTATGAAACCATGGGAGGCTTGCATCATACCTTCTTCAGCTCCATTAAACAAGAAGACAATTGGATGCTGAAAGGTTTGCTTTGTGGTTGCAATTACCCGCAAAATTTCTAACATCGTGACTATCATGAAGCCTGCATCACCGGCAGACGGAGTAAATGGCTTGGAGTCAAAGTGGCTATTGACAAGGAGATAGGTCTCGGTCGTGCAATTCTTTGGACTTAATTTTACAGCAATATTTTGAACGCCTTGGTAGATGTTCAGTTCAGTTTTATATGGGAAAGCACCCGAGGCTTGTGATACGTCAATATCCATATCGAAGTAGTCTTCCAGGAGAACTCCTTCGATTTTTGCCAGCTCGTTAAGAATAAAGTTAACTGCCTCAATCTCGTTCTCCTTGCTACCAGTCAACTTGGTACCAATATTTGAAAGAGTGTAGAGATTTTTGTACGCACGTTCCGCAATAAAAACATTCTCCCTTTCGTCCTCCAATGTCAGAGCCGTGGGTAACCGATAGTAGAATGGTATCACTACTGCGAAAAAGAGGCATCCCCAGAACAACATAAAACCACACGCAATGTGCCAAGGAACTTTCGAAGTAGCTTGCTTTTTGAACACTTTTCCGGGAGCACTTAACTTTATTTAAAAAAGGCATAAGAAAGGGTTTTAAAAATTTCATCTATTTGGTGATTATTACCAGCTTTTGCTTGTCCTCCATTTTGAGAATGTATCTGCTGAAGTGAAGCGAAGGCTCTCCAAATAAGAATTGTAGAGCTAACTAGAGTGTCGACGGCTTTTTAATTGTAGAAATGAGTTGTCATAAAGATGAGATTGTGAAAAGCCCATTAAAAAATTAAAATATTTATGGTGTCAATTAATTGATAACCAAAAATACATGATTTTGGCAAGTAATCAAAGCGCTTAAAACGACAATTTCAATACGTTTCAAGCAATGAAAATAATTAAAATGTTTAACACATTTGAAGATAAAATAATTTTTTATCTAAAACCTCAACTGGACGGTTGGAACCAATCGATATTCTCATTTCTTTACAATAGATTATATGTTTAAAAGCTTGTATATGCAAGTAATTATTTTATTTACGATGTTATATAAATGGTTATTGTGCCAATATGTGATTAAAGAATATTCAAAAATTGCATTCACTACATTTACTTATTTTGAGCCACGTTTGAGCGTTCTATTAGGTTTTACTTCAGAAAGAGATATTACTTTGCTACTTGGCTCAAGTATGGGAAACTTTATCCAGTTGAAGCCTGTTCAACTGATGTTGCCATGGTGTTAGCTATTTGTCATAAAAGCTGACACAAAAACTGCTTCGTGCCACTGGAGATTCTTAACAATCAAGACTGATAAGAATGCAAATTTTACTAACCAAATAAAAATATTGTATGCGCCACGTGTTACGGTAGCCAACTGCTTCAAAGGAATTATTCTCGAGAACACTAGATAAATCTTGAGTTTGTAAATAGAATCTCATTTTTGTAATCCGACAACTACGTTTAACAAGCCAACCTCATCTAATATGATTAGGTTGGGATATGTCAAATATTTAAGTTAATCAGAACGATGAGAGTGTCGCTTTTCATACAATCTAATCTTTTTAGTTTAAAAGTGTCAACAATTTTTTGAATGAAAAGAGACAGTACCTGGCTGTATTTTGTACCTTTAACAACGCTCGAAAAATTTGCAGGCGGCCAAACAAATCGAGAATATAGAAATATGAAAATCTAAAAGCATGGGCATCTTGCCTTATATGGAATGCAAATTATGGAATGTACATTAAAGCGGGCTGCAAGTCAAAATAAAAATGTGGAGAATTAATTTAAAAACCATACCAGTTTCTTAGCCTTCTTTTCCAGGTACATGAACCAAGGTTTTGATTTAAACCTTATTTTTTACATATTTGAATAAAATAGCACAATATTTAATACTGCCCGCTCTACTGAAAATATATTAAGTCGTACATATTTTCACATAGAAGTTGCGGGCTATATTTGATCTCCAGCTGAAATTGGCATCTACCAAATATGGTTGGAAAAGCCATTGGTTGGGTTGGGTTGGGTAGCCCTTAACATTATTGTAGTTGTTTTTTTTTTAGATAATTGATTTTTTCTTTTAGAAAAAACATAAATTTATGATATCAATTTATTGGTTGGCTCGTTGGTTCGTTGCTTTCGCTTAGAAATCATAATTTCTGTGTGTAAGAGTCTGCAAATGAAATCATAAAGTCGTATAATGTTGCTTATCATCAGTAAGACAGTGTATAGACATGGGTATTAAAAGATACAGTTGCTTAAAAAAATATGTCTGTGTTTATTAAAATAGTTAATAGATTTCTGAATTATGAGTCTCTGTTCAGCTGAATATAAAAATTGCCAAAGTTCTTTTTAACCAAAACCTCGTCTAGCAACAACTAACTCATCAAAGTACTCATTTTCATTAGACAATAAACTAATTGTTTAATAGCTTGTTCAGTTCGTTTTGTTCACATTAATATTTATTTTAGATTATTAATATTTATAGTTCGCGATTGTAATTTTCGCAATTTGCGTAAAATTAAAAAATATATCGTTGGTATAGGGCAGGCCACTCGGCCAATATAGCATAGGAGGGGAATGAAGATGCCAACTTCACACTTTCTTCATCGCCATAATTTCCAATATAATGTGCAGAGACTCCTAGTTGGAACAGTGGAAAATCAAAATCGCCACTCTCCGTCTAAAGGTTTATAAATTAAATATTTTTAAATTATGCATTAACATTTGAACAAAAGCTCTTACCAAAATTTCCATAACGAAGTTTACGGGGGAACTATCATTGCCGTATGTGAGGTAGATATGATATGATAAAGGTGGCGCTGGTGGGTTCTCAAGATAACTACGTAAAAACGACCAGTTGCTTATCTTCACACCTTCATAGGGTTGAATAAACAAACTCATGTGCGAGGGACCTGTTAAATTAAACTCAAAGCGCACAGTGGTTTCATTAAGCACGGTTTTGCTAAGCAATTCCAATTTCGATGATGCTGGTGGTTCGATGGGTTCAGATCGCGGCAACCATTTGCTTTGTAATCTATTCTGTGCATAGCGATAATCGTACAACGGCATGCCACACATCATGTGGGTCTCGCAATTTGATTTGATGCTAACCAAGCCAGTCAGATTTGGGCCCCAGAAAGTCTCTTCTTCACGTCGATCCTGAAAACTAAACAGGTAGCCAGACTCGTCCTTACTGAGAGTACCATCGTACTCGTAGAACTTGTTTCGCACTTCCTGAAATGCCATACAGATATTTAAGATGGAATAGTTAAAGTCGGGGAACTATATGAGATACTAACAAGATATGCCACTCGCTGTCCATTCGTCTTTGGTCGAAAGGGGAATCCGATGTGTGTGAAGCTGGCTAAGTACATTGCCACAACTGTGATTGCAAGTAGACAGTACACCACAAAACTTGGACGTCGAAAAGTATTAATAAGTGGGACCTGTAGATAGGACCAGTTAGAAGCTTAAGAAGTGGAAGAGATGATGAGTGAACATACCAAGAAACCAAAGGATAGCACCGTTCCTGCTGCTGCCAGGAAAGCGATATGTGTGTCGCGAGTAGCGGAACTGCCTGCCCGACCACCTATTGGTACTAGCACAATCACAAATAAATAAAAGATGTAGCTGCTATATAGAAATGGAATAATCTGTCCCGCCTTTAGCAGACCCGTCCAGGCATATCCGCGATCGTGCAGAGTAGTCAATAAGTTGAAAGCCAAGGATATGACGTAGAAAATAAGTGAAATTAAGAAAATATATGTAGATCGCAAACCAAATAATGTGAAACCGAATATCAAAAGAGCCAGGATAACTGCATGAGCATGCAGTGCCAGTTGCAGATGGTAAGATGTCGATATTTTATCCTGTACGCAAAATACATTAGAAAATTGGGACCAAGTAGGCACGATATTATAAACTTACGTTGCGTTGGAAAATATAGTAGATTGTTATGGGTAAACTGAGGCCAATGAGTGAGGGGCACACAAAAAGACCAATCACCAACAGCGGGGAGCTATAGTAAGTGAGCGATAGTCCCAATTTGTCAAATACATATGCCACCACTATAGGAAGAGCCAATCCAAGCACAAAGGAAATAAACTGGATGGTAAGGACCAATAGACCCCAGAGCAGCACATGGGAAATGGATACGTGCGAAACATCTGCGATGCGCCAAATAGAAACGAATACCAAAATGAGGGCTGCTCCGGCAGCGCTGCAGTTCAAAATAATTCCCGTAGTCTCTGAATAATGGATGAAGCAGAGTCCCAGAAAATCGAAGAAGACTGCGTGGCCAGTTTTGTGTGCCTGCAAATTCAAAAATTTTAAGTGCGAATGTTAAAAATATATAAAATTTCCGGAATCAAGTGTGTACCTCTGTATCGCGCAATTCAGAGGCATTGGCCAAGCCTCGAACCAGACTTAGGACGTTGTCACCGGTGTTCTGCAAGGATTCACGAGGAATCACATCGATCAAATCGTATTTTGTGTGGTAGACAAATCCATTGATGCACTGAACCATATCCAAGCCTGTGTTTAATGATATACATTATCAATATTCTTATTTAGGCTGAATTATGAATTTCACCTGGGATGTTGCCATACAAATTAAACTGTCGAAAATCTGTATCCGATGGAATAATTCCTGATTGGAAGATTTCCTCAGCCATGGTCGTAGCGAATGGATGTTTGATGTATTTCTTGTAATACTTTCAAAGTGTATGACTGCTTAGAACTACATTCAACTATTTGTTTAAAGTAACTTACATTTACCAGCCATGGGTGGTTGGGGCCACTTTGAAGGAGAATTTCGCGACCTCCACTACCTCCGGCATCGAGGTTAACGACGGCCCTGCGATTGTTTGTATTTAGTCTAAATTTGCAGTCCTTTTTTGAAAATAGACTCACTTGCAATTTGGTGCCCATTTGTGTTGAGTTACGAAACCATGAGAAGCTTGCATCATACCTTCTTCAGCTCCATTGAAGAGAAAGACAATTGGATGCTCAAATGGTTGATTTGTTGTCGCAATAACCCGCAAAACTTCTAACATCGTGACTACCATGAAGCCTGCATCACCGGCAGACGGGGTAAATGGCTTGGAATCAAAGTGGCTATTGACAAGGAGATAGGTCTCGGCTGTAGAATTCTTCGGAGTCAATTTCACAGCAATATTTTGAACGCCTTGGTACATGCTAAGCATTGTACTATATGGGAAAGAACCAGAGGCTTGTGATACGTCAACTTCCATATCGAAGTAGTCTTCCAGGAGAACTTCTTCGATTTTTGCCAGCTCGTTTAGAATAAAGTTAACTGCCTCAATCTCGTTCTCCTTACTGCCAGTCAACTTGGTACCAATATTTGAAAGAGTGTAGAGATTCTTGTAGGCACGCTCCGCAATGAAAACATTCTTTTTCACATCCTCCATTGTCAGAGCCGTGGGTAACCGATAGAAAAATGGTAAAACTACAGCAAAAAACAAAAGTACCCAGAAGAGCAGGAATCCGCTCGCATAGTACCAAGGTACTTGGGCCTTAACCTCCTTTTTGGACACATTTTCGGGAGCTTCGTTAGGTTCATCAGAGATCTACATAATGTGTAATTAAGAATTGATTGACACAAAGTTAATACCGAACATTTCCAGAAAATAACTAAATGGGTAATAAAAGCCCATTTAATATTAATACAAATATTTACAGTGTAAGTCTATTGAGAGCTAATGTCACATCGAAAATGGAGTTTTTTGAGAAGGACGGGGCAAAATGTAATGCGAATTTAATAATATGATGTAGAATCCCAAACACAATAGATCACAAACTATCCACTTCAAAGTCACTGGTTGTTGTTTTCGAGATACCTTTTGTATAAATTATTCAGACTTCTCAAGGGTATACCGAAATAGTTTTGTGTACATTAAAACTGCGTTTGAAAAATGTTGTTTATATAAACATAAGCAAAAACATAAACATTTATACATTTATACATCGCTCAATTTTTGTACACTTTGATTGAGAACAGGCTTCGTGTCACATTTAATTACTGATAAAAAACAAGTATGCCGAATATTAATTTCATTGCTTTCACTTGATTGTGTTATCGCTTGATACAATATTTAAATTCAGAGATAACTAACAATTAATATGTCGCCAAGGGGCGTGTTTATGAGTTATATGTGGTTGTAAATGTATTCGATTCAAAAGCACACCTTGTTCTGACATGATTCAAACCGAGTTCGAATAGCGCGTAACATCTCATCAAGACGCCCACAAGTTAACTGATCCCTCAGTTTGCTTAGTTTAGACAAGACAGCTTCGGAATCCATCTTATCTGATATTTTCAGCATAGATTCTCTCTCTATATTTTAAAATGCTCGTTTAACTTTTCGGCTCGCGGCTCTTTCACTTTTGTTTTTTTTTCTTAGAACGTATTTCGACGCGTTACGTAAGACCGCACTCTATAACTGATTCTTCAAATTGTGCACTCTTTATAAGCAGCCTAAGCAGCAGTGTATCCTATTTACTCTACTCTATTTGTCTAGTAGTGCCTGGTTAGTACACATTTTTCTATTTAATTGCTGTACTATTTCCTCGTGGAATTTTGTTAGCTGGGGAAATGTTTTGCGTGCTGAGGTTAATGTTTACTTTAACAACGACTTGTTTAGCTTAACTGCCCAACTGTGAATAATCTGAACAAATAGGAAAATGATATAATGAGGGCTAACCCACGAGCCCTATTTATTTATGGGAAATTAAGGTCTAAACTTCGTAATCATCTTGTCATTGTTTATTCTATTTAGTATGTCAAAAATAAATATTTGTAATCATTGTATATATGCACATTTATTTATTGCATGTATATTGAATGTTTCTCTTTCGCAACTTCAATAATTAAAAAATGTATCGTTCATAAAGTGCAGGCCACTCGGCCAATATAGAATAGGAGGGGAATGAAGATGCGAACTTCACAGCTTGAGCATCTCCCTCATTTTCAATGAAATGTCTCGACGCTCCAAGTTGGAACAATGGTACATTAAAGTCGCCATCAGGTTTCTACACATAATAAAAATTAACGAATTAGTTTAAAATTGGCATATGATTGCATATCCAAAACGTATCTTACCGAAATTTCCAAAAAGAAGTTTAAGGGGGAACTATCAATGCCGTATGTGAAGTAGATATGATATGATAAAGGTGCCGCTGGTGGATTCTCAAGATAACTACGTAAGAAAGACCAGTCGCTTATTTCCACATCTTCATAGGGTTGAATAAACACACTCATGTGCGAGGGCCCTGTCAAATTGAACTCAAAGCGCACTGTGGTTTCATTAACCACGGTTTTGCTAAGCAATTCCAAACTTGAAGATGCTGGTGGTTCTATGGGTTCAGAACGCGGCAACCATTTGCTTTGTAATCTATTCTGTGCATAGCGATAATCATACAACGGCATGCCACACATCATGTGGGTCTCGCAATCCGATTGTATGCTAACTAAACCAGTCAGATTGACCTTTGTGCCCAAAAGTGGTTTTTCTTCTCGTCGATCCTGAAAATTAAATAGGTAGCCAGACTCGTCCTTACTGAGCGTACCATCGTACTCGTAGAACATATTTCGCACTTGCTAAAATTGTAATTGTATATTAAATACTAGAATTACTAGGAGTTAGCTGTTATATATGACACTTACCAGATATGAAACCCGCTGTCCGTTGGTCTTGGGTCGGTACGGGAAACCGATTTGTGTGCTGCTGGCTAAATACACAGCAACAGCTGTGATTGCAAGCAGAGAGAACACCACAAGACTGGGTTTGCGGAAAGCGTTGATAAGCGGGATCTGTGTCAATAAAAAGCATGACTGACTTATGCAGCACTTATCAGCAGAAGTAGGAGTATACTTACCAAGAATCCAAATGATAGAACCGTTCCTGCTGCTGCCAGGACAGCAATATACAAGTCCCGATTGGTCGCACTACCTGAACGACCGCCCATTGGTGTAAGTACTACCACGAATATATAAAAAAGGTAGCTGCTGTATAAGAAAGGAATTATCTGGCTCGCCTTAAGCAGACCGGTCCATGCAAAACCACGATCGTGCAGAGTAGTCAACAAATTAAAAGCCAAAGATATCACGTAGAAAATCAGAGGAATAACGAATATATATGCAGAACGCAAGCCATATAGTGTAATGCCAACGGCTAGAAGAGCCAGGATGAGCGTTTGAGCATGCAACGCCAGTTGGAGATGATAAGCTGTTGAAATTTTTTCCTAGAAGAGGGAAATTCATTAGACAGTGTTTGTTTTTCTTATTACAAGATTATCAACATACGTTGCGCTGGATACCATAGTAAATAGTTATAGGCAAACTGAGGCCAATGAGTGAGGGGCACACATAAAGACCGATCACCAACAATGGAGTGCTATAGTAAGTGAGCGACAGTCCCAAATTGTCAAATACATATGCCACCACTATAGGAAGAGCCAGTCCAAGTACAAAGGAAATAATCTGGATGATTATGACCAATATAAACCAGCGCACCACGTGGCATATGGATATTCGGGAAACAGCCGCCATGCGCCACATTGAAACGAATATCAAAATAAGGGCAGCTCCGGCAACGCCATAGTTCAGAGATACTCCTGTAGTTTCAGAATAGTGAACAAAGTAGAGTCCCAGGAAGTCGAAGAAGACGGAGTGTCCACTCTTGTAAGCCTATAAATTGAATTTCAAAGCTGGAATACAATTTTGTAGCAAGATGTTATAAGTCGGATGCTAACCTGTGTATCGTGCAGTTCGGTTGCATTTGCCAAGCCTCGGACCAGACCAAGAACATTGTCACCGGTGTTTTGCAAGGACTCACGAGGAATCACATCAATCAAGTCATATTTTGTATGGTAGACAAATCCATTAATGCACTGGGCCATGTCCAATCCTAAGTTCAATGATTTATTATACCAATATTGTTATTTGGGCTGAATTATGAATCTCACCTGGGATGTTGCCAAATAAATTAAACTGTCGAAAGTCTGAATCCGACGGAATAATTCCAGATTGGAATATTTCTTCGGCCATGGTCGTAGCGAAAGGATGTTTGACGTAATTTTTGTAATACTGTTAAAATTGATGAGTGCTTAGAAATCCTTCCAACTTATTCTTGTTAAATAACTTACATTTACAAGCCATGGGTGGTTGGGGCCACTTTGGAATAGAACTTCCCGACCCCCACTACCAGCAGCGTCAAGGTTGATTACGGCCCTAAAGGATTAGGTGTCAAATTTGTGGTGTGCTGTGAGTGGTAAATAATATTGCTTACTTGCAGTATGGCGCCCATTTGTGTTGAGTTACAAAACCGTGAGATGCTTGCATAGCACTTTCTTCAGCTCCATTAAAGAGAAAGACTATCGGATGTTCGATGGTTTGCTTTGTGGTTGCAATCACACGCAGGACTTCCAACATCGTGACTACCATGAAACCATCATCACCGGCAGACCAAGTAGCTGGCTTGGAGTCGAAGTGACTGTTGACGAGGAGGTACGTTTCGCTTGTGCTACCTTTCGGCGTTAGTTTTACAGCAATATTTTGAACTCCTTGGTACATGTTTAGCATGGTTTTGTATACGAATGCACCAGATGCTCTTGACACGTCAACTTCCATCTCAAAGTAGTCTTCCAGGAGAACTTCGTGGATTTGTGCCAGCTCGTTTAAAATAAAGTTTACTGCCTCAACCTCGTTTTGCGTACTGCCTTCCAATTTGTTACCAATGTTAGATAGTTTATACAGATTCTTATAAGCGCGTTCTGTTATGAATACATTTTTCTTTGCGTCCTCCAATGTAAGAGCCGTGGGCAACCGATAGAAATATGGTATCACAACAGCGAAAAAGAGTAGTCCCCAGAAAAGCAGAAAACCACTGGCAAAGTACCAAGGTACTTTCAAAGTTGCATCCTTTTTAACCACATTCTCAGGAGTTTCGACAGACTCTGCCAATATCTAAGTAAAATGAACGATTGAAAACTAGGGAAGTGATAATCTTAGAAATATATTTTGTATTCCTTACTAGCTTCTGCTTGTCTCCCATTCTGTACTTATTCGCTGATGTGAAACCGAGGTTTACCAAATAAGAACTACTGAGCTAATGCAAAAGCGGACCGCTTTTATAGTTGTTAAAAAAGTAATCTTAAAAAAAAGAGTTTTAAATGCCAATTTAAATATAATCATTTATAATACCAATCCATTGATTGCTTAAACACAGTAAATGTACAATTAAAGCATATAAGAGTGTCACAAAGGTTTTCAATCAAATCATGTATGAACGTCAGATTATAATCGGAATGATAACTATCATTCGTTTGAGGGTAGTTTAATATGTTTAAGCATAATTATTATGAAAGCTATTGAATGTGGTTAGAACTATTGCAGAATTCTCTTAGAATAGCAATTGCTATCATAAACTTTGGCTTACCTGCCAGGTTTAGTTCACTTCCTTACTTTTCTTCACTTTTCCTATGATTTTTTAATGGTATCAGAACAAATATGTAAAATTTTGGTTAAGCTAAAATCTCGCTTAGGATTTCATAATTTTTCGAAATACCCCTTTGCATTTTACAATAGACCTATTGTTTAATGCTTGCTCTCCTCGTATACGCGTGTGTGTTTAATGATGTGCCGATATCAAATAATATCGAATAATATAATATTATTATGTTGATTGAAGATAAAGTGCGAGTGTATTACTTCTTTAAATGGGTGGGGAATTACCAATCATGTCGCTACGACAAGTTCATTACACCTATATGTACTTGCTATTTATACCATGAACCCATTAAAAATGGATATAAGGGTATATTGTATTTGTGCAAAATCCAAATGTATGTAACAGGCAGAAGGAAGCTTCTCCCACCCCATAAAGTATATATATTCTTGATCAGCATCAATAGCCGAGTCGATCTAGCCATGTCCGTCTGTCTGTCCGTCCGTCCGTTCGTATATATGAACGCCGGGATCTCAGAACCTATAAGAGCTAGAGACTTATAATGTAGATGCTCCTAGTTCCCGCGCAGATCGAGTTTGTTTCCGATAATCGATAACTTGCTCCGTTTCCAAGCAATCAATAAAAATCGATATCGATATCCTGTTTTTTGGGCAATTTTGGTAAATAATAAGAGCTAGAGTCACCAAACTTGACATATAGCTTCTAAAATAGAATATATATATGCATTTGATGTTGGAAGAAGAGGGTTCAGGGTATCCCCTAGTCGGGAGCTCCCGACTAGAACCTCTTACTTGTTTTATATGAAAATATTTTAATCTTTTAGAGTATTCAGTCAGTATTCCGTTCTTAAATTATTTTTTCTTTATACCAATTTTTAACATCTTTTATATTACTTTCGGTACCACCGCAATGTTAAAATTGTTATTGCTAGCTTTCATATCTGCTGATATGACTTAATTATATTACGTCTAGACTTAAGAAAAGTGAAAACGAAAAAGTTATCTTGGTGATGCCGAATTTCATTGTGTCTAAGTTGAAGCATAATTATACCTACAGTTCTAAACATATAATTGCTTGATCTTTCAGGGAAATAATATGTTTAGCACCTGTCAAATCTTACGTTTTTAGTTCTTCAACATATCTACATATCTGTCGTACCTCCTTCTAAGCCTAATGCTCTGATAAACTGATTTAGCTTTCAAAATGTTTTGAAAACCAAAAGGGTATCCAAAAACTGTATTATTTGCAATCAATTTGAGTTTATATGCAAAAACTGATAAGAATTGTCTCACTGATTAACTAGAAGATACCCTCTACCCAGAGGAAAGGAAATGTCTTATTTTTCTTCCAGAATGTTTTTACCATTTTTTAACCATTTATAATTGGCACAGGGTATAACAATTGAACCCTGTCTACTTTTCTTTGTTTTTCTTTGAGTTAATTATCGCCTTGTACACAATTTATATTTATGGTTAAATAGCAATTAATTTGTCGTGAAGGGGTGTGTTTATAGCATCGAATGATTGCGACTGTAAACAGTTTTAGTGCACACCTTGTTCTGATCTAAATCAAAGTGAATTCGAATAATGCTAGTCGTCTCTTTAAGGCAAGTACTTATGTGCATATATCGATTTATTTAGATTGGAAAACTCTGCTTTCCACACCCGTTGTATGGCAATCTAATTAACTAAATTCATTTGTTTGATTGTACGTATGCATATATATATGTTTGTGTGTCTATATGTCTATTATCTTTTATACCAAAAACACAAAATCAGACAAGATTTCCCTACGCAACAAATTTAAAAAATTTCACGTAAGACAAGCCTTTTGCCCAGTAATATACATGTCTGCCCTTCTGGTTTATATATATTTTCATTTTTCTCCGTGAAGTATTTCATTTTTTACAACAAAAACATTTTAGGTACATTAAAAATTAAAAAATATATCGTTGGTATAATGCTGGCCACTGTGCCAGAGTTGCAAATGAGGGGAATGAAGAGGCGAACTTCACACTCTGGGCATCACCTTCATTTCCAATATAGTGTCTGGAAACACCCAGTTGGAGTATGGGGACATTGAAATCGCCGTTCGGTTTCTGGCAAATACAGAAAATTTTAAATTAAATACGAAACCTGTATTTTATATCATACCGAGCATTCCAAGAAAAATTTCAATGGGGAGCTGTCAATGCCATAGTTAAAAGAGATAAAGTATGGCAACGGTGGCGTTAAAGGTGTCTCAAGATAGCTATCCAAGAAGGACCAGTTGCTTACTAAAACATCTTCATACGGCTGAATGAACAGTCTCATTTGGGGGGGACCCTCCAAATAGAAGTCGAATCGGACCGTGGTGGAATTAAGTACGGTTTTGTTTAACATCTCCAATTTTGTTAATGCTGGTGGTTCAATAGGTTCCAAGCGTGGCAACCATTTGGCTTGAAGTCGATTCAGAACGTAGCTTGAATCATATAATGGCATGCCGCACATCATGTGCTGCTCACATTTCGATTTAATGCTAACCAAGCCTGTCAGATTTACGTTTGTGTCCAAGAGGGGTTTTTCTTCCCGGCGATCCTGAAAATTAAATAGGTAGCCAGACTCGTCCTTACTGACAGTACCATCGTATTCGTAGAATATATTCCGCACTTGCTGGTAGGACAGATGAATAAAATATTAGAAGTCAGTAAATAATGTGAGATACTCACCAGATATGCAACTCGCTGTACGTTGGTCTTAGGCCTGTAGGGAAAGCCTATTTGGGTGCTACTGGCCAAGTACATTGAGAGGCCAGAGATAATAAACAGAGTGAAAATTACAATGCTGGGTCGACGAAAAGTGTTGATTAGCGGAATCTGGGAACAACAATAATAATAGGTGATAAACATGAACACAAAGAACTCATTAAGGTATCTTACCAAAAAGCCAAACGAAAGAACCGTTCCCACCGCTGACAAGAGCGCAATACTTAGGTCCGGATTTGATGAACTGAATGAGCGACCACCCATCGGAGTTAGAACCACAACAAAGAAGTAAAAGAGGTAGCTGCTGTATAGGAAAGGAATTATCTGGCTTGCCTTAAGCAGACCCGTCCAGGCATAGCCACGATCGTGCAGAGTAGTCAATAAATTTAAGGCCAGAGATAACACATAGAAAATTAGTGGAACAACGAATATATACGCAGAACGCAAGCCAAATAATGTAATACCAATAGTTAAAACAGCCAGTATCACGGCCTGAGCATGCAATGCCAATTGGAGATGGTAGGCGTTTGATATTTTATCCTGGGGATGGAGAATTCATTAGAAAATATGACTTACATTTTACCAGATTATAAACTTACATTGCTTTGGAAAGTATAGTATATTGTTATGGGCAAACTAAGGCCCATGAGGGATGGGCACACGTAAAGACCGATCATTAGCAACGGAGTGCTATAGTAAGACAGCGATATTCCCAAATTGTCAAATACATATGCCACCACTATAGGAAGAGCCAGTCCAAGTACAAAGGAAACAGCCTGAACGATTAGGACTAATATAAACCAGTGTACGAATTGGGAAATGGCTAAGTGGGAAAGAGCTGACATGCGACACTGATACGGAAACCAAAACTAGGGAAACTCCGGCAACGCAAAAGTTTAAACATATTCCGGTAGTTTCTGAATAATGGATGAAGTAGAGTCCCAGAAAATCGAAAAATATAGCGTGTCCCGTTTTGTGTGCCTAAGAGTTTAAAATGATTAGGGTGTAGTAGCTTTATACAACAATTTGGGAATACCTCTGTATCATATAATTCGGTTGCATTTGACAAACCTCGAACCAAACTAAGAACATTGTCCCCTGTATTCTGCAGGGATGCAAGAGGTATTATGTCGATTACGTCGTACTTTGTATGGTATATAAATCCATTTATACATTGGGCCATGTCCAAACCTATGAAAACAAATTGTGAGATAAATTAAATCATATCATTATAGTTTGAAACTACCCCATCGATAAACTTAATAAGAAAATTCCATTTACCTGGTAGGTTGCCATACATGTTAAATTGTCGAAAGTCTGTATCCGATGGTATTGTGCCTGATTGGAAACCTTCTTCAGCCATAGTTGTAGCGAATGGATATTTAATAAATCTTTTGTAGTACTGTAATATTATTGTTGTTTAATGGTATTTACGGCTCGAAGTACTTTCAAAGATGACTTACTTTTACGAGCCATGGATGATCGGGTCCACTTTGGAATAGAACTTCCCGACCGCCACTACCGCCAGCGTCAAGATTAACGACGGCTCTACGATTTTGGTAGATAGGTTTTAATTATTGTTAAACAGCGATGATGACCCTTAAAACGTACTTGCAGTGTGACGCCCATTTGTGCTTAGTTATAAAACCATGTGAAGCCTCCAAAGCGCCTTCTTCAGCTCCATTGAATAGAAAGACGACAGGATGCTGGATAGTTTGCCTTGTTGTCGCAATTACACGCAACACTTCCAGCATCGTGACTATCATAAAACCTGCATCACCGGCAGAGGGAGTAGCTGGCTTCGAGTCAAAGTGACTGTTGACGAGAAGATAGGACTCGCTTGTGGTGTTTTTAGGTGTCAATTTCACAGCAATATTTTGAACTCCTTGGTACATCCTAAGTGAAGTTTTTAATGCGAATGCGCCAGAGACTTGCGATAAGTCAATTTCAATATCAAAGTAATCTTTCAGCGAATCTTCCCTAATCTGGTTCAGCTCCTTTAGAAGATATTGTACGGCCTCAATTTCATTTTCTCTACTGCCAAGCATTTTGGCTCCTATATTAGACAAAGTGTACAGTGTTTTGTATGCACGTTCCGCTATGAATTCACTTCTGTTTGCGTCCTCCATTGTTAGAGCCGTGGGTAACCGATAGAAAAATGGTATTACTATTGCAAAGAAGAGGAGTCCCCAGAATAGCAGAAAACCACTCGCAAAGTACCAAGGTACTTTTGCATTCGCTTTATTTTTGACAGCATTTTCCGGAGCTTCGACGGATTCGTTTAATATCTGCATCATTTTTGAATTGAGAACTGAAAATGTCTTAAATTGACGCCATAAATTGTTTTGCTTACTAGTGTCTCCTTCTCGCCCATGCTGTCTTTCAAAAAATCCGATCTATTGAAGTTAGTCCGACGATTTCCTACAAATAACTGCTAAGCCAAAGTATATGTAGGCTGATTTAAAGTGACCGGGAACGTTATCTTTTTAATACTTTTGTGAAATATAATAGCTATTAACTTATAATATTGATTTGCACTTATTGCTTTCGAGGGCTATTCGAAGACAACTTAAGAATACAGAAAAATAATGGGATGTAATTACCGATCAATTTACACATTGGGTACTATTTTATACTTCTTATAATAACTAGATAAAATAATTGACAATAGTGTTTTCTAAGAATCGCATAATTGTGATTAAGCTAAACCATTTAATGGAAACTTGCAACTCATCAAACTGCCTGTTAACAATAGATTTATTGTTTAATAGTGGATATAAATAAATGACAAAAAATTGTGTAGGATCATTAATATTATATTTGTGTATTGTATATTGTTCTTATATACTATACTGTTTTATTATTTGATTTATGTACTGTTTAACAGGGCGCACAGCATGTTACTCTACTTATTAACATATGTTCTGGCGTTAACAGAAGAGCTATCAAAATTATTTGTTAAAATTGGTTAAGCAAAATCTGAGAAAATAGAATAGAATATTATAACTCACATAATTACAAATACAACATACATACAAATTATACTTAAATACGTGTATGTTAGAGCACCAGATTCGAACGGCTTACATCCTTGATAATAATATTTTTGTTAATTCAAAAAATGTATCTCTGGTATAATGCGGGCCACTGCACCAGAATTGCATATGAAGGGAATGAAGACGCGAACTTCACGCTTTGAGCATCACCTTCATTTGTAATAAAATGACTTGACACTCCCAATTGAAATAATGGCACGTTGAAATTACCGTTTGGTTTCTTAAAATGATACATAAATTTAAATTGAAACATGGAATTTTTAAGTTATATCTTACCGTTAATTCCAAGAAGAAGTTTAATGGAGAGCTATCAATGCCATATGTAAAAAATATAGAATATGGTTGCTGGGACGCTGATGGTACCTGACCATTGCTCACGAATGACCATTTACTTAAAGTCACATCTTCATAGGGCTCGATAAACAAACTCATGTGCGAGGGGCCTGTCAAATTGAATTCGAAGCGCACAGTTGTGGCGTTGACAACTGTTTTGCTTAACCTCTGCAATGCGGTCGATGCTGGGGTTTCGATAGGTTCAGATCGCGGCAACCATTTGTTTTGAAGACGATTCTGAATATATCCATAACTATACAAGGGCATGCCACACATCATATGGTTCTCGCACTTCGAATTCATGCTAACCAATCCAGTCAAATTGACATTTGAACCCAAGAGAGGCTTTTCTTCACGCCGATCCATAAAATTAAACAGGTATCCCGATTCATCCTTACTGAGAGTGCCATCGTATTCGTAGAACATATTTCGCACTTGCTGAAATCGTAGCCATTCTTTAAAGATGAAATAATATCCGTCAGTATGCTTTATAGGACACTTACCAGATAGGCAATCCGCTGACCGTTGGTCTTCGGTCGATACAGGAATCCTATTTGTGTACTACTCGCTAAGTATATCGCGATGGCTGTGATTGCAAGCAGAGAGAACACCACAAAACTGGGTCGTCGGAATTTAGCATATTTAGTAGAGGAGTCGTTACGAAGACTTACCAAGAAACCTAACGAGAGAATCGATCCTGCTGCTGCCAGGACAGCAATATACAAGCGACCACCCATCGGAGTTAGAACCACAACAAAGAAGTAAAAGAGGTAGCTGCTGTATAGAAAAGGAATTATCTGGCTTGCCTTAAGCAGACCCGTCCAGGCATAGCCACGATCGTGCAGAGTAGTCAATAAATTAAAGGCCAAAGATAATACGTAGAAAACAAGGTTCTAGTCGGGAGCTCTCGACTAGGGGATACCCTGAACCCTCTTCTTTCAACATCAAATGCATATACATATTCTATTTTAGAAGCTATATGTCAAGATTGGTGCCCTAGCTCTTATTATTTACCAAAATTTCCCAAAAAACTGGATATCGATATCGATTTTTATCGATTGCTTGGAAACGGAGCAAGTTATTGGTTATCGGAAACAAACTCGATCTGCGCGGGAACTAGGAGCATCTACATCTAAAGTTTCTAGCTCTTATAGGTTCTGAGATCCTTGCGTTCATACATACGGACGGACGGACGGACGGGCAGACAGGCGGACATGGCTAGATCGACTCAACTATTTATGCTGATCAAGAATATATATACTTTATGGGGTCGGAGTTGCTTCCTTCTGCCTGTTACATACAATATACCCTTATACCCATTTTTAATGGGTTCAGGGTATAAAAAGCCAAACTTCGTGGAAATCGGACGAGATTTGGCCGAGATATGAGGGTGGTAAATTTTGACCCATGTCTATATACGGATCTTGGGGTAGGATTTTGACATGAATTTCGACTAAAAAATCGGTGTCGAGATTTTAATGCCACATTAATCTGGAGGGAAACCCATGAAGAAAAATCCAAACTTCGTGGAAATCTGATGAGATTTGACCGAGTTATGGGGGTGGTAAATTTTGACCCATGTCTATATACGAATCTTGGGGTAAGATTTGGACATGAATTTCGACTAAAAAATCGCTGTTCATATTTGAATGCCAGATTAATCTAGAGGGAAAACCATGAAGAAAAATCCAAACTTCGTGAAAATCGGATGAGATTTGGCCGAGATATGGGGGTGGTAAATTTTGACCCACGTCTATATACGAATCTTGGGGTAAGATTTGGACATGAATTTCGACCAAAAAATCGGTGTCGAGATTTAAATGCCAGATTGATCTAGAGGGAAAACCATGAAGAAAAAGCCAAACTTCGTGGAAATCTGATGAGATTTGACCGAGTTATGGGGGTGGTAAATTTTGACCCATGTCTATATACGAATCTTGGGGTAAGATATGGACATGAATTTCGACTAAAAAATCGCTGTTCATATTTGAATGCCAGATTAATCTAGAGGGAAAACCATGAAGAAAAATCCAAACTTCGTGGAAATCGGATGAGATTTGGCCGAGATATGGGGGTGGTAAATTTTGACCCATGTCTATATACGAATCTTGGGGTAAGATTTGGACATGAATTTCGACTAAAAAATCGGTGTCGAGATTTGAATGCCAGATTAATCTAGAGGGAAAACCATGAAGAAAAAGCCAAACTTCGTGGAAATCGGATGAGATTTGGCCGAGATATGGGGGTGGTCATTTTTGACCCATGTCTATATACGAATCTTGGGGTAAGATTTGGACATGAATTTCGACTAAAAAATCGCTGTTCATATTTGAATGCCAGATTAATCTAGAGGGAAAACCATGAAGAAAAATCCAAACTTCGTGGAAATCTGATGAGATTTGACCGAGTTATGGGGGTGGTAAATTTTGACCCATGTCTGCATACGAATCTTGGGGTAAGATTTGGACATGAATTTCGACTAAAAAATCGCTGTTCATATTTGAATGCCAGATTAATCTAGAGGGAAAACCATGAAGAAAAATCCAAACTTCGTGGAAATCGGATGAGATTTGGCCGAGATATGGGGGTGGTAAATTTTGACCCATGTCTATATACGAATCTTGGGGTAAGATTTGGACTTGAATTTCGACCAAAAAATCGGTGTCGAGATTTGAATGCCAGATTAATCTAGAGGGAAAACCATGAAGAAAAATCCAAACTTCGTGGAAATCTGATGAGATTTGACCGAGTTATGGGGGTGGTAAATTTTGACCCATGTCTGCATACGAATCTTGGGGTAAGATTTGGACATGAATTTCGACTAAAAAATCGCTGTTCATATTTGAATGCCAGATTAATCTAGAGGGAAAACCATGAAGAAAAATCCAAACTTCGTGGAAATCGGATGAGATTTGGCCGAGTTATGGGGGTGGTAAATTTTGACCCATGTCTATATACGAATCTTGGGGTAAGATTTGGACATGAATTTCGACTAAAAAATCGCTGTTCATATTTGAATGCCAGATTAATCTAGAGGGAAAACCATGAAGAAAAATCCAAACTTCGTGGAAATCGGATGAGATTTGGCCGAGATATGGGGGTGGTAAATTTTGACCCATGTCTATATACGAATCTTGGGGTAAGATTTGGACATGAACTTCGACTAAAAAATCGCTGTTCATATTTGAATGCCAGATTAATCTAGAGGGAAAACCATGAAGAAAAATCCAAACTTCGTGGAAATCTGATGAGATTTGACCGAGTTATGGGGGTGGTAAATTTTGACCCATGTCTGCATACGAATCTTGGGGTAAGATTTGGACATGAATTTCGACTAAAAAATCGCTGTTCATATTTGAATGCCAGATTAATCTAGAGGGAAAACCATGAAGAAAAATCCAAACTTCGTGGAAATCGGATGAGATTTGGCCGAGATATGGGGGTGGTAAATTTTGACCCATGTCTATATACGAATCTTGGGGTAAGATTTGGACTTGAATTTCGACCAAAAAATCGGTGTCGAGATTTGAATGCCAGATTAATCTAGAGGGAAAACCATGAAGAAAAAGCCAAACTTCGTGGAAATCGGATGAGATTTGGCCGAGATATGGGGGTGGTCATTTTTGACCCATGTCTATATACGAATCTTGGGGTCAGATTTGGACATGAATTTCGACTAAAAAATCGCTGTTCATATTTGAATGCCAGATTAATCTAGAGGGAAAACCATGAAGAAAAATCCAAACTTCGTGGAAATCTGATGAGATTTGACCGAGTTATGGGGGTGGTACATTTTGACCCATGTCTATATACGAATCTTGGGGTAAGATTTGGACATGAATTTCGACTAAAAAATCGCTGTTCATATTTGAATGCCAGATTAATCTAGAGGGAAAACCATGAAGAAAAATCCAAACTTCGTGGAAATCTGATGAGATTTGACCGAGTTATGGGGGTGGTAAATTTTGACCCATGTCTGCATACG